AACTTGTCTGGCGACGAGTCAACGTAAACACTGTGCGTATTGTCAGCATGGCTTGAACGTTGTTCCCGCCAATATCACTTCTCGACTTACCCCATAGCGTTGACAGTGGTCTTGTGTCCTGTATACAAAGCAGAAGCCGAGTTCGCGCTATCGGTAATGAACGAGTCGATAGAGTGTGTCTGTCAGGCTGTTAGTTTGTTGCAGAGACAGCAATCACTGGGCCTCGATACTAACCATCTGATGACCCAAGGTTGGGAACTTGTCAAGCTGCAAAGTGCTCTGATACTTGCCATTGATGGACTTGTGGGCAAGCAGTCGAGCAGCGGTGATCATATTGGTGGTCATACCGTCTCCTGGAAATCAAAGTTGACGAGTTAGCCAACGTCCAGTGCCAAGTGATTCTCGCAAGAACGCAAACATACCAATGAAAAGAATGACATTCTTAGCCTTCTTCTTGGTCGCAAGTGGTCTCACCACCCAAGTGGCCGTCGTCGTCTTTCCCGAGTAATAGTTCAACGTAACCGTATATGTACCGGGCTCATACAGCGCAACTTGACGATAGATCTTGGAAGCGACATTGACGACCGAGGGAGTCTTGGCATCCTGGGCGAACAGGTCCTCATACCAAGAAAACGTCCATTTCTCGAGCGAAGGTTCCTTTAGTTCAAAGAAAGAAGCAATGCTCTGAGGCTTCCCATTGTCCTTGGCGATGGTGACGGTGAACTTCTCATCCGGAACTCCGTCGTTGAAGGCCTCGGATCCGTTCTTGGGGGCGTGCACCTCAAAGCGTATGTCGAAATGCTGTCCGGGGAGGAAATCTTGCTGGTCGGGTGGGAGGATGCAGCCCAAGGTTGGGCAAGAGCCAAGCCGTTGAAAAGTCTGGCCGGAGACGACTGAGAGCGAAGTGGCCAGCAGGGCGATGGCGCCGCTTATCCTGCTGGAGATCATGATGCCAGCACGAAGCGAGGAAATGAGAGCAGGAACCGGTTTGTGGTGGTGGTGGTTGGAACGCTGGAGAGAGCCATCACGAGGGTCGAGACGGTGCCGTCCTGGTCATATATACCCGCAATCTTTTTGGGTGTGATGGAGTTGATGACGAGGGTACTTGTTCCTTTGCCCTAGTAGGAACGTGCCTGTTCCGACGCAGGTACTGGAGTCGTGCACACATGCTTCGAGAGGCTGGGCTGCTGTCGCTCAGCCAAGGAGCCAAGGAAGCTATCTACGCCAGCCATGGCTTCAACATCCGACATCGCTTGGGGCACGAAGATGGACGTCGTCGGACAAGCGGTATCCTGGGCACGTGTCCATCTCTTGAGCATCTTTCATTGGTGCTGTCTTGATACGGTTCGGGATGCACCACGACTTCACAACACCATCGAACCATCGGAAGTCGTCTGCATATCGCATCGCAAGCGAGTCGGGGAGTAGACTCGGTGCCTGGCTGAGAACCAAGGACGACAAGCTGAGGGCGAGTTGATCGTAACCATGATCAAGCAAGGTAGGGCCGAGCTATTGGCATCCGGCAGTTATGCGGTTGCATCCACCGCAACCAGAAGCCGGGGATAGTGCCTCGGTGCCATGTGCGCCATGAGCGGGAACGTCAAAGGTTGAAGCGACGATGTGAACGTGGTTCAACTCGGGAGACTGATTGGCGATTGAGCGGCTGAGGGGCTAATATTGCCCACTGCTACCATACCCGGGCAGCTACGTACCCCCCATGTCATTTCAAAAGTGACGACAACTCCCACACTGTGTATGAAAAGATTCCCACTTCTGTGATAACTTGATAAGAATGTTCGGTCGTGTTATTGTGTGAATGAACGCTTGCAGATTGTGAAATGGGGACATTGATTGTTTGCAATGTAGTCAAAACCAGGCAAAACAAATGGAAAGCGGTGCCTATATGTTTTTGACATTTGAGTGAGCTTACAACAACAATCAAGATCCCTCGTGGCGCAATTGGCTAGCGCGTCAGACTGTTAATCTGGAGGCTGTAAGTTCGATCCTTACCGAGGGAGCTTTCTTTTTCTACCCAACTCTTTTTTATTATTCGTCCTTATGTTTTTTTCCATTGTCTATTCACATGGCGTTCCTTAGAAACATCTACAACGAATAACACCCATAAATTACTTTCACTCTATTTATCTTATCCGTTGCTAATGTCATTTTGCCTTACGCTTTCTCTTTTTTGTTCCATCAACTGAGAGAAAACAAACATACTGTAACTGCTCTTTTCTTTCTTCCCTTAACCTTCTCCTCTCTGCATGATACGGTTGTTAGGTTAGGACCGATTAAGCCTATCATGCCGCCATCAGACAAAGCTTCTCCAATCCCACTCTCCAGCTAGTACGCGCCACAAGCCATTGTCCAATTTTTTGCAGCTTCTTCTGCAGCGTTCAATCTCATCAAGATAGTCCGTGCTTCCGTATGAGGGGAGGCCTCGCCAGTCAAGCACGAAGAGTGAAGCCAAAAATCCCGGTGCTGCGCCAGCTCCTTCATCGCATAGCATATGTCCCACACGTTGCCATACCGTACACCGCCACCAACTATCAACTCAAACTTGTCTTCTTCCTTTTCCTTCAGCGCCGCCCTCCCAAGTTCCCCGAGTGTTTCCAGGTTGTTAGTGGCATTTCCCCATCCTCCGGACGTCAACACCCCTTTGAAGCCATGCCCTTTCATCTTCTCGACAAGGCGCCCAATCGGGATCTTTGTGCCCGGGTAGTTCTGCGAAGTCGCGAGCACGCCGTCAAAGGCGCGGTGCAGGAAACAGGGATAAGGATGGGCCGTGGAAGTCAACCTTTTGTTGGCCTTAGGATGAAGCATCAGCTCGTTCAAGGGACCGTCTAATCGTTTCTGCACCCCGAAAACGAACCCGTCGCCGCGTTCCGGGCTGAGGACATCTCGACCCATTGTCTTGAAGTCTTCAATACTCTGGCACATTGCGAGCAGCTCGGCTTCAGAGTACTGAAAATCCTGAACTTCTGTCATAGGAGAGACGGATTTGTCGTCGTTCTTCGCACCTCGGGGCCGGATCATGATTCGTATGGCCGGTTGTTGGTCTTCCGTGAGGATCTCCGATTTCCGCAAGTGAGTAAGGAACCGAATCGCATCTTTAATGTTAGGAGTTAATCCACCGTCTCCTGTATTTGAGCAACTGTGTTAGTCTTGACTGAGACCTTTCAAGTTTGTTCCCAAAAAGCGCATGGTGGCCAGAACAGGATGTAACGGATGGCTTACCATACGAACCAACGGCGTTCAGTTCCAGCCGGATCCGGCGACATTCGGCAGAATTAAAGTTTTTGCAGAGCTTCAGGAGCTCTTTGAAACTCATTTGCTCAAAAGAACGGACATCGTGTTCTTCCACGTCGGTGGTAAAGATTGGGATCTCAAGTTTGAAGGGCATTTTGATGTCCTTCCCGATAAGCTGAACTCGTATTTACAAGCAATAAGTACTTATTTGGGCTGTGGACGAATGGCTCGCGAATGTTGATAGCATGAAAAGATGTCGGCGTGGTTTGATGTTCAATAGTCGTGATAAGTGGGGGTATCCGGTGATAATCAATGGGAAAGATCTGGACCAAGAGTTGGTGAAGAAGAGCGAGGAGTGTAAAGGGGAAAGGTAGGTAGGTAAATATGAAGAGGAAGATGTCTATCTTATAAGAAAGTACACTGACTTGCGTTTGGAAGGCGTATCTAGGCGGTATCATTTGAAGATACACAATCGTCGTAGTTCCGGCAAGTGAAGCTGAATGGTTCGCGGGCTCGGTTTACCCTTCCCGTTGTCACTCCGAACGTCCCCGCCTTCAATGACACCTCATTCTTCCTTCCGGCTTCTGCAAGCCGCTTATATTAGGGGTCGCCTGGCACTTTCTTTTTTTTTTTTTTTTTTTTTTTTTTTTTTTATAAAAAGTTCTTTCCCCCGATTCCTGAATTATTATTTGACATCAGTGACATATCTTGGTGTCCTCGTCGCCACTGCAGTTCTTCACTATCAAGTACCTTTCCTTAAGTCGAAAGCAGGCATACAACAACGAAACACCTTGCCGGCCTGCCATCAGATAGACGTCTCTCAATACCTCTACTATCTTTGATTTCACGCGTTTCACAGAGTAATTCAACCAATGTCAAATGAAAACCAATTCTCGATTTTAGTGCTTTTTATCATTGATCGCTAAGGTACACCCCGAGATATTCCTTAGGACGTAAAAGACCTGTCCTGGTCTTAAAAAAAGGGCACTGGCTCGCCTCGATCCGCATAGGAAAACAGCCCTAGCTCTCATCTTCCTCCGCTAAGATCGCAGATCCTCCCGAACACTGTAAGGTGATAGAAAAGATGAATGCTGAACGATAACAATTTACTGGGGCGGCCCAGGACATGTGTATCCGTCGCATCTTTTCCTCGCCAACTGTCCTCCCCCTTCGTCTCCTAAACAGAAAGCAGGGCGAAAAAGTCCAGGATAGACTGGAACAGTAGGATGGGGATGTCTTGAACCAAAACTTCTGAATGTCTAAGGAAATCAGGCCTTCGTCCACTGTCTATGTCTCCGTCTACTTTTGCGCTTCCAAGAAAGCTTCTTTTTTTGGTGTTTGTTTCAATGTATACCCTTTTTTTCTTTTCTTTTCTTTTTTTTGACCGTCTTTTTCTCCCTCTTCCTTGTGGATCTCTTGTCTGTTAGTTATGCTATGTTCCTTCGCTGCTTTGAACAGCCATGCCTCCTTTCTTTTTTTCATGACGTTCGCGAAGCCTGCTCATAAGGCCCCCTCTTTGCGCGCGTCCCCTCGAATGCTCGCTTGAATTACTCTGATTTTTAGAGGCGACAGGATAAGAAATGCGATGCTGAAGAAAATAAGCCGAAGGGCCGCGAGGAAAAAATGGAAGGCCGTAATGTAAGTATGATGGTTATCGATGCTCGCGAGGTGGAAGGCGCGTAGTACACCTCTAAATGAAGGTAAAGAAAATGCTGAATAAAGGACTGAGCCGAACCGAAAAGAAAAGCGCCGCGGAACCTTTTCAACGTCCTAACGCCTTTATGAATGCTGTTTCGAAGAAATGAAAGCTGCCTCTGAGGTTGCTGATGATGATGGAGATTTCGCAAACGGAAAGACCGAAGAGATGAGTGCGACCTAAAGACCAAAATAAAGGAAACGCTTTACCTGACGAAGCTAAAGTGGTAAAGCAAGCAATATGTCTGTTAAGGAGATACGGTAAGATGTATCTGGAGTCATAGCCATAAGCCATGGTCCGTTGTAAGAGCTTAGCTGACCTAGTTCAGGCGCGATTCACAGACCTCTGAGGACCACGACGGCTGTATGCAGCTGATTGCTCTCCACTTCCGTTAGGGATATTACTATTCTGGTAATTGTTGTCACTGTTGGAACCATGATATTCGTTGTTGTAAGTCGCGCCCTCGTGAGCCGAACGGGTGGCATTGCTCGAAACAGCTCGGGTAGGGAAGGACGCATCATCGATGCGGTTCTGTGGAACTCCATTGAGGCTTGACTCATAACCTTGGTTGTAGCCCTGGATGCCATTGCTGTGTCCTTGGGGGCTTGAGTCGTAGCCTTGATTGTAGCTGTGAACGTCATCATTGTATCCCTGGACGTAAGGCTGGCCATAGTTCGATGTATAGTTTGGAGAGTAGCTGTTGTCGTATCCCTGGGCGAGATCCTGAACGCAATCCGGATAGTAGTTGTAGCCGCTCTGAATGCTGTAACCGTCGTGGACAGAGCCCTGATAGGCTTGTGGCAAAGGATGTTGTTTAGCTGGGGAGCTGTTCAGGAGGTCCTGAACACTCATGCCAGCGCTCGCAGCTTGCCTCTCGATTACCGAATGATGGCGCATGGCTTGAGGCATCTGCATAGGCGGACTCGAGTTTACCTCAGAGTATTGTCCTGGGGTAACAGGACTATCGTGGCTGTAGGGTGAAGCCGTACGAAGGCCCGCGAGAGGAAGCTCCTCCTCATCCATGGGTGCCATGGGCATCGCGGGAGCGGCCAAACTGCCGCTGGGGCCAAGAGACATCCTACTGGGCTTAGGATGACCAAGGTGGTCGGCATATCCTCTCGAGCCTGTGTAGCTGGGAGTGCTTGCCTGGTTTCCAATGCTTGCATAACCATCGCTGTTGTTGTAACCGGGGGCGAATGGGGACATCGACGAGGGAGAATCCTCTTGATGGTCGGTGTTTTTGGCCCTGTGTGTGGCCAAGCTCCGAGGGCGAGCTGGTGTCATGGGGATAGGGGATCCGGCGTTGCCCAAAGGCTGAGGAATGTGCGATTCTTCGTTAATGCCGTTATTGTCGCTGTCGCCCGGGCCGTTGCCCTGATCGTTTGCCTCACCGTTGCCCTGACCGTGACGGACTTCATCTGCTCTCTCTGGAGATAGAACAATCATCGTCAGTATTTTCTCCAACAGTGACAGGAGTATAGACAAACGACAAAGAGGTATCGTTGTGTACATACTCTGCGCAAGATATCGTCGTACTAATACTTCCGCGTGGGGAGAAAATTTCTCCTTCTCAGCGTTCTGAAAGTAATGTTCAACTGGTCCTGATCAGCTCACGAAGGGGTTTGAGACAACGGAAGGAAGACTCACAGAGACACAGTTCAGTGTAGGTTCGTCGCGGCTCTTTAAAGACTCTGGCCATGCGTTGTTGCATCCAGGCAGCGCACTCCTTCCAGGACATTTCGCGATTCTGTCTATCTCCTCCGACGCGCTTGGGCGACTTGGGGACGACAAACCTCCAGAAGACGAGCTCCTCTTCTTTCGCCCATTGCTTGCCACCCATTGCGTCGAAGTCAGGAATGGCAGGTCCCCGATGACAGCTGTGAGACGGGGGGTCTGCGATATGCGGCAAGGTGGCTGAAGCAAGAATGAAAACCAGTTGTAGGGCAAAGAATGATGGACGATCGTCGGCGGAGATGTGCTTAAAGGGTGAGTTCTGAAGAAGTCAGCTATGGAAAAAGATGGCGCCGAAGGACAACATGTAGGAAGAAGGAAACTAAGTAGAGGAGAGGACGACATACCTGTGTTCCTCGAGATAGTCGTAAGGGAGGTTGGCCCTGATGGAAAAGCCCTTGAAAGGACGAAGGAAAAGGGGAGATGGAGACGACAGCCCCTCCTCTTTTATAGGAGGTTCTGATGGCGACCCTCGGAAGCCCACAGTGACAACCGTCTGAGAAGTGATCCAGTGAAGGAAGGGCTAAAGCGGTGGAACAACAAAACCTGAACTGATGTTATTGTCGGGGTCCTTATTCAAGACAGCCGTAACACATCCAACGTTCTCGTCTATATTAGACGACAAACAAGGTTTGTCCAAATTGCTGGAGCCGATCGGATGCCTACCACCACCTATCTCGTTACTCGCACCCGTCCGCTCCGAACGCGACCAGATCGCTCAACGGCGGAGAAAACGATGGAGGTAAAAGATTGTATGACAGCGTTTACCTCTGGATCGAGATTTTACCAAAGCTGATCCGCAAGTGAATCTCCGTGGCTGCCCTCCGAATTTTGAGAATTGGGCCTCCTTTTGGGTTATGGCAGGGGATCCAGAACTTGTGCGACTGCCATGCGCCAACCTTATCAGTTGTGCAGTTGACGTCTTCGAGAACAGTTTTCGAAGCACCGAATGACGACGATGAATTGGGACGGCAAACAGTTTGGAGGTTTGGCGAGAGGACGTTGTGGGTCGACAATGGCCTTTAACTATGGGTGACGAGATAGGTGGACATGGCCACCAACGGCGTTCCTGGCAGCTGCCAAAGCATCCCGACAGGACCACCCAGACCGGCCGGCAAATCTGTGGCCTCCAGATACCATTCACCGACTAACTGCTCGCTGGCCACGAGAGTGAATGATGAGTAACCTGCTATCGAAGCTTGTAGGCAGCAAACGTACTGGCAAGGTCGTCATTGTGGATTCGACTTATCCCGACGCACACGACTACTACCGAACACTCCTCGGTCACTCTCAAGGCCTTTGGAAGAACCTTGAACAACCTTCATCACGTTAGCAACATCCTATCAGGTTGTCCTGACCTGCCACGTTCTTTGCCAACCACTAGGTTCGTTTTCGATTCTTTCATAATCCATTGTGACGGTCGTCGGTCCTGTCCATGTATAAGGTTCTCCGACATTCACTCGACAATAATGAGAAAAAAGAAAAGGAGTCTAAACACGTAGCAGAACCAGCTGCCAAAGAGATATGACACTAAATAACGTGTTGTTTACCGACCGGTAAACAAGCTTGCGTGCTTTGTTCGCACACCCGATATTGCCGGGAACTGGTTTTCCATGGGTCTGCTTGATGTGTCCAACTATTGTGTCTTTGCTAACACATCCGTTGATAGCGTTCTCTGCCGCATTTCAACGGGACTGATATCAAACCAACGAACAGCCGGCTAAGCCACACGAAACTGTCGCTTATAGTCACGACGGTATCCTTCACGTTGCTCGAAGACTCCCACAATCGCGCAGACAGACGGAAAGACAGGCCCGGCAGCTGAGAGGAAATCTGAAGCACGCCTGTTTCCCTCGCGCCAGAAACCTCCATTAAGCGAGACAAGAAACACGTTTCATGGGAAATGGACACAACGAGCAAGACATATAAATAGGGCAAAACCGCAACGCAGAGGAGGACAACGACGACGGAACAATCAAAGAGGATGGAACAGAGATTCGAAAGAAAAAAAGAACCCACCTCAGATCCTGGGGATATGCAGAAAAAATACATTACTACACGCTGTCTTCTTTCTCTGGAGAAGCACAAATGCAGTTACTCAAAGGGGCTCACTGGCTCAGGAGCGGTATAACCACGGGATACAAGGAAGGGCGCAACAGTCCTCTCAACTCTCGACCACTAGCATGTCCCAGTCAGCAATAGACTTCAGCTTATCACGCAGCTTGGTTGCAGGTTTTCACTTACGATGCTCTTCTGCTGGTGGGGAACAACTCCATCCTTGATCCAGATGCCATAGCTGCCCATCATGTTGGCAAGCATCATGTCAGTGGCCAGTCGGTCTCCCACGACGGCGATCTGGTGAGGACTGGTGACACCGGTTTCCGGGTGGGCACGGAAGTAGGACATAATCTCGTCTCCACAGCCTGGCTTTTTCACACCATGAGGGAGAACAGTGATGCCGGTGGCCTTTTCAACTGCGGATGCCATCTGGCCGTCCTTGTCCCAGCTTAGGGCACCAGCAGTGTTGGAGACAATCAGAAGACGGCGTCCTGGGTATGCTGCTCGTAGAGCCTCCATGCGTTCCTTGGCTTAATCAGTCAAAGTGTTCCTGAATGGGACTGGGATGAGAAAATAACCCACCTTGTAAGCCTCATACACTTCATTGTGATCAGGATAGGCAAAGCAGTCATCTTTGTCGAGCACGACAGCCTTTATGTCAACCTTCTTCTCGCCATTGCCGGAGAAGGCTTTGTTAAGAGGGATGGGCAGGTCATTGAACGTTGGAACTGTAACGTGGGGCAGACAAAGTGAAGGCTTAGCGATAAGCTTGAAAATGTTCAATGAGGCAGACAAATTGAGATTGAGCTTTGACATGTTGGTCGCGATAGTCCTCTTGGAGTTTGTTTGGTTGAGATGACATGAGGTTGCAAGAAAGCCTATGAACTCCCACCTATAACCCTCCCGCTAAGTACCTAGTGTATGTGGTGGTAGACAGGGGCTTGGCTTGCCCCCGTCAGGCAGCGAACCCTGCTACCCGCAGGTACCTGCCGTCTTCCCATCTAGGTACCTAGGTAGCGCCATCCCGGGGGTACAGCTTAACGCGTCTCAATTAAGCGAGCGCGTCTTCCTTGACTTCCAGGTTCACAAAAGTTTCTAGAAGACTTCGAGTTGCAGAGGTCAACGTACAGCAGAACTCCAAGGCATGCCATACAACTTGAACAGCACAAACCAAAGCCAAGAACACAGACGGTATGCCTCCTCGCCGGAAATCAACAGATCAGCACGATCTAGTCGAACGCCCCTCTCGAAAGCGGCCACTCCCTGCCGACCCCTACGAAGTTCCAGATGAGGACGATGCGATTCCCTCCGCAAAACGTCAACGGCGACAATCAGAAGATGGAGGAACACCTTCAAAGCGAAACGCTACCCCGCGGAAACAGGTCGATTTCCTCCAGCACGACCTAGCCTCTGTGCCAGAAGAACCCGAGTCACCTACCGAGCAGACACCCAGCAAGAAAAGGATAGGGCGACCACCGAAGGCCAGAACGGGAGGAACACCAAGTGGCAAGCCGAGCACACCATCCGCCCTGCGCAAGAAACAAGTCGACGAGACACCGATCAAGCTCAAAGGAATCAATGGCGTCGACACACCTGGTAGGCGAGGAATTGCCGATCGATCGGCTAGACGGAAGAGTGCCAGGGCTCTCATCGACCGTGTGCTGGAGGGCGCTGTAAGCGATGACGAGGACGAAGAGCAACAAATCGCACGAGAGATCTACGAGTCAAGCGAGGAAGAAGAGGAAGGAGATACCCAACCAGAAAACCTCGCCGACCAAGAGGCCGAGTTAGCAGCAGCCACTCCATCCAAGACAGGGAGGGGGAGAGGACGAGGAGGCAGGCCCCCCGGTTCAGCACGACGAAAGAAATCGCCCACACCACCCCGAGACCTTCCTCCCCACGAGCAATACTTCTACCAGAACAAGCCGGGATCCAACAAAACCTCCAACAACACGCTCTCCTCGCTCGACCTCCTCACCCACGAAGAATACTTCTCGCTTCTCCGCAACCTGGGTCAGGACCCCCACGAAAAACATATCAAAGCCCTCCAGTCGCAACACGCCGCCTCCTTCCCCCAATGGGCCTTTGAGCTCTCCCAGGGCTTCAGCGTCTGCCTCTACGGCTACGGCTCCAAGCGTCGACTATTGCACCAATTCGCCGAGTACCTCTTCACCTCCGGCGGCAATGACACAAACAAGACAATCATCATGATCAACGGGCACACCCGCACCCTTACCTTCCGCGAGATCCTCACCACCATCTCGGCCGCCATCGACCCCACCTTCCGCCTGCCCTCCGGGAACCCGCTCGCCATGATCCAGAACCTCTTCACCCTCCTCTCCTCCTTTTCGTCGTCCTCCCCCCAAAAGCCAAGAATAACCCTCCTCCTGGCCTCCCTCGACTCCCCCTTCTCCCCCTCCGCAAACCCCAAACTCAATCCCTCCTCGCCCACCTCTCCTCACACCCATCCATCTCTCTCGCTTGCACCGTCGACACGCCCGACTTCCCTCTGCTCTGGGACTCCAGCTTACGCTCCTCGTTCAACTTTGCATTTCACGACTGCACCACTTTTGTAAACCACAGCAAAGAGTTGGACGTAGTAGACGAAGTACACGAGTTACTGGGTAGAATGGGCAAGAGAGCGGGTGGCAAGGAAGGAGTGGCGTTTGTGTTGCGGAGTTTACCCGAGAACGCGAGGAAGTTGTTTGGGCTGATTGTGGGGGAGGTTTTGGTGGCTTTGGAGGACGGTGGTGGTGGTGGTACATCAGGGGCAGGGGAGTTTGCAGCGGGAGGAGAAGGGCCGGGGGTAGAGTATAGGATGCTTTACAACAAGGCTGTGGAGGAGTTTATTTGCAGTTCGGAGATGGCGTTTAGGACGCTGCTCAAAGAGTATGTTCTTCCCTCTGCTGTGACTTGGCTGAGGAGATTATTTTTTTTTTCTCAAGGTGACAACGGCTAACAGAACGGAAACAGATTCCACGATCATCAAATCATTACGAGTCACAAGGACTCGATAGGGACGGAATATTTGAGCTTACCTTTTAGGAAAGAGGAGCTGGAGTCCATCCTGGAGGAGTTGATGTCATAGTGATGATTCACAATAATGCAAAGTTTTGAATCGAGACGAATGGGACACACACAGATTTGACCTGGAAGTTATCACACACACGGCAACACCCACCACATGTGTTGGACTGGAAGCCTACACATATCATAGTCTTGACATATCCAAAGTCCTGGAACGCTCACCACATTGAATATCACTTGATCCAGTCTCATGATAATTAGAAAGTCGAAAATGTATACTTGCCACTTCGATCGTTTGCTTGTCATGTCATGCTCTCATGATAGGTACTCGATTACCGAAAAGACCTAGTCCACTACATTGTTTGGCCACACACACACACACGCACACATCGAATCACGAGTCACCAAGCACAAAAGACATCAAGAGTATAACGAAGTTGAAATGTTTTTGATTGGATTCCTCAGTTCAGACAATTCCGTCTCGCGCGCCACGGATGCCAAGGAGACAAAAACAAGCAGCCGCCATGTCCGGGGAACTTTTCCCAAATGCCCGAGCTTCGATCTTGGTTCAACCGTATAAACCAAGCCCAAATCCCAAACCATGTCCAGGGAAAAAAACAAACATTGTGCAAAAGAACACCTCCCCTTCCTAAGCCTCTGCCCGTTTAACACTCTCCTTTTTGATTAGCCCATTCGCAGATGCCCTTTTAGGCTTTTGCCCCGTGCCCGTTCAAACCCAATTAAGAACCCAAGAAGGACGCACTTTTCCCCTTCTTACCAGTCTCTAAAAAAAGACCATGCGTATGTCGAAAAAAAGGGTATCATGCTTCCTGCTAACCATCGTAAACGCGCGCGTTCTTTTCCTCCCGCATCCTTTTCATTTCTCATCTGCCGAAAAAACAATTACCGGTCTATGAGACAAGGTCTCTCTGGAAAAAACAACCCCATCGAAGAAAAGAAATCCTTGGGAGAGACTGCCCAGACGCGGTGTCGTTGGTCGACCGCGGCCAGAGGAACCGAGTAATCCGCTTTTGTCTATGTATGATGTGTAATGTCCAGAGAAAAAGAGAAAACATGAAAAAGTTGGCGGCGCGTCATGACCCATTCATCTATGTGAAAGCAAAAGGCTTTCTCTGAACGGCAAGAGTAGAAACATGACATCGTGAAGGCTGACGTAGAGATCTAGTTCGTTCTAAATCATGTCAACCGTGGGCTGCAATTGATGCAAAATCGCACCATCTCGCAGCTCTTCTCTTGTAGAAGACCCAAGCTTTCGCGATCTAAGGGTATCAAGTTGTTGTCGGGAGTTCTCGGAATGAACAAAACAAGGCGAGGATGTCTATCGTGAAAGCCCGAGTGTAAGCCTTAGAAGCCTGCTCCTCCCAAACCCGGTGTGGGAGGAAAAGGCCATGTCTTCGCCGCGATAAGAAATGCTGAAGGAAAATCAGAAATCGAAAAGAGTATGATAAGAAATTCCACAAAGAAAGCGTCGAATAATATCCGATCTGGCCGTTGGCCATGTTCGCAGCATGGTGTGGCTGCGGAAGAAGGTGGTTGGAAATTTACCACCAAGACTGGCCACCGGCACCGCCAGGGTTGCCGTAACCGCCGCCACCATAGCCACCGCCGCCACCGCCGCCGCCGTAGCCAGCACCACCACCACCGCCGTAGCCACCGGCGGGAGGACCACCACCACCGTAGCCGCCGCCGCCGTAGCCGCCGCTAGCGGGAGCACCGCCAAAGCCACCGCCGAAGCCGCCACCGCCGGAACCGCCGAACTTGCGGTAATCGGCAGTTTGAGTGCGACCGCGACCGCCGCCACGACCGCCACCACGACCGCCACGGCCACCGCCGAACGAGGACTCGCGGGCAATAGTCTCAAGGAAGGCAGGGACCTCCTGGTTAGCCTCCTTGAGGAGTTCAAGAAGCTCGCGGACGACACCACGGTTGCCACGGTTGAAGAAAGCGGTGGCAATACCAGTGTTTCCGGCACGACCGGTACGACCGATACGGTGGACGTAGTCATCAATGTCGGTAGGAAGATCGTAGTTGATGACGTGGGTGACGTTGGGAATATCCAAGCCACGAGCAGCGACAGCAGTGGCAACCAGAATAGGGCAGCGACCGTTGCGGAACATCTCCAAAGCGCGCTCACGCTCACGCTGAGTGCGGTCGCCGTGAATGGAAGTAGCGGGGAAGTTCTGGTTGATCAAGAAGTCGGACAGCGAATCGGCCATGCGCTTGGTCTCAACGAAAATAAGGGTGAGACCTCCGGCGTGGGTGTGGAGAATGTCGAGAAGGACGGAACGCTTGTCAATATCCTCAACGTACTCGACCTTCTGGGTGATGTTCTCAGAGGTGGAACCAACACGACCAACGGACAGGAAGATGTAGTCCTTGAGGAAATCGCGGGCGAGGATCTGGATGTCGCGGGGGAAAGTGGCCGAGAACATGAGAGTCTGGCGGTCATTGACCTTGGGCATGTCCTCACCCTCAACGATGCGGCGAATTTGAGGCTCGAAACCCATGTCAAGCATGCGATCAGCCTCATCAAGGACAAGGTACTTGATGTTGCAGAGGGAGATACGGCCACGCTCGATGAGATCGACAAGACGACCAGGAGTAGCGACAAGAAGATCGCAGCCGCGCTCGATCTGGCGAAGCTGGGAGCCGATATCGGCACCACCGTAGACGACGCAAGGACGAACCCACGAACGGTAGGCGAACTTGCGAGCCTCGTCGTAGATCTGAGAGACCAACTCACGAGTGGGAGCGAGGATCAGGGCGGTGGGGTAAGCCTTGCGCTGACGACCATAGGCACCAGCGGCGCTGGCGGGAATCGGAGACGGACCAGTGTGGAAAGACTGAGAAAGAATGGGGAAGAGGAAACCACCAGTCTTGCCGGAACCAGTCTGGGCGCAAGCCATCAGATCACGGCCACCCATGACGATGGGGATGGAGTACTTCTGAACCGGAGTGGGGACATTGTAGCGGGCGAGCTGAATGTTGGAAATGAGATGGTTGTCCAGAGGAGGGTTGCTGAAGGTAAGAACGGGCTCGGGCACGTTGTCACCGGATGCCTCAACGGGAATGTCATCGTACTTCTCGAAGTTGATACCAGTGTGCTGCTTGGACGGGTCGTCGGGGGTACCAAAGAGCTCACGCTCGACGCGGGGGTTGGCAGGGCCGGGAATGTGCTTGCCATCGCGCCACTGACCATCGCCAGAGCCACGGTTGCTGAAGCTGCCGCCACCACCGGCACCGGCGCCAGCGCCAGCGTTGCCGCGGTACGCGTTGGGGTTGAAGCCGCCCTGAGGACGAGGGCCGCCCCAGCCAGCGCCCTGCTGGCCCTCAAAGCCAGGGCCAGGGGGACCACCGGGAGCGGGCCAGTTGCCGCCACCTGGGCCACGAGCGTCATAGTTGTTGTTACTGCAAGACGATGAATGTTAGCTCACGCGATCTCATTTGATGGGCAAGTGAGACCAAGGTGGGATTTGACTCACCCAGCCCAAGCGCTGTTGTTAAGACCGTTGGGGCCGGCCATAGGAGGAGCAGCGTCGCCCATCTTGCCGCGAAGGTGAGGAGGAATGTAAGAGCGCCTCATCTGGCCCTGGCCTCCCATCTGGGGGCCCGAGGGGGGCTGCTGGTCGATGGACAGGTTGCCCATGCCGCTGCTGAGTTGATCCGCCATGATTGCAATGGTTGGTCTTCTTGTCGGATAAAATCGCGGTGAAGGAGTGAGAGTTGTGTTGTCGTTGAAATCGACTTGACGAAGCTGTTGCTTTTTCGAAAGGCTCCCGAAAAGAACGAATGTTCAAAAGGAGAACCGACGAGAATGAATTTACGAGAAAAGAAGGCAAAACCCGAACAAACCGAATGCTCGCTCTTTTCTCAACGTGTATCGCAAGTATTAAGTCTGGGAGAATGTCTCCTAGAATCCTTTTGGAAGAAAAAACAAATCTTCAAAAGGAAAAAGGAACGACAAGAGTGGTAAGGGAAATGCGATTCGGATGAAAGGGGGGATGGATTATAAAATCCTCTTGATTGTGGTGGAAGAGAAAAGGGAAAAGAAAGTTTTTTTTTTAAACGGGAGCGACCTGGAGAAAAACCCCAAGTGTTTTAGTATCCGTGACTCCACTGGTAGAACCGGCTGCTCACTGCCCGCCTGCAGTTCTAACTGGTTAGATGGCAGGTGGCCTGCCGAGCCTTCCCACCCACTGCTCATGGTGGGAAGGCTCCACTCTTGTGAGGTGTCCAAGCTGGAGGCTTTGCCCACTCGCCGAAGCCTCCTCTCTGTGGCACGCTGGCTGCGACCCGTCTATCTGATCCCAGAGACACGGAAGTAGAGGTACCTCTGCCAGCGGTGTTCTCGTTCTGCACGCCGTCGCCTCTCATGGATGGGTGGTTTTGTCAGCTTTCAAATGCTTTTCTTTCCAAGATGCGATCGGACTCTACAGGCTTTTACTAACATGGTCATTGCTCATTTCAAGTGTCTACGGGCTACAGAGAGGGAGGACTGGAACTGGACCCCTTGCTATAGGTAAGGTAAGAAGATGACGGAAGCGAAGGGAGCGTAATGTACTGTAGACACTGCGGATGCACAGCGAGGATGCGGTGCAGTTACCGTTCCGACTTCCATCTTCAACCGAACACAGACTAGATGAAGAAGAAAGGCAGGAATAAAGATTTCAGCTTGCAGTGTCTTCAAAACGAGCATACAACGAACGGGGTCCCATCCCCTTCGTTCTTTCTTCCATCCCTTCCTTCGCTCACTCATCTTCGGTTTCCTTTCGTCTTGTCTGATCCAGCGCTTGTTTGCCAAGTTGCCCATCTTTTACCCGGCAGTGAGCTTTTTGCCAGCACAGCACAAATCGTGACGGCCACCACTTTCCCACCAAAGCTGACTGCTGTCAGCCACTCAGAATCCCACCTTCTTACGTGGGCAACGTGGGGAAGTGTCAAGGTGCCAGCTGCCCCGAAGGAAATCGCCATCTGGATAATGTACGGATCTGGACAAATGTTACTGCAGTCTGGGCTTTCAAGAGCGACCGGGACCGTGAACGTTCATCCGCTCGTCTTCTCCAAGGTTTGTCACGTTGATGGCAAAAAAGGGTCTTTGTACCGGTACCTCTACCGTCTTAAGGACAATGTTGGTCATGCGATTGGCGATTGCAAGGAAGCAGCAGTGCAGGGCAGGCAGGGCAACAAGCGGAACGTTCACACGCCTTGCCCTTGCTAGGCCTTGCTAGGCAATTCGGGTGGCAACAAATTAACATCATTGCTATCTTTCCCATCCTCTGTTATAGATCTCGAACGTTTTGGAAAGATCTTTGCTCAGCCTTCAATTTTTGCTACGCACAAACACACCGGTTTTTTTTAATTGATCTGGCTGACCAGCTGGACCAACTGTGATTGACCATGCAAGGCCGCCCACAAACCTAGATATGCTGAGTGGACACAGAAGGGCAGACCAGGAACAACATGGAAACAAGCCATTGGCTTTGACCCCTTTGGCAGGCAAACGGCAAATGGCACTTCCTTCGTCTAGATGATAAGGGGCGGTTTGTCCTCTTGCCTCTTGTCGTTTTCTTCTATCCCGCGTTCAGCCGGTGTTGCCGGTCTCATGAATATCCATCCATCTCTTTCTGCACCGATTTCCGCACCTTTTATCCAACCTTTGCAGATGTTGACAGCAGACACTCGGATGACAGTTGCAACAGCGACATACATAATCGGGCCGCTGATGCCCTCCGCTGTGGTGACATGTACATTGGTAGGTATCAACTGCAGAGAGACAGTTGTGTACTATCTTGGAAGGTTTTGCAGAAAGGCTCCGTCCCGAATTCCCCCACGTCGTCCTAAGGTATCACCAATCACCAACCATCACGCTTGTAGCTCTCACCGCTTTCAGTGTTAATGGGCATCGTCATGTCAGCCAGCGATCATACACTACATGGCTCGTACTACACACATGCACTTTAGCACATTCCTTCAAGTCCCTTTACTGCGTCTTCTGTGCGTGTGCTTTTAATGATGCTGACTGAACATATGAAATGAGAATTGACCATTGACTGGCTCGAGCTCTTCTCATCCGGCTGTATAACACTTCCCTGACAATGTGAAATACCTTCATAGTTGTTTCAACGTTTACCAGTAGTCATGACTCATGTTACAGCTTGTCGGTTTCAGAAAGGTATACAATACGGACTTCAAGTGCTCGTCGAGCCTCTGTCTCGACTGGAACCGTTTGCGGTGTGCGCTTCATCATTATAATATACTTTCGCCCATGATTGTCAGAGCACGTTAAACAGGTTCCCTTATCCTCAACTGCGGTGACGATATCTGACCGGTTGGAGAACTGTTTCAAGGAAAGGATGAAAAAGAGGCAACCCTGACATATCGCAATGGTGTCGGTGGCAGGGTGTCTGATCGGCCCCGGCGCGCTCCACACGCCACACTGAAACCGGGAGCCGCAGAGACTGACTCTCGGACTTCACAACTCTTAACATGATAGCCTTGTTTCTTCCTCTCTCTTTCTTTATGATCATCAAATTCGCCAGGGGTCTCCCTTTGGTGGAAACCACCTGGACTCATGCATTTCCGTCGTATGGGTATTATTATACAGAGTTGTCCTTCCCCCGCAAGGCTTCCCAAGCCGCAAGCAGGCAAGCAGGCAAGCAAGCAAGCATCCCCACAAATTAAGCCATCTTAACCACCTTGTCGTCGTCGAACTCGATATCGATAATGCCGTCCTTCGTTACCGCCTTGACCGTCATGCCCTTGAAGTCTATGGGTAACCTCCTCTTGAGCTCGTCGGTGCACAGGTTGAGAAGCTTGATGCCCTGGTGGAGGGTGATGTCTGGGTGGTGGTGCTTGTCGAGAATCGAGAGGCAGTAGTATCTAATGAGGAAAGAACCGGTCAGTGATTCTGTACATGACTCCTACGCAACAAAGACGGTACAAAGATATCGGGAGGAGATCACATACTGTGCGTAGCCGTGGGCGGCATAGGGGACCTTCGCCAACGACGCAAGGTAGTCGAGCCAGTAGAGGCTGGGCTTGTGGGTGATAGGGTCGACACCTCCGAGAAGGAGGTTCACGTTGTAGGGTTTCCGGGAGCGCAAGCTCGTCGCAAGCTCGCCGCGGACAAAGTTGGCAAGGGCAGAAGGGGAAAGGTCGGTCCCGTTGCGCATGGAGTAGAGCTGGGCGTTGGCTTGGGTGTACTCGGCGAACTGTACTGTTGATGGGGAAGAAACAGTTGGTTAACAACTTGGTTTGGTTCAAAAGCGCCATAATCACGATATCGTTGCCGTACCTGTGTCGCCAGCTTCACCGGAGAATGCCATCAGTGTGTGCTTGTTCAGCGACCTTGTCTTGTCGTCAGATGCCTTCAGGATGGTCGCTCCCCGCATAGCGGCCTTGGACGCCGCAATGATGGTAAAGTCCTTGCCCGTGATGCCTAGTAAAACCTCCCTACATGCTGATCAGCTCTGATATCACCTCTCCAAGACATGACCGATGCGACGTACATTTTGGCTGATTGTTTTGTGAGTGATGGATGATATGCTGTTGTTCTGGCAAGCTTCAAGTTGCGTTGGCTTGCACGGTTCTCGTCGTTACCTATGGCGGGACAGGGCAGTTGGAGCTTGAACTGACGGCGACGGGGAACGCGCACTGGAGCTTCAGCCTGCAAGCTGACAAGACAAGCACGGGCCAGGCTGTTCAGGTGCCCGCTATCGTCTTCCATCTTTCCATTCCAGTCCCCAGAAGGGCTGAAAGCTGCAACCACTGGGCAGGCAAACAGACAGCGAGAGGGACAGCCCCACTCCGTCATGAAACCTACTGGGATGGCCCGGGGACTTCAGGTTCTTTTGGAGACAGCAAGAGCCTCCCCACCAGTCAAGCACTAACAGCTTGCTAGCACATTTCGGCTTGATATGGCCCTGAAGTCTGTTAGCGACACAATAAGGTAGAGTGCACGGCACGGGGATTCCCTTCTCCGACTTGTTCAATTGTGCCAAGCCAGTGGAGGAGACCTTGACGAATCGGCGTGCTACTCCACCGATAGAAAGCCTGCAGGGTGGGCAACTTTTTTTTTTCTTCGAAGTCCATCGGGTCGGGTGTGTCTAGGCGCGAACGGCCGTACCAAAAATTTCAACTTTGATAGCCATGCAGCAGCGTTGAAGTGAAGCCAAACGCGACCCCAATTCACATTCCAGTGTCATTCCCTACCACCAGACGACTTCAGTGCATTTGCACTGACCGCCCCGGGCCGCAGTTGCCAACACCATGTCGTCCTTTTTCACAGCACCCGCTGGGGAAAAGAAGAGGAAGCGTGCCTCTGCCAACGAAGCCCCCCAGAAGCGAGTTGCGACTGGCAAGTCGACTGCCAAGTCATCCTCGGCCAGAGGCCCTGCCGCCAAATCACGTCCCGCCGCCCCCAAGAAAGCCGTTGAGCGCGACGAGTCGATATCCGGCAGCGACATTGACAGTGACGATGGCGACCACATTGAGAGAGAGGACGGATCGGAAGGAGAAGAGGAGTCGGACCACGAAGGAGAGACGGCGGCCGAGAAGCGGTTAAGGTTGGCACAGCGATATCTGGACAAGGCACGACAAGAGGTGGAGCTGGAGGACGAATATGCCTTTGACGCCGAGCAGATTGACCGTGATTTGCTGGCCGAGCGTCTTCAGGAGGATGTGGCCGAGGCCAAGGGCAAGGTTTACCGCCAGTTGGCTTCCAAGCTCGACTTTGACAAGGCCGCACACACACAGTTTAGATGGAATTCAGGAACGGTAACATCAGTCTCGGTTTGCGCACCGTACGCTTACACCACCACAAAAGACGGCTACCTTACCAAGTGGAAGCTACAAGACCTACCCAAGAACCAATGGCCACAGACGACCAAGAAGAAGCCAAAGAAGCCGCCTGCGCCGCCCAAGAAGAAACCCGAGAGAGTGTGCTTCAACAGAGCGAACCCGACCAAGGCAAAGGACAAGACATACCAGGGACACACCAACGCGGCCATCCTGACGGTCAGGGCCTCTGCCGACGGCAAGTTTGTCGTCACCGGCGGCGCCGACAAGCGAATGGTCGTCCACGACGCCGAGACCCTCAAGCCCCTCCGGGCCTTCACCCAGCACCGCGACGCCGTTACCTCGCTCGCCTTCCGCCGCGGTACTAACCAAATATTTTCTGCCTCCAAGGACCGGACAGTAAAAGTCTGGTCGCTTGACGAGCTCGCCTACGTTGAAACACTCTTCGGTCACCAGGATGAGATCCCCGACATCGACGCCCTGGCCGGCGAGCGTTGCGTGTCCGTTGGCGCGCGCGACCGGACCGCCCGCTACTGGAAGGTACCCGAGGAGTCGCAGCTCGTGTTCCGCGGCGGCGTGTCGGAGAAGAAATCCCATAAGAACCGGGACCAGGCGGTGAACCACGATGGCACCATGGACCAGGTGGCCATGATCGACGACGAGCTCTTTGTGACTGGCGACTCGGCCGGCACGCTCTCGCTGTGGGGCATCAACCGCAAGAAGGCCCTGTTCACGCAGCCGTGCGCGCACGGCATCGAACCGCCGCTCAAGCCGACCGAGGTGTCTGCCGACGCGAATCCGGACGAGAGCGTCGTGCCCACCCCGCAGCCCCGCGCCATCACCGCCCTCCGCACCATCCCGTACTCGGACGTCATCCTCTCGGGTTCCTGGGACGGCTTCGTGCGCGTGTGGCGCCTGAGCGAGGACAAGAAGAAGATCCTGCCCGTTGGCGTGCTCGGTTCCAGCACGGCGCTGCAGCAGCTTGACCAAGCCGAGGCCCAGAAGCAGAAGGAGGAAGCGAAGCAGAAGGCAAAGGAGGAGAAGGAACCTGCAACCGCAAGCAGTGGAGAGGAGCAAGCGGACGACGAGGCCTCGGTGGATGGGTCGCAAGACAAGAAGAAGAAGCAAGAGAGCGGGCTGATTAGGGGTATCATCAATGACATTGCCATCTTCGAGCGCGGCAACCGCGGTCGCGACGGCATCTGCATCGTGGTCGCCACAGGCAAGGAGATGAGGCTGGGAAGGTGGAAGTACATGAAGGAAGGAAGAAACGGCGCTACTATCTTTGAGGTGCCCAAGGTTGCTAGGCGAGCGGGGGCTAAGGGGGAGGAGAGCGATGAGGAGGAAGAAGAGGAGGAATAGAGGAAGAAGATGGGAACCATACGTACGTCTGTCTTGTCTTGTCTAGCTCGTTTGACGGAGCGGGACATGAGAGGAACGCGGAGAATGAGGAAGAGAGCCAAATAATCATCGCCTGTTGAATTTGTTACAAAGTGCTTTGGACATTATATCGCATTTGCGATAGCTAAGCTGTTCATAGACAAAGGAGAAAGAGAAAGTAGAAAGAGCATGTATTGTACATACCATACCACATCTTTTAGGTAGCCTCACTGCATTTGAAGGGAGTTCAAAAGTTTCTGGTCATGAATCCATTCCACTAGGTTTCCGATGCTAAGTTGTGCTGCACAGAGCCATTAAAAGACTGGAATCTGTCACCAATATATCATTAAAGGGATGGTAAACTTCTTGTAATGTGCTCTCCGTGGAAGAATACCAACAGAGGATTGGTAGTCTGTTAGATCACGCTGCGCTACTTCTTCCTTCAGCACTAGGTTGAGACTCCATCATCTAGCTCGGGACTGAGATGGCCACCCGACTCAAGGTCCTCCTCTAGTCCTAGATGGACGTCAATACCGCCAAATATTCCGCCTAAATAATAGGATGTACAAGACTTGGAGAGTTCGAGAGTTTCAACTCCGAGACAATCAAGCGACGAGCTTCAGAAGACAACAACGCAGCCATGCTCGACCAGCCATCAAGGCCTCAAGACCATGCAATGCAAATGGGCAGATGCATGAATGAATATGCTTACACCAACAATAAACATACAACAAGGAACAACTTCAACGCTCTAACCAATCCACATACTCCTGATCTTCACTCAGTTTTCATCAGTCAAGTCAATAGGAGTCATCTCCGCGCTTTGCACCGCAGGGATGTCAGACACGACCATCGCCGGAGGGGGTGAATCGGGGATCTCCTCAGACTTGGTCTCGGCCGTTTCCTTGGGCTTGCTGGGACGTGGTTGTTGCTGATGTTGTTGCTGTTGTTGTTCTACACGGCGACTCTTCCCGCTACCACTTCCGCTTCTATCAGTATTGTCCACAACTCTCCTAGGTATTTTGGACTTCAGGCGGGTATGTTCATCGCTTTTTTTGTAGGTGGTTTTGTTTCCGTGGTTGACGTGATTGTTGTCCTTGGGCTCGGCTTTGACTTTGCTGCTAGTCGTCAACGGTCTTTGAGCTTCAGGAGTAGGGGGATCGAAGATCTCGATCGATTCGAGGGGTTGCGCTACAGGCTCAGGTGAAGGCGCCGTCTTGCGTGCGGGTGGTGATGCCTTTGCCTTGCGTGCTGGTGACGATTTTCGCTTCCGTTCGACCAAAGGCGATTGCTGCCTCGGCGACTGTGACTTTAGCGACAGTAGCTTTGGCGACGGTGGTCTCTGCGGGGCATTGGAGTAGAACGTCTGCGGGCTTATCTCCTGAGCAATACCCGAAGTCCGCCTGTCAGAGGCCGGAGAAGAGTCGGGCAGCTTTGGCATGAATTTGACCTCGGGACTCTGCCTAGGAGTCCGCGAAGAGGCACGCTGTTTGGGAGAGTGCTCGTACTCCTTGTTTCTAGAACGACGGATCTCGCCAGGCAAAGGACTGTCTGGCGAAAGGTGAGAGACCTTGTCCTTTGGTTCGGATTCGTCCCGTTCCAGATCAACAACAACGTTGTCGGCGGCTTTCTGGGGCCGAGTAGGCGGCCGTGGGATAGGTTCGAGCGAATCTGGCATATTCCCCTTTGAGCCACCACCTCTCTCGGCAGCCACAGCAGCAGTGTTAGTCACTGTTCCGGTCGCTGAAGAGGCCCCGTACGATAATGGTGACCTGAGAGCAGTTGTCGGCTTTGGAGCAGGAGCAGGTATGTTCGGGTTGGTGTTCCGGGAAACGACTGGCGGTCTAACAAACTGGGGTGCGGAAGAAACGTTGTCGGTTGCCGGATCATGGGACAAACCAGTGCGTCCCGAAGTCTGGCTCTCTGTAGCACTCATCACTGCGTCGGATGGAGTTGAGCTAGCAGCCTTGCGTCTAGCAGCTTCCTCCCTCTTTCTCTTCTTCTCCTCATCATACTTCGTCTGGTGTTCCTTTTGCTTTTCGAAAATGGTGTTCCGCCAATACTCCCGAAGTTCGGAAGGGTCAAACTCCCATCCAGGTTTTTCTCTCTGCATCAGGCAGTGAGCGAACCGGTCTGGGTCTTTGACGAACTCTTGAATATACCCAAGCAGATATACACCGCAATCCGAGAAGTTATTTTGCTCTGGGATGTTGGTCGCCTTGATTCCAATTTGTTTTCGAAGATCCTTAATCTTCGTTTGCTTTTTATCCTCAAATTCTGCCAGAAGATACTTCTTGAGCGCTTGTACCGCTGGGTAATGGCTGTTCCCCATGGAGTCCAGGGTAAGGATCTTCGTTTCTTCCGAGGGGTCCTTTTTCGGGAGCTTGGTTATCCCTTTAAGCTTTTCCCTGAGGTCATAGTCTGTGTCGTCGGCTACCAAGTCCACCACATCTTGTCCCGCCCTGTCCGCCTCGTTGCTGTCGGTTTCGATTCGGTCAACTGACCCGCAAGCTACTTGAGCTTTGATCTCCTGCCCCTGGTCTCTAGCCTGTTCACAATCGATGTCTATCATTTCAACATCGTCTGACTTCTCGATGTTGCCATTCGATTTGCTCTCAGTGGAGTTGCTATCGCTGGTCTCTGTGCCACTACTGCTTGAGTTCGTAGAACGCCACGGGTGGTTTGGGTCCAATCTGCCGGGGTTACAGATGATAGCCACCCACCAGTGATAGTACTCATTGACCGGGACAATAATGTAGTCGTAAGAAAGTAGGTCCACCTTCGATGTCCATCCTTTGACGCCATCGTAGTTGATATCCTTGGACTTGGCAGGCTTGAGCTTCTCGTAAAAGAAGGTGTTGTGCACATATACCCTTTTCTTCAGTTCGTCATGCCTCCCTGGGTATTCTTCAAACAAGTAGCGTAAACCAAACCCTAGCAAGTTGTCATTCAAACACTGGCCTTCATCCAGTCGTGGAATGTCATCTTTGTCTACCGACGTCCGGTGGTAGACTAAGGGCATCCGCCAATTCTTGGACCATTCAGGATGGTCTTCGGTCCACCGGCTCACCGGAGCAGACGAGATCGATGGGGCATCTATCATGACCGTGTCATCATTTCGTCTTCTTGATGACCGCTGAACCGGAGCTTCAACCTCGAATGACCGTTGCTCGTACTGACTGCTGAGGGCTTGCTGTGAAGACAGCATTGTGTCCACAAGACGGGGTCGGCGGCGTGTTGATGCTGTAGGAGACCCTGCGGTTGCCTGCGCTATGAGGCCAGCCGGTTCCAAGGCCATATTCCTCGATCCTTCAACATCGAGAGCTGATGTGGTCCGCGTGACTCTTGAATTTGCAAGCGGTGACGGGCTTCCCGATATGGCCTTTTGGAGCTCGGTCATGAGATTTTCATACGTTTTTTGAAGTGTCGTACTGCCAAAGGTTAGCATAATAATACCATTGAATCCGAGAGTACATTTTAGTACCTGTTCATTTCTATGACGTTCGCGCTCAAGTTTGCCTTCACCCATTGCACGAAGTTTTGAGCTTCCTTTGTGGTAAAGAACTGGAGCACCATTTGACCCCCCACGTTGCCTGTCTTTGACTGGCGAATCTTGACATAAGGGGACTCGGCATTGTGATGGATTGTGCTAACACTCTTGGTGATTTTGAGCCAGTCCAACTCAGGCAATAAATCCCCTTCTCCCGAACAAGCACACAGCTGTAACTGCTTGGCGCCATTGGTAAACTCGCCAAGAAAGCACCATCCCTGGGGTCCTTTCTGTATATATCTGTGATTTGGCAGACAGAGGGCACTGTATAGGCGGTGGAAAGACTGCGATTTTGGAACAGGGTCATGAGAGTTGTTTCGTTTTGTCGCTTGAGTGTTCCCCTTGTTGGTCGAGCTTGAAGCGGCTCGCCTACGGGCGCGGGGATTGGTGGGCGATTCAAGGGCCAGCTCATCCTCTTCGCCGTCAACATGATGTAGCGGACGCTTGACTGGTCTCAGGAGCTCTATTGATCGTTTCCGAGGGCTGCCTAGAATTGCAGCATCAGCTGCATCCACGATGTTCGTTGCTGAGTTGACTCGTCGGAGAATAGGGCCGCTCGAGACATACGGGCTCTTCTCCGCAAGTTCGTCCCGGTCCGAGTTGTCAATGTCGTCTCTTCCGGGCTCAATACTTCGCCCGTATCTTTGAGCTGACCGAGGGGATTGGCTTCCCGCGCGGGAGCGACGACGCCTGTCAGAACGGGGTTTGCCGTCCCTCAATCCCAGACCCTGGACATTTTGAAATTCGATTACACCCGTCAGGCTACCATGACTTCCCGTACGGTCCGTCCGCGCAGCATGATCTGATCCAGCATCTTCGATGGATTCCGGGAAAAAGGCGAAGTGGCTCTTTGAGTATTCGTTTGCAGCCGTAACTGAGCGGCCCTCTTCGGACCCAGTCTTTTGTTTCTTGAGAGGCGGGCCTGTAGCTCGCGGTTGTGAGTCGAGGGTATCGATAGCTTTCCAAGGGGTGACCAGACTTTTCTATTTGGTGAGACAGTTAGAGAAATCCGCCTCGCAAAAACTGAGGTCGCCTCTTACCACTTTGTTGTAAAAGTTCGCCATCTTGACTGCTCCATCTAGGGACTCCTTGGATCTTTCCCCCCCCAACAATCAGCGCCTAGTTACCAAGACAGAAAAGGCTCAGGCCCATACCCATAATCGGGGAATGAATGTTGGGTGGTGTGAAAGTCGTCTCGAGGCTGTCTGCAGTTCCCAAGCTGGTCAGCCGGCTTGCGCGTCACTGGAGGAGGGTTGATCGGAGAAACGTCGGTCGGTGGGATGGATCGTACTTTTCCGGTGCTTGCGCATTCTGTCTTTTCGACAAACGGACAGCAAATGTCGATTTTGCCCTCTTAGCGTCCCCCGTACCTGCTACGGCTGCGGCAGTCGGGGTTGTCGGACTGGGAGACAAATTTTGACTTGGAGACGAACGACCGGCGAGATCTCTGTAAAGTTGCGAATTGTGGATGTTTTAGCTGTGGGGCGCTCGTCTGAACTTGTAGCGGTAGCGGCGCAAAGGGCGCTGTGGGCTGGCCGGGGGGTTCTTAGGCCTGGAACACGCACATGCTCGGCAAGAATACCTCTTTTCCCCTGGGGGATGGGATTGTCATCTGCGCCAACGCACCTTAATTGAGCCAGCTTGGAAGATTCACACCTGCGCTGCGAGGGACTCAGAGTAGAGGTACTTGGTGATGCGCTTTGTTGTGTTGTCCAGGGTTTGTTCGAGCAGGCGGCTCACAGCGATTCGAGAGCCTGGAAAGTGACGGGATCAGAGGTAGTACGGGGTCTGCTGGTTAGAGACGGAACCGGTATGGTATCACGAGGTATTCGATGATTTACCCGCTTTTGGTCGGATTCTTGTCCTGCGCAAGTCGAGGTTCAAACTGAAGTTGACAGTACTGTAACGGAGTTCGCGATTGAGCCACGGTGTACACCTCAGCTACTGCAGCAAAAGTCAGAATGCCACTCATCGATACACTACTTCCTCCCGTCTTTGCTGTTTGGATAGGTGTTATGACCTCACAGGAGAGAAAGCGCAGCGGGCAATCTGGATTGTAGCTGCCGTCCGGGGCCCCTGCCTGCCTGCCTGCCTGCCGCGAACAAAGCAATTTTACCGTATCAGCGTACACTACTTATTGATCAATCAACCACGGCAGCATGATGTTGCCCGGCATTTTGACGTGACATTGGCACCTCACTTTCGCTTGTTTCTCTTCAGCCGTGCATCCGTCAACTGCATGGCTCCGATGCCTGTATGTAGTGTACGTTTCATCCAGCCTTATCGCCATGCCGTTCCTTAGGTTGCCGTCGTTGTCTGGGTCTTCAGCCCACTTTCGAGACTTTCTCCTCACATCCTACTCGGGCAATCCCTTCGTTGTGTACACTTCACGAGAAGCCCATGGCTTGCTCCCACCATTGGCAAAGCCCCCTCTTCTCCATGACAGCAGCGAACTCCTTCACTGTTTCCACCTCGAACAGCCCCGTTGGATCACTAAACTGGGCCGACTTGGTCTCTATCAGAGCAGGCTTCGAAGCCAGATGGAAGTCCTTGTATCTCAGTCTCTGGTTACAGTTTCGCATCATCATCATCATCAGGATTACTGCCCTCCTATATTCGAATACTCAAACGCAACAAGCTAGGTAAAGGACTGACTTGGACGGTGGACACCCACCCCTTGACGGCTTCCTCGCTACCTTTGCAATACATGATGCCAGGACAGCCCCCGCTTCGGAGGAGCGCATAGCAGTTCAACTGGCCGGCCGCTTTTCGGAGGTGCGCGACCTTTTTGCGGGAGGTGATGTGGTGAGTCCGGATCAGAGCATGAAATAAAGCCATTGATGATCACGAAAGTCAAGGACAAAGAAAAAAAAATGGGCGTATAAAGAAAAGACAAATACCGACAAGACACACTTTTGTCCAAGTGGGCATTACACGCAAGTACTTTCATTATTCAAGGTTGCACAATCTCTATCATTCATCACGCACGTGTTTACGCGCCATGGACCCACTCCTGGTTGCAACCCTTGAACGCGGTCGCCTGTATGTAGTGTATTTGATTCTGTCCCTCCACACTTCTCCTTCCTGGATGGAGGTCATCGCGCGGCAGTGACTGTGCTGACGGAAACACAAGGCCAATTGTAACCAAGTGCTTGCCATTGAAGCCTAGAATCTGAACATTCTTCACATGGACACATCGACCGACCTTTCTCTTTCCTTCCATCCAGTATCACACCAACTGCGAATTCCCATATATAAATGTCAAATCATCTTTGCTACCGTCCTCCTTCGTTGCGGACATGATCCAGCGAACTCTTCTCTAAAACCTTTTCTAGAAGAATTCGCGGTGACCTCCTTCCGGGTCGTCTTTGCATGTCGCCAATGCCCTCTGCCGACGTTGCATGCTCTCACTTACTTCCTTGATACGCTTTCGCTGTGAAGCAGCTTACCGCCTACGATGCCCTTCCTTTTCTCGTACGTGTGCGACCTCCTGCAGGCGTTAGACGACAACCAACGCGCAAAGTCTGGCCTGAAGACTCCTGCCAAAATCATCGAGAATTGGTTCGCCAAACACCGCGCACTTATTGACCGCGACGACCACAACGATACAGCACTCCTTTCCACTCTGTTTCCCGAAAAGAGAACCGACAGGGTCTTCAGGTATGGCCCGGGAAGGTTGGAACGCATCATCGGAAGGGGGCTGGTACTGGGAATGACCCGAAGGGAAGAACTTGGGAGACATGCAGACGCTAAATGGGGCATGGATCTCGCCGAATGTGTTGAACGTATTCTGAGGGACACGGTAAGTGTTGCGAATCTACGTGCCAGATTCGCTGGTTGCAAATCTGTACGACGGCAGGATCATGACGACCTTATCTCGGAAACATGGAACTGACGTTAATATAGCCCAATCCTGATCCCATCAGACCAGTTACCGTTGAGGAGATCGACAACCTTTTTCACGACATCGCTTCGCACTGTCACTTTAGCTCCCCTGCAGTGCGCAGCTCACCTCCCAGTTCAACCTCTGTAAGCCGAGAGAAGGCACTTGGAGATATATATACGAGATTCTCCCCTCGAGATGCCAAGTGGTTCACGCGACTATTCTTGAAGAACTACCGGCCCGTCATTCTCGACCCGCAACTCGTATATCGCAATTACCATCCTCGATTGCCCTTGATAGTCAAAGTGCGGGATGACTTTGTGGATGCTGGCCGCATACTGGCGAGCCACAGACAGGAACGAACGGTTACTGGGAGGGACGAATTTGCCAAACACCTGAAACCCAGATTGGGTGTCAAAGTTGGCCGTCAACCATGGTTCCAGGCAAGAAGCATCAAGCATTGCTTGCAGATGGACTACGGTAGGATGAGCTGCGAGGAGAAGTACGACGGCGAGTATTGCCAGGTTCATATCGACCTCAGTAAGGGCTACGACTGTATACAAATATTCTCCAAGAGTGGAAAGGATAGCACACAAGACCGGAAAGCTCTACATGAGTGAGTACCTCTTTAGCACGTTGAACGGACACCGCTGATATAAACTAGTGCCATTCGAAAATCACTCAATCTACACCAGCCATCATGTCCTTTCAAAAAGGGATGCATCTTGGAGGGAGAGCTACTGGTATATAGCGACAAGGTTTGTTCAAAATACTTGGGCAAAACGTGTTCAAGTCACTAATCCACTCGCTCCAGGAAGAAAAAATATTGGACTTCTACAAAATCCGAAAGCATGTATCCAGGTCTGGTGCGTTCCTTAGCACGGAACAGGACTCACAGTGAGAACCCAACTGCACATACTTTTTTAGATGATCATTGCTGACTTGACGTAGACGAAACCCTTGGGAACATCTGATGATCGTTTACTATGACATTCTCCTTGTTGATGACGAGTCGCTCTTGGCTGCTAAACACTCGGAGAGAATGCAGCGTCTCCAAGAAATAGTGACAGAGGTCAGAGGACGCTCGATGTTGGTCCAGCGGCAGATCATCGACTGCAGCCGACCATCCGCGGAATCAGATCTACGGCGTGCGTTTGCGACGTGCATCACCAACCGTGGAGAAGGCCTGGTACTCAAACCCGACGCTACATACTTCAACTTTGATACGTCGGTGGGATACTCTGGCAGCATAGCAATTAAACTCAAGAAGGAGTATATCCGACGGTTTGGGGATGTGGGTGATTTTGCTGTGGTCGGTGCTCGTTACGACCCGACCAAAGCAAAGTCCTTCGACTTTCCAAACATCAAGTGGACGCACTTTTACATTGCGTGTCTGGGCAATAAGGAAGAGGTGGTGCGCTTCGGAGCAGTGCCGAATTTCGTTGTTACAAACGTGGTGGAACTGAACGAAACGCAAATGCGTGCTTTCATGACGGCCATCCAACCAGTCGCCGTGGATCCGCAAGACAATACTGTATTTTCGTTGAGGATCGAGGACGGGGTCGACGGCAAAAAGACACCAACAACAGTCTTCAAAGTACCTCCAGTGTTCGACATAAGATGTTTCTCTTTCGATAGACCCGGCAATACTGGATTCTGGACTCCGAGGTTCCCGATGGTAAACAAGATACACTGTGACAGAACTTATCTTGACGTTCTGTCTTTTTCAGAGTTGCAAGAAATGGCAATTCATGGGACACAAAAGCCCCCAGGTGAAGAAAGCCAGGAGCTGTTGGAGTGGGTCGGACGTCTGGAACAGGCTGATCCCAAAACAAGAGGCGTCGAGATCCAGACCCAAACCACCGCCTCGACAAGCCAAGCCCCGTCGACACCTAACAGGTCGCCATGCCCGGACGCTTTACCACCTTCGTCTCCATCCTCCTCCCTCAAATGTCGCTCAGTTGACAGGGACTCGTTCACATCGTCAGCTTCGGTGGCCATCGCTATCAGATCACCGATAAAGACCAAAGATCGACCTCGTCTTCTGCCCACAGTGGTTGAATCTCCGCAGAGGTCAACTAACGAACTTTCAACGATGGCTAGAGGGGAAAAGCGACCTCATAGTTCATCCACCAACCTAGAATGTGACATTAGCAAGATCAGAAAACACAACAACCCAGAAGGCCAGAACGACGTTTCCACACCCCGAAAGGAGACCGTATCCTCATCAGTTGTTCAGCGAGAGCCTCTCATGGCCATAAAGACTACCTCGCCACGACGCAATCCCAACCCTCGCTCGGCCGCTCCTCCTCGACTCATAGGCGCGAACTCCATGTACCAGCCCACTATCCTAGACATGGAGCACAGCCGGAGTACGAATACCCGGGGACGGGTCTCTCTTCCTCACTCGATGTCATTGGGCATTACCTCTCGTGACTTTACGTTCACTGTATCCCAACCTACAGCCCGGCTTCACGTTAGCTCTCCCCCCACCGCAATCGAATCACTGACAGAAAACAAGTGCCGCTACCTCGGCGATGCATGCACAATTGCCAATATCTCCTTTATGCTCTCCCCTTGCATTGCCGGCTACCTCTGGGTAACAGAGGACTTGCTCGGTTACCACGGGATTACCGAGTTTGCACGCGATCCCAAGGAGTGGGTAGCGGCGCAATCCATTTTCCCCGCAGACACGCCCATCATAACGCCCACGACAGCGGCAACAACCGCCACGGAAGCCATGGTCCTCAACAGCTCAGCACCAACACCCACCCCCTCATGCACCCCTTGTGGGACCAAGCGGAAGAAAAAGATCATACTCGTGGACCGTAGAAGAGAGGAGGCCAACAAGGTGTTTCTCCAGAGCGTCAGGGATGCAGGCTTAAGACATCGAAACGGCGAGCCGAAACATGTCTCGGTGTATGATTGGAGGGTTTTGGAGGAGTTGAAGGAGGAGGAAGAGAAGTGTAGGGAGAGTGGCGAGTGGGGTGGGGTTAGATTTGATATGAGGAGGAGCGGGAGTGTTTGGAGAAAGTACTGGGTTGGGTTGACTTGACTTCTTTTCTGTGTGTGGGAGGGGAAAGGTGTTGCATTGGGAGATACCCGGAGGAGAGAGTTGTATTTTTTTTGGGTTAGTTGGGTATGAATAGGAGAGGATAGATCGTATTATTTCTGGGAGAAGGTGAAGATCGTATTGATATCTGGTGAGGAGTTTGATATTTGCATTACTTTTCTGGGATGGACCTCTGTGGCATCATACTTGGTAGTTTCTGGTCATTAAGAGGTGTCCTGGCCCCATTTATTTAGCCAACTCAACCCATCATTCCTTCTTCTCATCCTCATACAACTTCAAATAACTCGCCTGCAGTCTACAAATCCCACATAAACACCTGTTAGCAAGTGACACACATGATCCAAACCAAAACAAAAAGCGAGAAAAAAAAAAAAGAAAAAGAAAACATACCTCATATTCAAATGCTCATCAGCAGTCAACATCTTCCTCTCCCCATTAATCACCCCCTTACCATTCTGCTCCTCGCCAAACGCTCTCACCCTCTCACTAGGCACCGGCTCCAGCTTCATGGTCCCCACCGGATGACAGAAATAAGCAATACTATACCTCTCTTCCCCTCCCGTCTCTCCCTCCACCGTACTTCCTTCTCCTCCCGGGAAAACAACCCGATGAACCGTGCTCCTCAACAACCCATTGGTCCAATAACTCAACAAATCGCCAATATTCACCAGAATCGGCGGAGCCGGATCCGTTTCCGTGCCCGGCGGGCAGACGGGGACAGGCACCCAGGTTCCCTCGCGCGTCTGGATCTCGAGGCCTGCTTGGCCTTTCAGCCTGAACAACAGCGTCATACTTCCGTAGTCGGAATGAGCACCCGCTCGAACGTCCCCGTCTCCCTTTTTTTCTTCTTCTTCTGCACCAGCTAGGGAGGACGGGGCAGGGTAATAGAGTAATCGGAGGATGGTGCCGGATGCCCCGTTCTCGCGCAGGTGAGCAGAGGTGAAGAAATCGGGAGGGGAGACGGAGAGGCCCTGGCCCAAAAGGGTATTGAGGCGGAGAGAGAGGTGGTGGCAGAGGGTGTGGAAGCGGGAGATGAAAGGTTCTGCGGAGCGGATGGTGGGGGGGATGGGTTGTTGGAGGTGACCTTGTTGAGAGGGTTCGCCGAAGTTGAAGGCCCTGGAAAGGGGGGTTTTTTGTCAGCTGTTGGAAGGGGGGAGTGGTGGATGGATGAGTGGATCGATCGATCGATGGGGGTATGGGGGTATATGTTCTTGGTTGAGCTGGTTTACTTACTCTTTGAAATCGCCGACCTGAGTTAGGAGAGGGTGGTTAGTGTGTGAGGGAGTAAGTAATCACGAGTGAGGTGACTTACACGCTGGTTTTTGGGATCGAGGGTCTCATAGTGCATAGCTGACCACTGGATATCATGTTGTATGGTTAGAATAGATGGTTGGTCATGTGGTCAAGGTCAATGCTTTCAACTTACACCTCGATTGTTCTTTTGGATGGTGCATGCTTGCTTCTCCTCCACGGGCGTCTCCTTGAACAGCTTCCTGGCCTAGTTGGATTTGTTTCATCATTAGTGCTTTGTTTTTCTCGCAAAGAAGGGAAGGGAATAATGATGGGAATACCAATTCGAAAGCAGCGTCGACGTCCTCCACGGGAATATCGTTGCCCGTGTTCTTTATATAGATGAAGCCATGCTCGATAGCGGCCTCAACCAGCTCCTTGGCCACTCGAGCCTGGTCTTGGTTGTTATCGGAGATGTCGATGACGGGAATCTTTGCAACGCCGGCCATGATCAGAACGGGATTTGGCAGTTCTGGGAATGTGGATGTTTTGATGAGAGTGAGTGTTGAAAGGAAGGAAAGTTTCTTGTGTTTATTTTGTCGTAGGAACCCCTCCTCTCGGATACACAAACGGTGGTGCTACCTCTACAGCTACAGCTACTGTACCTAATCCAGCCCCAGTTAGGCATGCCCCTCCTCCGGGCTTTCAGGTCATCTTTGCTGATAAGAAAGGACACACCAACTGACGATGGTGGATGAAGATGGACTTGAAAGTAAATGACCTATTTCTGTAAATCTCGGTTTCGCAAGAGACATCCGATCATGTTTCGAGGCAGTACGTCGAATAGGTACACATGGACCGGACATGTGGCTCCGAAGGACGTGCAAGTGCGGCATAACGACATGTGCCCATGATGCCGATGCTTAAACACCTAGTCTTTGGAAAAAAAGCTCAGACTATTTTAAGGGTGGGTCGCAGCACCTTGGCGTCGCGACAGATAACCGCGTTCAGTGCCCTGGTCACCCTTTGATGTGGAGGCCAAGGGTCCGGGGTCGAAACGTCACTGACCGCGATGAGCGACGGGCGGGCGACGGGCGAACGCTCACCCACTGCACACACACGGCTCGATCGCCAGAAGCAGGCATCGACACCTGCGACACTCGGCAACACCCAATTTTTGCCGGCCAAAACAGGACGCGACGATGCACCACACGGGGCTTTCGACCGCCCACACAATTTGACGATGATGGTCACAAATTGCGAGAATTAGGGGCACACGCCCTCAACAACCAACGAAGTCTCGATGACTTGATGCTGGAGATTGGAAAAAATCAGATGGAAAAGCAGGATGGTCGGCCCAGGTACATTTACCTTTATTCCATCCCGTCAGGTATCCCGTTGTCAGGTCACGGTCACCACGGCGGCACAAACCTGGAAGGGGAAGCTGCTAGCATCATGTCGGTTGAAATGTATTTTCTTTCTCCGTGTTCCTCGTTCTCGCCAACTCCTTGCTGCTTGTGCCTCCCCCATTTCCTCAGCTATGCCAATCCCTTCATCCCTTTCCGTCTCCTCCTCCCGCCACCACTCCCACCACCACTGCACTCCTCCCTCGCAATTTCTTCGTCTGCCCACCAAGTCATGATTTGTTTGCATCGCCATCTCCCTCACCACGTGCCTCTGTGAATCAACGCACGCTTCGGCCATTTCTGCGCCATCGGCAAAAGGCATCATCATCAGCATAGTCGAATCAGTACTCTAGACAAATAATCGCGAGATTCCTTCATCCCCTCCTTCCATATCGCGCATCAACGCCAACTGGTTGCTGCCGTTTCCTGCGATTTCCCTGCGATTTCCCTGCGCGCGCGCCCAGAATCTGCGGTCGGACTCTGCAGCCCCATCACAAGGGAACTACAAACGGTTCATCGCCAACCAAAACTTCCACTGCGTGTCCTGCGACTTCCCCCGGGCGCTTGCTGTCTTGCCCCTTCGTCATACCCGCCGTACCTCAAGCATTCGTCAGCAGGGTCAGACCGAATAGCTCCGACGGGCAAACCGATTTCCATTACAGCAACCTGCGACCCGCGAGCCACCCGCGCTCTCCCAGCTAGACAAAAGCCATGGCCGCCTCACCCAGCTCTCGTGCTGCCTCTCCTGCACTGTCAGATGTCGACACTCCCAGTTCCCCCGCCCACCAACCTGGGAAGTCTTCGCACACTGCCGCCAGCGTAACCGAGGACAACGACGCTACCATGGCTGCCACCCCCGAGCCAAGCGAGTCTAGGCTGCCTCGTGGGAAAAGAGGCCGTGGCCGCGATGATGGATCAGGGACCAACGTCATTGGGAAGATCCGGCATCTGAAAAAGGAGGACGGAGAGCCGCTCTGGCGAAAGGACATCCAGTACGACTTCCTCAAGGCCGTGTTCGACAACGAGCAAAAGGTTTTCACCAACAGCTACGAACCCGACAAGATTGGCAAGCAGTGCTTTGCCGATCTCTACATCGACACAATGTCGAGGAGTAGCAAGACATCAAAAGTCCTTCGCGACAAGCTGCTTAGTGATCGTGATGCCGCGAAAGGAATGGCCATGGTGTGTCTCCTCGTCAACATTGGTCGTATGAACACGACACTCAACTGTAAGTTTTCTCGAGGGTCATCCACCTTGCTCTTCTTTGTTGCTAACAATCTCCCCCGCAGTCTTTCCCGAAATGCGTGCACAACTCCGTACATACCACGCCATCCCTTCGCTCCAGGCCCAGCAAGACCCCCATGCGTACAAGCAACTGCAGGACGCACCCCGTCTCAAATCTATTCTGAAAGGAGGCGCCGAAGACAGGGATGAGCCCAACTCCATCGACGCCATCAAGGCGCGTGCCACCCACGTACCCAGGACGAATCCCGTCAACCTCTTGTTCGTCATCTGCCAACAGGCTAGCAAGATCGCCGAGCTGCATTTCCCGCCTGGTCGAGAGTTCCATGATTTGATCATGAAGACCAACTATTCCAGCACCAGCCGCGCTCGTGCCTTTCTATGGCTCATGTGGTTCTACCTTGAATCTGACTTTACTGAGGAGGGCTGCGATGAGAATCCCTTCGGGGCAGGTGTCGACTACGGCCTTGACGTTGCAAACCAGGGCGTACCGCGCTTGGTAGAGATGACGAAAGAAGAAGAGGAAGCTGAGAATAAGGATCCCGACGAAGAAATCAAGTTCGGCTTGGACAAGCAAAAAATGCGAGCCAAGATCATTGAGGCAGATCAGCAGTTCATGGTCGAGAGCCAAACTAGAAAGGGTGGCAGAGGCCGTGGCTTCCCTGCTGGTGATGAGATCGGTCCCACAACTGGCATTCTTCCCCGAATCAGGCCTTCCAAGGTTGATAGCGACCTGGACAGCATCAGATCTACTCCGCCCCCTAGGGCTCTGGTCGGTAGGCATCCTGCCGCTTTTCCACAGACTACTAACCGTAGGGGTGGCAACTCCCTAAAATATCAGATCTTCGAAGGCTCGTCGCCCGCTGGTGGGCAGATGCTCGAAGGTGTTGTGCACAGGAAACCTCGTCCACCGACCGCTCATCAGCTTGCCGTCGAACGCAATAGGTCCCAACGAGTTGAGTGGATTCTCGACAGAGGACTCACGCGAAGCCATCATCGTAGTCGAAAGCAGCGTCGCGTCGATGGCTCCATTATCCGTGTGGTCAACAGGCTCGACAAAGCCAAGGAATGGGCTGATTTCAGCGATAGCGAGGACGAGGAGACTGTTAACTATAACAAGCAGGCTCTCCTCGCAGGGGCCGTGAACTACACCGGATTCGGAGAGAATTATCCCTTCCGCGAGAAAGGCTACGTTGGTCTCTGCCAGCTCAAAGACGAAGAAGATGACTTTGGAGAGGAATTCGCCTCGTACTCGGCTTCCCTAAGGCGCGCCCAGCGCCGACTCAGCCGGTGGGAGGAGTCCAATGATCCGGACCTCGGCGTTATCAGGCCGATCAAGCGGCCAAAGCTCACTAATGGAGATGCCAACGGCGATGGTGAAGGCCACGGTGACGAAGACGACGGGGAGGGTTCACCGTCCAAGCACGACATCGATCCGGCGGAAACTGAGGACGAGGCCGAAATCATGGAGCGCAATGCCCATCGCCGTGCTTACGTCCCCACCAACAAGCCGGTAATTCTTCGCACCGGCAAGACAAACGGCATCCAGAGACAGGATACCGCTGATTCCCATGATGCTGATACGCCCATGGACGATGTCGATGATTTGGATGACGACGACAAGGCGCTACTTGGCCTAGGCGACGGTGAAGGCGAAGGTGATGACGTCGAGGATGACGCCGATGGTAACGATGATGGTGAACGGGACGCCGAGGACCAGGAAGACCTGGACGATCTTGACAAGACATTGTTAGGCATGGACGGTGATTCAGAATCAGAGTAGAGTCATACTCGAGAGATCACCCATAAAGATACTGCCGATCAAAACTTAGGTGCCTCCCTACACGGCCCCGAAACAATGATGACGGACCCAGGCCGACCCGTCTAAATGGCAAGTTGGATTGTCCGGTTTGTCCACGCATTGGCTATCCATACTCGCTTTCAAGCGACATCTGTCCTGCGCACATCTGGATTTCTCCCATAACAACGCTACCAAGTATCGCTTGGTTCTGTGTTTACACTGCAAAAAGCCCTTCGCGTACCAGTCGGACATGCGTGATCATGGAACACGATGCCTGGAAAGACAACGGCAGAAGCATTCAGGACAGGGTGTTCCGACTGCTCTTGACTTAGGCAAACAAGACTTCCACAAGGATTGAAGAGCGATACCTACCTTCTCGGCTTAACCACTACCTACATATGACAACAACAATAATACGGCTCGCATTGGCACTTGCTTTTCTTGTACAACTTTTACTACTGTCATCAAATCAGTAGCTTGATTTTCACGGTTGCATAGAGTTCTATGAAGTGTCTTTTCTGGGCAACAATGGCTTGTTTTAAAAGGGATAACGAACGGAGGATTTGGTATCACATGTTCAGACTAGAGAGGAATAATGAAGCAATAAATGAATCAATCTCATAAATTGAAGGATGAAGTATGTGCATTGCTTAGTGGAAGTGACTTCGGTAGTCTTACGCCTGATTCAAGAGACAGTAATCAAGATGTTACATGAAGATTAAACTGGAATTCAAGCCGCAAGGATGGTAGTCGTTGGAGCTAGAAGCACCTCTTTGGCAAGCCATTGATGGGGTGAGAACCTCTTGAACAGTCCAACCAATGAACAAAAGTAATTCGCAGATGAGTAAAAGTTATCTAGGTCGTCCAAGTCTACAACCTATCTGAATAGACTGTAGACAACAAAGAAAGGGATCGATCCAAGATGGAACTTGACCAAACCTTTACCCGTCAAGGTTAATCAGTGATGACCCCTTTCTGTACTCTCAAACTTACGGTTTCGTTTTATTCACAAACTGACCAAGCTGGAAATCACATAATTCATTTTTTAACCGCCATCCGCCATCACCTCACCTCAGTCAGCTCATCAACTAGTCACCCCACCCAACCCCTCACGCAGACAGGACCTTTCACAAACCACCCCAGAGCAAGACGACTAGATGAAACAACAGGTCAACACTATTCCATTTCATCATGACCCTCCTTTGTACAGTTCTCAGACGCTAAAACAATTATGCAATCCCTCCCCTATCCAGAAACCCAAAAGAAAGAAAAAAAGACTACCACACCTGCTCCTATTCGTCTCTCCTATGTCCATTATTCCCATTGCCCCCCTGTGCTTGTGCTTGTGCCTGTGCCGGCGCCGGCGCACCCACCAACCACCCCACGCCCGACACCAACGTGCCCATGGCCGCCTCTCTCAGTTGATCTCTCTTTCTTACTCTCCCCTGTTGACCACCACCTCCATTACCTTCCTCCCCTCCTCCAGTTCCGTCGCTGTAAAAGCTGTTGGTCATCCCACCGGCGGTAGACGTACTACCTCTACTACCCGGCCTCATGTTATCCCGGTCACGGTCACTGCTAAGGCTATTCCTACCAGCAGCATTTGTAGTATTGGAGGAGGAGGAGGTGAACCCACCAACGAGACCGCCTACACTACCGCTTAGTCCACCAGCTACACCACCCAAATGACCACCCAGCCCGCCGGCGACGCGCTGCAGAGAGGACAAAGCTGAGAGGTTTTTTTGCGCGGAGAGGACCGAGGCGCGGGAGAGGTCGAAGAGGGACATGGGCGCTTCTTCTGTTTGTTTATGCTTCAGCTGCTGATGACGCGAGTCTGATGATGATTTGGCTGAGCGCGCAGCAGCCGCAGCGGCGCTTGATCCACCACTCCCAATACCTGTAGCGGAGATATGTTGCCTAGTACCACCACCACCAGGTGGTGTACCAAACGCCCCTGGCACCCGTTGCCCACCACCATGATGACCATGCATCGAGTCCCCTGCCGCATCCCACGCGTCTTCGGCCTCTTCTTCGGCTTTGAGCGCGGAATCAAGCTCCTCTTCTGCTCTTCGGAATGCGTTGAGGATCTCTTGGAGTGTGGGTGTGGGGGCGATGCGTAAGGCTGTGGAGAGACACTCGATGCGCTGCTCGAGATGGCGGATCTCTGGGTTGGCGGAGGCGTTGGTGCCGAGGTGGGTGGGCCGGACGGTGCGGCTGGTGCGTCGGTACTTGCCTGCTTGGAGGGCGGCTTTCCAGGAGTAGTCGTCTTCGATGACGACTGATGATGGAGTAGAGGATCTGTTCCTGGAGGATGGTGGGGAGGAGAGCCGATTGAGGATGTAGGAGTAGGCGGTCTCAAAATCGTCTTCGGTCAAGGCGGCGTCAATGCACATGGCGGTTATACGGCGCTCGGCTGTTAGCCGTTGCTTTTCTTCCTCCTCGGGAGAGATGGTTGCGGCCGTGTAGCTGCTGTGTTGCTGTTTTGATGCTCGAGTTTTGGTGGTGGCTATTAGTCCGGCTTTGACCATGCCGGCTCCAATGTCGAGGAGGTCATGAAGTCGGGTGTAACTCTTGGGGTTCTGTTCAAGAATTCTGTCGATGATAGAGATGGGGTCGGCGTGAACTCGTAGAACAACCGGTGTGAAGGGTTCACCTTGTTTGAGTACTAGGCGGAATTCACTGAGGGCATGTGTGGCTTGGAGAAGAGCCTCGATCTTTTGGGCAACGGGATCGGACTTGGAGATTGTCTTGGGGAATCCTTTGATGCTGTTGCTGGAGTTAGTACGATTCGTGCAACGTCATGGACGCTAGAAAACTCACATATCATCACACTTCTTCAGCCCACCCCTTGTGCGGTTGGGATTGGAGGCGTTGTCGTAAGCAGTCATGGCCGAAGAGAAAACGGCATCTTTCAGCACCTTTTCGTCCAATGGCCGTTCTACCGAATCTTCATAAATCGACTTTGCCAGAGCGTAACGAGTGTTAGTGAGCAAAGCCTTGAGGAACTCAACCTCCAAAAACTCCTTCTTAAGCTGGCTGAAGATGCCCTTAGGCCTCGAATCGGTGGCACCCCAGCCATCTTCAGCACCCCAATCACGAAGCCACAGTATCTCATCGCGGGCTTTCATCCAGAACTTGTCGTCCGTCTTTGGTCCCTGGTTAGCCAGAGCATGGATGAGCTTGAGGGCTTCCGCTTTTTGCTCTCGCTCATCCTGCATTAGTGCAAGCTCACCCACCCTCCTAAGGGTGCATGGCGACCCAGCTCTGGTTAGGATAAAGGTACTTATGATTAGGGCTTGGCAAAAAGCAGTTGACGTCTCCGTTGGCCAAGTAAGAACGTTTGATGAGTCCAAGAAGTCACTGCGCAAGTAGGTCGCGTTCTTTGGCGAGGCAACTATGCCATCAACCTGCTCGGCAAGTGGTGCTAACAAGCCCACCGCATTCTGCAGTGGTGGAAGAGGGTCCTGGTTGGTGATGATGACAGCCCTGTTAAGAATCGCATAAGCCCCCTCCAGTGCTTCAACTGATGCATTCGATATCAGATATGTAGATGCCAGAGCAGCTTGGGCGTACGTCCAGTCGAGATGGCGTCGTTGTTCGTCGTTCAGTTGGGTCTCCTCTCCTCCTCCTAGAATTCCTCCCAAATCCACGGATTGGGGGCCCTCCCACTGGTCGAATGCATTGGCCGCCACCCTCCAGTTTTTCGAGGCATTCGCAGTGAGCCAACGCAACACCTGATTCCATCCTGGACAAAGATCCTCATCCGTGCCGGGACCTCTAGGCGTCAATTCCTCAGCCGAACCAGATTCCTGACCCTTGTTATTCCACCGCTTCCTATCCAGTATCCAAGGCGCGATCATGCCCTTCAGGTCGCGACCAATTTGTCCATAATCCTCCTCCCGAGCGCCTGTCTGCGACAACAACACGTTTGCTATCGTCCTTTCAGGCAACCTCTGGAATGCGGCCAGCGTGTACGGAATCGGTTCGTTAGGGTAATATTCGCAGTTGCGCCGCAGCAGCGGCAGTATCGTCGAGACCAAAAGCCACCTGATTGCGGGGGAATGATCCAAGAATGGCGCCAACAGAGCCGGTAGCTCAGTGAGTAATCCAGCCTCTTCATCCACCTTGTAGGACCTGCGCAAAAGGAACAGAGATGTTGTATCGTCGGCGGCGACCTCTGCCGTGGATGGAGCCTCGGGGGAGGACAGGGGTAGCAGTCGGAGCTTCTTGACCTTCTTGATAGCTTCCTCTTCGGTAAGCGACTCGACCGAAGAAACGTCGATTTCATGCTTCTGCCCGTTTTCGGTGGAATCAAGTTGCGATTCTGGAAAGTCTCCACGTTCGATATGTTCGATTAGGGTGACGTAGTCGCTTGATCGCAAAGTCTCGGGAAGGTATGTGAGCAGGATGCGTAGAAGTAGTTCTTTGCGAAGAACGGAGCCATGGTGAGCGGCGAGGGAGGTCAAGCTATCAATGTCGGCCTTAACAGCAAGGTGCACGGCGAGCAGCACAAGCTTAGGGGGGGAGAGGAAGAGGGCCATTGTCGCGGAGTCTTCGTTTGGAGGGATGCGATGCTTATAGTCGATTGGGCGTTGGGATGCCTTCAGACTTCATGGCTAGTCGTGCCTCTGGAAAAACTATTGTAGTGGTATATTTAAACTGGTTTTCCCTTGTTAGAACTAGGTCTTGGTCAATAAAGGTACTCATGTGTCGCGGTACAGGGAGTGGGATGAGTGTGAAGAGGAAATGTGTGGATTCTGGAACATTGTTGATGAACACATTGCCTGCAGCGCAACAACAGCTCCCCCGTCACTTAGCCTCCACTTGCAGTGACAACCCCAGGCCGGGGCCCTGGAGCTTCTTATTGGGCCCCGCCAGTGCCTGCCGCCAAAAGCTCAGCTAAAGCCCTGGTCCTTACTGTGTAAGAGCTCCCGCCAAGCTGCTTGTAGCTGCCCCTCTGGTCTCAGCTGCGAAATCTGGGGACAACTGTGGCTTACCATACACTCATGTCATGAAAGTGTGGCTCACCACTTTCAAAATCCCACAGCGAACCGGTGATACCAGCCACATCTTGGCCTGAAGCTTGCAGTGGTGGATCGCATCCGACCGAGCAGTTCAACCTCACGTCGCCGTTGTCGCCGTCGTCGAGGAGACCAGCGAAGAGACCCGCATCACGACCGAAGCTCATCCACTTTCAACGCGAGTCGCGACTCAGGTCCTCCCTCCCCGCAATTTCCAACCCGCCGAGCCGACACCCAGCGCAGCGCATACAAACAGCCCGCCATGTCGTCCGGCTATGGCATGAACGGGGGTATGTTATTGATTACCTATTCCCAATTCTATCAATCTGGACAGTCAGTTGCTGGAAACGGCGTGCAATTGAACTTTATGCTTTGTCGCCAAACCGATGCGATTATCGCCCGCTGTACATATCATCAATGTGAACCTGAATGCTAATGAAATGCCCTGTCATTGCTTGACAACTATTAGGTCCATCCCGGTGCTTTCCCTTTTGGCAAGAAGTGCTCGCCTGCTACGTGGTCAACAGCAACGAGGAGGACGCGTCGGGCAGAAAGAAGTGCTCGCCGATGCTGGAGGATTACTACGAGTGCTTGCACCACAGGAAGGAGGTCCGTACAATAACCAAACCCTGAAATCATCACCATCCACACCATCCAATACCTTCATAAAACCATACATACGATGCTCCACGCGAAGGACGGGATCAAAGATCCACATATACCAAAACAAGGAGAGTCCCTCATCACTAACACTTATGATATCATCTTTCCCCGTTACAACAGGCCGCCAGAGTCCAAGCCCTCCAAGCTGCCTATCGCAAAGCCGAAGCAGAAGGCGGATACAAGGCCAACCCACCGACGGCCGGTCAGATACGGAACTTGGGAATCTTGGGTAAGGAGGAGGATTCCAGGGCGGTGTTGGGATCGAAATAAGGGCATGGCACTGCAATGTTGATGATGATACGCACATACTGCTAGGGATACGGCACTAGAACTATTACAACAGCACGGCACCGCACGAGCGAGCCGGAGGGAAAACAGAACCAATTTTTTGACGCCTCTTAATCTACGGATTCCTAGATGTTACAAATGCTGGGAGATTGGGAGAACGAGGCAGCCATGTTAAATGCGGTTTTGCTGATATCAGATCTTAGTACAAGAAGTAATTGCTGGAACATCAGCCTACCACCACAATCATTGCGCTTGCTCAAGTATAATTACCTTGTATACCAATCAACTCCTACGCTATGCGGCTGAAATCCGAGCCTCTGAAAAAGTACCGATGGAAAGAGAACAAGTGTGGGGTATAGATAGAGGTAATGCGCAACCAACAACTCCTTTCCCAACCTTGACTTGAAATGATGAATAACAAAGCCCAGATAGCTTCGTAATCAAGCTAAGGATGGTTAAAAATGGCAGATTCAAATCCAGTTGCCCACAATTTCCGAACAGACTTCCTTCTTCTCCAGACTCTCCAAACCCTCCGAAGACTTCTTCATAACACCCCCAAGCCGGCCAGTGCGTGTCGAGGTGTTAGGAGAAGGGCTCCATAAACGTCTTGCGATATTCGCTGGTTCCCTTTCAGCAGGCGAAGGTGTTCGGCTCATCCACTCCGCTTCCGACAACTTGATTCTCGTAACTCGGGACAGATCTTGCTCGGATCTGTAGCAGGAAGGCAAAGCTTGCGTTGACAATTTTCGACCCGACTCTGTGTGAGAAGCTGGGGCGCCATCTTCCTTTTGAGGGGTGAGGGTGAAACACTCGAGGCCGAGAGCGTAACTGCTGCCGGTTGTTGGTAGATACCGGCCAGGTGATGAAGCCATATTTGGGTAGTATTCACTGGTTGAGGCTGGCGATGTCGCGTAATCTGACATGGAAACGTCCTCGAGTGTCTCCGATCTTGGGCCCGATTTGTCTGGAGTGCCGGAGAAGTTGGGTTCATTTTGTGGAGCGGCCCGCGCTACGCAAATCTCAAAAGCATCATCATCGTCAAAGGCTCCATCGTCGACGAGTTTCTTGAGAGAAGGGGTCAGAGATGGACAACCCGACACGGCAGAAGATATGGAAGCACGCCGTGACACGACGCCCGGCTCTTCGCGTGGAAGTTCTGGTAAGGGTCGCTGGAGATACGAGTCGCGATAAGCATCTCGGAGTGCTTTGCTTGGCTGAGGGATGTTGTCGGAGAGCGAAGACAGAGGGAACACGATCGGAGGGCTTCCCAGAGAGTAGTTGGGTTGGTTCCGTCTGTCACCGTGGATTTTGCTTCCTTCAAAGATTGACTCTTCGTCACCATTATCATCGTTCGTGACCAGTGTCGCTTGACTATCGTCCGCTTGGCGCAGCATGTCTTCGGTAAACTCCATTGTCGTGCTGCGGCTTAGTGCGTTGGTAGAGATGGATCGTACAAACTTAAACTCCCTCTGGGGTATTAGGTTCAGCTGCTCAAGGCTATCCCACGAGCGGTAGTGGAATCTGAATGTTGCAAAGGGCGAGTCCCTAGCATCGATGAGATGCCAATGATAGAAGCAGGCGTGCTGAGGCTGGTCCATAAGGCCGATACTGGGGGAACTATGACATTGATCAGCCTTCCACCACATGATAGGATTCCTATGCTGCAGTCACCTACGCGATGCCATAGTTCTTCTGGGGGTGAAAGTCCTCCACTTTCGGTGCCCGAGCCTTTCTGTCTTGTGCTCGGAAAACCTTCACTTCAATCAGGCCACCGTCTTCAGCAGGGGATCTGGTTTCTTGGCCCGGCAGGAACACGAAATTGCGACACTCGAGACCTGCTTGTCCGTTGTAGCTTGGGCCTGGTGCCCACAGTGACTTGACAACATTGCCATGCTGTCTCTCGGTTGGGTTGATGCCCCATGAGGTGATCGCTCGGCCGTTCAAGAATAACTTGAAGAAGACATATTTGCAGGGTGGAGGAGGGACAACGTTGATGTTGTACTTGATCGCGAAGCAGTGACCTATAAACGTACGGACAGTTAACATGCCGGACATGGCCAGTTGGAAGAAGATCTAGTACCTGGAACGGACGGTATATACGTCGCAATCGTGGGGCCAGCTTTGCGTGTAGATATGGATTCCTGCTTTGCTGGACCGCCATGAGAACTGATCAAGCGGGCAGATGACCCCTCGGGATGCGGAAACTCGGGGATACGCTCGTTGGATGGATCGGTCACGAGAGAGATCTCAATTCCTCGTAGGCACGGCATCGTGAAAGGTAATGATTGTAGAGTAGGTGATGGTTTCGTAGAGGCCGAGTGCGGAGTTAAAGATGTATTTTAGACAGACATGTCTTCGTGGCGTGAAGGTGCCTTGTCTGGCGCACGCACAAGAATATTGGTCTCGATGCGCTGTCGAGAGCGTAATTGAAAGGGAGGTCGGGCGTCTCTCGACCTTTGGATGGTTGCTTTCCGTACTCGTCGAACAAGAGAAAACCCCATTCACGATCGATCCCAGGCGCGGGGTGAGTGACGGTTTGGGAGTGGGAAGGTGCATACGTCAACCTCGAATCCCAATTCACCTGAAAGTGGAGGTTGGGAGTCGGTCCCGAGCCTGGACTGAAGGTTTTCGTTTGATAAAAATGCCGTCACGTTGTCTCCGTTTACATCCTTCAGTTTTCTCCCCGAGAGCCTCAGTCGTCGCCATCTTGACCTACTCCTCGACAGCCCATTGAAGTAGTGCAAATCACCACCACTTCTCGAACAAGATTCTGTCGCGCTTCATGCCCAGACCATCATTGGAGACCAGTTTCTCTACCATTTCATCAGTCATGGTAGGAACACCGCAAACGTATACCACTGCCGAGTCTCTGTCATCCCCAACAGCTGATGCAATATCGGATAGGGATATTCTTCTGCTGGTGAATTTCACTTCAGATCCTTGGCAGTTCACCATGCCATCCTCCATATTAGAAACAGCATTCCTTTGCTGGTTGTCAAGGGGTCGTGTGAGAAATAACCGAAACGTCCCCCGAACCACCCTTTTTGCGAAGAGCCAGGTAATTCTCTCCAGAAACAGCATTTTCTTTACATCTCTCGGTGGCCCGGGGTCCTTCATCGAATAAAGCATTGTCACTTCACAAATCTCAGAAACTTTTCCATGCTTCACGTCATCCGCAATGGCGGTGAGGATACTCATCAAGGGGTTGATGCCGACACCACCAGCCACAAGCACCACCTTGCGAAGTGACGAGGCGTCGATACCGGCCGGCGGCCAGACAAAGCTGCCTCCAACGCGAACCTTGACTTCAGCATTCATGATTACTGGGACAGGCTGCCAGAGCCAAGCAGCTGGTGGATTATCTGGCGACTTCTGGATAGCCAGTTCAAGATAGGCCTGTGGTACCTGGCCATCTAGTCCCTGTTGCGCAACTGCAGCCGAGGGCGCAGAGGTTATGGTGAAACCTCCGGCCTTAGACACGCTCGGAACATAGACATCGAGCCATTGCCCCGCAGAAAACTGGGTAATGAATCAGCACTCTGCTGGGAGTGAAGGTGATTGATCCTTTGAGTGATGCTTACTTGGATTGTCGTCTGGTTGGGGATCATGAACCGAAATACTCTAATAGAATCGTTGACTTGGTTGACGTGATGAATAATAACGGTATGCAGTGCCTACACGAGTGTCAGTCACGGTGCAGCGATTCACAAGTCTTGGGTGAACAACCTCATCACGGGGTTCCTTTGCAGTTCTTTCCAGATGGCTTTCTTTCGACATCTTCTAGAACAGAGAACGTCGTACTGTTGCAAATTTGAGGAGTCTATATGAGACTTCCGACCTCCTGAAATCTTTTCAGTTAGCATGCAAACGAATCGTCGCATGCATCGATGACGAACAGGAATGTCGTCGTCTCTGGGTCGAAGTGGTAAATGTAAGCAGGGTTAGGGTGTCTTGGATGACACTAAACATCATCCTTCCTCCGACCCCACCTGGCCTGCCGCTTAAAGGGATCCGTCATGCACCAAACATCTGTTTATTTGTCTTCTTCAATTGACTTCACCCATCTCATCACAACAGCGTCTTCAACCGGATCTCGATGCGCAATCTGGGGAACCGGTCTACCTCCGCTCGCAAGCACGTGGCAGCCATGTCGCGTCCCTGGCCCTGAAAATGGCGACAGTTATCGTGAATTCGTGGGGTTGTCTCCACGAGCCATTTCGGTGATATCCAGGTCCTAACATCATGTTTTGAAATGTGCTGGACAAGCTGGCTCTCCTGGGACTTATACTTTTGTTGACAAGAAATTGCAGATTACACAAGCTGTTCTATCGGAAAGTTAAAAAGACAACAGCACGGGTATCGTGACTTATGTATAATCGACGTTACGTTGTCTCTTCCACCACTCTGTCTCAGGTCAACAAGACATACCCAACATGTGTGAAGTGTGCTGCTATGGCTCACGGCAGTCTTCTCGGGTACAACTAGGTATTCCAGCGAATAACCTATCTGAGTTGGTTCCGTCATCACCATCGTTGTGCTCATATCGACTGCCCTGAATGGGTCTTGCAAACGGTTGGCTTGGCACCTTGGATAACGTCAAGCCCTAGATGGGTTACCTTGTCATCCCCCATTCAACTAAGGACTTCCTCGGCTTTCTGCTAGGCTACCCTGAAGTTTCAAGTTACCCTGCAGCCGCACCCCGAGCCTAGGATCGGGATATTACCCCCCTACAAGATTTACGTCAGTCGCGCCAGAGCACTGCCGGGGTAAATCAGGCTTGGCGACACCACCACTTCTAAGGTCGTCTCACCTCCAAGGTCACACATACACTACACAGCAGGTTCTTATGCCCGGGCCGTTCAACATAGCCAGGGCAGCAGAGCTTCAGAGCCGTCACAGCCGATACCCATGGAACAAAGGCAGCTTTGTCAAGGTAGCCAGCCACCGTCTGAAGACAAGATGCCAAGTCTGATGGAATAGGGCTGGGCCGCAGGGCAGGTCACTCCAGCTGCCTTGCACTGAGTGAAGGGGGCACTCTGTGTCAAGCAGGAAGGGACACTGGGGGCTTGGAATGACGTCGCAGGGCTGTTTTCCCATGTGGGATGGCATCACACGCCAAGAACCGGAAACATGTTAGACACTTTCCGTCTATGATTGGCTGTCATCGTCCCTTCACTCACATCGTCCATTCAACATACCAGAGCTTCTTTAAATCAGCCTTGGTCACCCACTGTCTCCCAGTCGAACTCTCCTCCTTCCTGTGATTTACATACCAGCAAGCACCTTCGACTTGTCTTTATACTTGGAGGACGACATACATCAAACGGCTTCAACTTGCCTACTTCCCTTCGCTCAAGGTACCTCAGCTATCACGACTCAACCACCCCATCACAATGGCGAGAACAGGCTTCTTCCATCACTTCGGCACTTTCCTGCTACTAGTAGCAACGGTACTTCTTATCGTCACCTGCATTTCTGCACCTGTCATCAATGACATCTCAATCATGAAGGTCGATTTCGGCAGACTTCACGTGGGCGGTTTCAAGAGGGTAACCTTTGGTACCTTTGGCTGGTGCGAGATTGCCGATGGCCAAGCGTGAGTTACCTTTCTTACGATTCCTGGATATGCATCATATTAACCTTCTGAACAGTGACTCCTGCTCTTCCTCCCACGTCGGCTATAACCCTGCCAACGTGATGCGCATGATCGAGGGTACCTCCTTCTCCAACTACGCTGAGAACACCACCAAGGCACTCACCAAGGCCATGATCCTGCACCCCATCGCCTGCGGTCTCAACTTCATCGCCTTCCTCCTCGCCCTTGGCGCAGGCCTCGTCGGCTCTTTCCTCGCCTCGCTGGTTGCCGCTCTGGCTTTCATCGTCACCGTCGTCATCATGATCATCGACTTTGTCACTTTCAGCATCATCAAGTCGAACGTCAACGACGACGACAGCGACTCTCGCGCGCACTGGGGCTCCGCTGCCTGGACCACTCTGGCTGCCGCCATCTGTTCACTGCTAGGCATGATCATTCTCTTCATCACCTGCTGCTCGGCTAGAATCCACAAGAGGAGGAACAGGGACTTCGAGCCTAAGAACGACTACGGGGTTGCCGCTGCTCCTCCTCGCCGCAGGAGGTGGTTCTAAGTCACTGATTGTGACTAAGATGAACAACAGTCAAAAAACCAGTATTTGGTGTTTTCAACAGATAAAAGCAAGAACGAAACCACATTAATGAGCAACTTGTGATATCAGTTTGGTGTTTGGGATGATTTTACTGGAGGACACGATCTGTGATGGGGAATGATACCAAGCTTCGGGGCGTTCTTTTGTTATTTACTTCAAGGGCGGCTGAGCGTTCGACTGTAATATTTTTATGAATGCATGTTGAATTGTGATTCTTTCTTCTTTGCTTCTTTGCATCTCAACCATTGAAGCGTTGTGTGCGATTTGCTACAGTTGAGTGTCGCACTTACAACAGCATCGTAGTACCGTCTAATCGACGACTTTCCTAATTGGGCGATGAATTACTCCACCAAATTTTGTTTCGTAATCCGACGACAATCAATGAGAGCGGGGGACCATACTATCCCCTCAACATCATCGATCCCACATATCCGTCTCTTGAACATCATAAAGCTCATGTTCGCATCTTACCTCCAAACCTCTCACAATCAACTTTCAAACAATTTCATATCATCCTTTGATATCTATCTACCTTACTATCATCACCACACAGCATGCCCCACCAACCCAAACTCACCCTCCTCATCGCCACACAATAATCCTTAACCCTCCCAAATCTCAACCCCAACCATCATCACCATCGCCCACCAAAGAAATTTCAAAACCAAAATGTTTTTCACCAAACCCCGCCTCCGCCGTATAATAGGCCACAACCTCCACCACTTCCTCTCCCCTCACCTCCTTCTCTCCGAAATCTCCGGCTCCCTCGGGGACCTAGGCACCCTCCTCCCCCTCCTCCTCGCCCTCTCCCTCCAAGGCTCCATCGACCTTCCCTCCACTTTAATTTTCTCCGGCCTATTCAACATCCTGACAGGGCTGGTTTTTGGCGTCCCGCTACCGGTTCAACCGATGAAAGCGATTGCTGCTGCTTCTCTCCAGGGAAATGCAGACTTGGAAACGACGGTAGCGGCGGGCGCGTGGGTTGGTCTTGCTGTGCTACTGTTGGGCGGGACGGGAGGACTGAAGAGGGTGATGAGGTGGGTGCCGGGCGCGGTGGTGAGGGGGGTGCAAGTGGGAGCGGGGATGAGTTTGGTGGTGGCGGCGGGGGGTGGGATGATTAGGCCTTTGGGGTGGTTGTGGACGCCCGAAGAAAATGGGCATGGGGGATTAGGGGAGTGGTTGGATAGTAGGGCGTTGGCGGTGGTGGCTTTTGGTGGGTTGGTTGTTACGTTGGGGCAGCAGCAGCAGCAGCAGCAGCAGTCTGGAGAGAAAGAAAGGAGGAGGAGGAGGAGGAGGAAGAGGAGCAGGATACCGGTACAGGTACCGTACGCGTTGGTGTTATTTTTGCTTGGGATTGTGTTTGCTGTAGTGAGGGTTTCTCTGTCCAAGGACTCTCCTCAGTCACCACCACCACCACCCTACGACCAACCGACGAACTCGGCTCCCTGGACATGGATCTGGAACCCCCTTAACCACATCCACCCCGAAGTCTTTCGCTCGCTGCTCAACCCGCAAGCCTTAAGCATGGCGATCGCTCAACTCCCGCTGACGACACTCAACTCGATCATCGCCGCTTCGGCACTCGCTTCCGATCTCTTCCCGCCGGACTCCTATCCCCAGCTATATGATGATGAATCGTCTGACCCGCCCCTATCTCCATCGCCCTCGGCGTCCTCTTCACTATCATCGGTACCCCCGCAAACCCCCTCAGAAAACCCGAAACCCCTCTCCTCTCCCACCTCGGAAGAAGGACCAGTCCCCCTAACCCCCCTCTCCCTCTCCATCTCGGCCATGAACCTCCTCTCCGCCCCGTTTGGCTGCATGCCCCTCTGCCACGGCTCTGGCGGACTCGCCGCTCAACACCGCTTCGGCGCACGGAGCGGGACCTCCATCATCTTGTTAGGTCTCACAAAATTTCTACTTGGACTGTTCTTTCCTGGACCAGGACTGCTGGGGTTGTTGGGCAAGTTTCCAAAAGCGTTTTTGGGAGTCATGGTTTTGGGTGCGGGGGTGGAGTTGGCGAGGGTTGGCGTAAGAAATGTGGAAGGAGAGGAGCAGGACAGGATGGTAATGTTGATGACTGCGGGGACGATTTTGGCGTTTAAGAATGATGGGGTTGGGTTTTTGGCGGGGATGGGGTGTTATGGGGGGTTTAGGGTTGCTGCGTGGATGAGTGGTGGGACGGAGAAGGGGAGAGGAGGGGAACAGGGGCTGTTGGGGGAGGAGGAGGAAGAAGAACAGGGGAGAGTTGATGAGGAGAGTCCGCTTTTGAGGTGAGATATTGGATATTGCGGTGGTGGTGATGCGAATGGTTGGGAATATCAAGTTTGGTTTGCGCTGCTTTGATACCCTTATATTACATTAGTATTATTTCGTGTTCAAACTGATCTGTCAAGGCTGCCTACTTATACATGGCACTTAAACATCTATATACAATTCTTCTTTGACTTACATTAGGATACACTCCCATTCCACTGCTATTTGTCCTAATCTTCTACACTCACCATCTACACAATACTCCCCGGTGCATGAGGCGGCGCATTCCATCCCCGACTCTTGAACCTTTCCTCTTTCTCTCCCCCCTCCCACTCCTTCCTACCCCTACCATAATACCCATTCTCAAACTTCTTCACCCTCTTCAACAACCAAAAATTATACACCCCAAGCAACACCACCGACACAACCATCAAAACCCCTTCCACCACCATCGCCATCACTGCCGGAAAACACCACCCCCCTTCATGCTGCGCATACACACTCACCAAAGTAGCCAACACGCCAGCCAGTCCGTTCAAAAACAAAGGCATATACAGCCTGTTAATCAGCCAAACATAATTTCTCCGCCACCGGATGCCGAGCCAGAGGCAGCCTAGGATGCCGAGGGCCATGCAACCTAGGCTGACGGCGAACCACGGTTCCATGGGATACACGACGGATCCAGAAGGGGTATGAAAGGATCCAGTGACGATAATAAACGCAACGAGAAGGAGCCAGGTAAAACACGAAACGAGGATGTTATGCAGACGGGGGATCTTGTCAAGGGCGAGAAGCATTTGCATGTAGGGCGTGTTGAGGCGCATCGCTTCGCGCTGGTGGCGGCAGGGACCTGGAGTCGACGGGACGGAACGGGGCTGGGTGTACAGAGCGGGGCCTTTGATGGGGTTTCTCATGGAGGCATCGCCGCCAGTAGATGGAGTTTGTGAGGGTACTCTGAGCGGTGGTAGAGAAGGAGTGTCCTTCCGGGGAACGGGTGGCCGAAGTGAAGTGTCTTTCGGGGGAACAGGTGGTGGTGGTGGTGCTGCGGTCAAGGGCCTCGTGCTTGAAACACTAATTGCTGTGCTTGATGCCGGATAATGGGATGGTGTCGATATTTCGGGTGCGGAATAGGAGGGACTTGGTATCACAGTTGGAGCATGATCGATCCTGGGAAAGAGGCTGAGTCTAGAGGTTTGGCGATGCATAAGAGGAACGGGGGAGCTTCGTGCCCGGCCTTGAGGGCGAGCTGTCTCGACAGGCCTTGAAATTGATACTGAGAGAGGCGGTGGCTTTAGGTAGCCTAAGTCTTGATGGTAGCGGGAGGCATCGAAAAAGGTGCCGGTACGGGGAGAAAGACGTGGACATTTTGGCCTGTTGCGTGACTGGGCTTCTGTAGACCACGTCTCCCGTCGTAGTGCCGGCTGGGAATTGACATTGCGAATAGTTGAGGAGAACCTTTCTTGGTGTCTTTTAGGTGCTGTGTCGCTATAGCTTTCGACTGTCTCATCATATACCGAGGATGATCGAGAGTTGTCTTTGAGAAAGGTGGAATGTCCGGCCTGGGATAGTTGTGTTATTGGAGTATCTCTTTGCCTTGTTTCGTGTTCGAAGCCACGTATGGCATCCGCGATGTGTGTCTGCGGGCGAGAAACTTGGGTATCCATTTCTTGGGCAGCCAAGGGTTGTGATGGTCATACACATAGTCCATGTCAGAAAACATAGAGCTGATAACGCACGCACACGTACACATATCATATTATATATTTATACATGACACTATTCACTCGATGTCCCATGGTGCCGTAACAAGAAGATTTGGAAGTATCAGGAGTTGCACTTGCAACGTCAGTCTCACCAGTGCTGAACAAGCGGCGCAGTGAAGCCGCAGATGTCAACATTGCGGTGTTGACATTCCTTAAACAGGCAAATACAACCTAGGGGCTATGCGACTCTACAGAATACGTAGTGGGGGACCATTATTTCCGACGTGAAGGAGTGACCGAGCTGAGAGTAAAGAGTTGTATGGTTTGACGCAGCATATCGTTAAGGGGAGTTTGGGTGGTGTCTTTCAAACACAGGCTTCCATGCAGACTCAGCTTCCCACTTGGTTGAGGCTGGATTGGGGGTGGCACGGCGAACTGGTGATGATGGTAACCATGGTTGCAACCCTTGAGCTTTCATCAGGTTCAAGCCGGTGTGGCTAGTACGTTTTCGCTTGCGCGCAACAGTGGCGCTGACAAGTCCATGCAAGGCACTCGCCGCCTTCCTCCTTGCAGTCTGTTTGCAAGATAGCCGCTCGGATACTTTTGTACCTGGTATTTGAAGAATAGCTAAAGACAGCTGAGAGGACGGAGGTTGTGGTCGGTTCTCGATGAGTGTCGGACCCGAAACGGAAGTCACGGAGGATGGGCCGATCATCACAACGGTCCAGTCCTTGGTGGATCCGGGGAGGGGCCGAAGGCACTGTTGGGTACATACAAGGTGATGAAGCCCGGGTATGATGTGGGAATAGACGGAACTGATCACTTCAAGTTCATGAAGACGGGCTAGTAGGCAGTTACCAATCAACAAAACACAGAGCGAGAGAGGATAGGAAATCGGGTGACAACCTTATTTGACTTTTCAAAGTTAAGAAGGAAGTGAATGTCCAAACACCAGAACAGTGTACACTACAATACAGTAGGAAAGCGTCAGTGAGAGTTTGCGTTCAAAGTGGAGAATTGTGAAAAGGATGATGGAGCTCAGGTGGCCGACGCTGCAACGGTGCGGGGATCCCGTGGCTCGTTTAGCCAATCAGAAATTCTGCCTGCTTCCTGTACGACTTCAAAAAAAGTTTGGACTCCACAGCAAGCAAGGGTGGAAGGTCAGCCTTTTTTTTCAAGAAAGTTACCTACGCCAAACCGCAGGACACTCCGCAATCCAGAAGCAGGCAATTGCAGCGCAATCGTGACAGGCTCAACACCTTCTGAATCCGCTGGGGGAAGGGACATGTACGCAGTACGTACGGGACTGTCCTTACACCCGATTCGCCAGTCTGTCATTGACTGACGCTCTTTTGTCCCACTTTGCTCACTTTGAACCAGGAAGGCAGAGAGCAGTCGACACAAGGCTGGACTATCACAAGGAAGTGGAAGATTGTACCTACCCATCTCTCGTCACGTAGAGAAAGACCTCGAGAGAGCGAGAGCGAGGGACGGACGCGCTACGGATTGCGAATTGCCGGCGCATTAGCACACGGTCCAGCATTGGTACGCGGACCCTTCCCCGTCCAGTCGCAGTTGCAGTCGGCTTGTCCAACCTGGGTGGGTGTGCTAGCAGCGGTCCCGTCTCCGGCTCCAGTCCCCGTCCCGCCAACAGCAATCTTTCCCGTCATTCCATCTTCCGCCCTGGGCGCATCTTGAACCCTCTCCGTCACCCATCGCATTGCGAACTGGCAGATTGGCACACCGCGGAGCCGGCCTCGACCAGGGCACCACTACCACTACCTCGCGCTGTAGGCGAAGGAGCTTGTTATGTCGGAGCAAGCGATGACTTCGTCCACACCCTCAGGCGCCGAGAGCGCTCAACCGCAACCGCAACCGCAGGTTCAACAACAACAGCAGCAGCAACATCAAGAACAGAAACAACAGCCACCACCACCACCTCCTCCTCCTCCTCCTTCTCCTCCCCCTCCTCCTCCTCCTCCACCACCACCTCCACCACAGCCAGAGCCCCAGCCGGCACCCCCTCCACCAGATACCCCGTCCCAGTCGCAACCGCAGCAGTCATTACTACAACCACAGCCACAGGTCCTCGATGCTCCTGCTCACAAGCTCGATTCCGTTGCCCTCGAAAACGGCATCAGCTATACCCTCAACTCGCCCCCACGACCGGCCATCTCTCCCCTAACCGATCCAGTTCCCGACCCTCGTACTCGCGAACCTTCCGTACAACCCCTTGAAAGCGAGCTCGAAACGAATAACGCCGCCGACCAGCCCACGACGAATGGAAATGCGCACTCCAACCCAACGAACCGACCGAACACAGACCTCAAAGGTGGCAGGGACACCCCGCAGGCCATGGGCGTCCGGGCAACTGCAGGTGCAGCAGTAGGAGGAGCAGCAACAACAACCGTAGCAGGAAATCCTACAAATTCCACCTCACACTTCTCAGGTCTCGCAATGGACGGAACTCCAATAGCTCCCTTCAACACTCAAGCCCCCCCAGCGGTCGACGGTATGGGCAACATGGACTTTCCTTCTTCCACCATGGATCTCTTACAGTCCCAGAGTGGTCATATTCTCATGAGCTTCCTCCAGTCGCTCTCTGTAACCACCCAGCAACAACAGCTACAGCAGATACCTCCCCTCCCACCAAATACCGTCCGTCCGTCGCAGGTCTCGCTGGCCCAGATGCAGCTCGATCAAGCCAATGCCTCGCATCTGCCACATATAACAGCCCAGGGGGGAATCCAGCCACCCGCCGCCGCCGCCGCTGCAGCCGACGCTTCGCTCGAGTCCTTTGCCAGACTGGAATTCGCCGACGGTGTCTTCCAAATGACTACCTATGCCCTCATCATCGGTCGTGACCAACGTGCCTGGAGGTTAGCAAAGAAAGAGGAGCGTCGTGCCGAGCAATACCAGCGACTGAAAGACGAGTACGAAGCTCAGGGTTTAACCCCACCGGCTCCCCCTTCTGAAGACGCTCGCCGATTTTCAAAGTCATATATTAGTGAAGAGGGCGGCATGTTGGGTCCCGAGTCGGATGATGAGGAAGATGAGGAGGGACGCCCGTCAGATAACCGGGCCCCGAAGAAGCGGAAGATGAACGGCGGTGTTTCTTTACCTGTGGATTCGTTCGGTGAAGTGGAGAGCAGTTTGATGTCTGCTGACCAGACCGTTGATGATGGAAAGGGTCCGGTGTCAAACAGGCAATACGTCTCGCATACCCCAGGAGCCGCGGCTGTTAATCTCAGCGCTCTCCGACCCTCTCCACACCACACACCTTTCCTGGGCATTCATTCTCCAGGTCCCAACATTGCTGCCAAGACAAAGGCCATCTCCAGAGAACATTTAAAGATTCAGTTCAACTCCCAGGCTGGCGTCTTTGAAGCCATTCCTCTGCACAAGAATGGCTTCTTCTGTGAAGATGTCCACTACAGCCACGACAAGGTGGTTCTCAAAAGCGGAGACCGTCTTCAAGTCAAGGATGTCGAGTTTGTCTTTATCATCAATGGTGTAGCTGAAGGCAAGACCGGTGCTGAAGAGTATGAACCAGAAGAGACACCCGCGAGGAGATACTCAGAAGGCGGAAAAGAGATGAGTTTCGATTTTGAGAGCATTCACGACGTCGACAGGCGTAGCACCAGTCCTGAAGACAATGAGGTGCCCATGTCCGTCGATCCTGACCGAGACGACAGCCAAAGTGAGCTATCAGAACCTCCGGACGAAGATATTCTTCTGCCCGACGCGCCGGATCATGTCATGGAAACGGTTGAGAAGGAAGAGGCCGAAGAAGATGACGACGATGAAGCCCGGTCTCAGTCTCAGTCTGTGAAACCTGAGCCAAGGCCAGAATTCCCCGACATGTCCAGCGTACCACTGATGGACCCCCCCAAGAAACGAGGTCCCGGAAGACCGCCCAAGAACGGCATCATGTCCAAGAGGGAAGAGCGACTTCGGAAAAAGCAGGCCATGGAGCTCGCTAAAAAGAACCAACCGCCTCAGCCGCCTGGTGAGCCGCCCATCAAGCGCAAAGTCGGTCGACCGAGGAAGCATCCCCTTCCTGAGGATGCCCCGGATAGACCTGAGAAGCGCAAGTATAAACCGCGCAAGAAGAATGGAGAAGAGGGCGATGCCTCTGACGCCGAAAAAACCATCAAAGAGAAGCGGCGCGAGAAACCCAAGACGCCTCCGCTCGAGCTGCGCAGGGAGGACTATACCGAGGAACAGCTGCAGAAGCCAAACAAGAACTACGGCGTCCTGATCGACGAAGTTTTGTCTGCCGCACCGGACGGGCTCACACTCAAGCAAATCTACAAACGCATTCAGCTGAAGTATCCCTTCTATTACTTCAACGTGGATACCAAAGGGTGGGAGAGCAGTGTCCGGCACAATCTTATTGGGAACGATGCGTTCAAGAAGAACGAGGAGACTCACCTCTGGAGCCGCGTCCCCGGAATCGATATTGATGCTGGAAAGAAGCGCAAGGCACCCTCCCCTGACCACGCCTCCTCCTTGCATAACTTCGGCCAGCATTACGCACCGCAACCCATGCCTCCTCATCCTGGCATGTACCACGGAGAGCACGGGGTCCAACAAAGCTATCATCCAGGTACTGTGGGCCAACGACCGAGCTATGTCACTACCGGACAGCCAGGAGCCAGCCAGCATCCGCCTCAGCATCTTCAAACTCCCCAGCCCGGCGTTCCGCCTCAGCAGCCTCCCCGGCCAGCCTACCAGGCTGCTACTCAAACAAGTCCACCAGCACAGGCCCAAGTGTATGGTACGCCGCCGACCGCAGCACGCCAAATGTCAGGTACACCAGCCGCGACATATCCGTCGCCATACGTACCAAGACCTCCCATGCCTACTGTTGCGGCACAGTCTGGTGCCACTCCCCACAGCATGGCCAGGCAGCATTCTCTCCCAGTCAGCGGTCCAAGTCAGGCAAACGGTGTCCCACGGGTCAATCCACCACCCGCTACTGCAAATACCGGAGTACCGGTTGCCGGCGGGGCTAGGCCGGCTCAGCAAGCTACGCCAACAGCGAATACTACGGCGCCAGTGCGGCTCAAGCCAGTTATCGCGCCAGAGCTCATCTCGTGGCTTGAGAGCTTCAAGGTAACGGTTGAAAAGCTGGAATACATCCAGAAAACGTCAAAGTTTCCGCAGATCCTTGCCATGTCTGTCATCAATCGTGGGTTGAAGTTAACCACGAAAAGCATGATACCTGATGAGGAATCACTGGAGTTGGTTGTGCTCCGTGTCTTTGAGGAGCGGATTCAAGGCACCAGCCACAAGTCGCTTGATCCAGATTTGCTGCAGACTCTACTCACCTTCAAGGCCACTATGGTGAGCACTTTGGAGGCCAAACTGGACTCACAGAAGGCCGAGTGCTTGGTTCTCTCAGCTATCGATCAAGTTCTCGGCCTGGCTGACAAGACTATTACGCGAGGAACGGAGTCTGAGATGCGGGAGTTCAATAACGCTGAAAAGGTTTTGATTCCTGCTATCAGAATGAAAGTGGCAGAATGGCAACGGAAACAGGTAGCCGCAACACCACCAGCACCAGTTCATGCGACAGCAACGCCAGGCGCACTACCCGCTAACCATCATACAATGGCCCCTGCGACAGCCCCTAGCCCGGCTCAAAGAATTGCTACACCGAGCGCGACCCAGCGAGCCAACCCGCCGGGCGGCAATTCTTCAGCAGTTCCCCGAAGCATCACAGCCGCAGCTCCCGCTCCTACTCCGGCCCCATTGCTTCCTAGGGCTGCACCCATCTCCGGGCACCCTATCGCACCCTCAACGGTTAACAACACGAACACCGCAATGGGAGCTCGACCTGTGCCCGCCGCTGTCCCGGGACCCCAAATAGGTGTTCACACGGGGGCTGCTATAGGAGTCACTGCCCCTGTTTCTAGAAGCCCGCCTGTCACTCATGGTGTTGTTACTGCAGCTCCCACTACCACGCCCCGGAGCAATCTGGCTGCCTCTGTCCCAGCAGGCTCGATGGCCCAACAAACTTATTCCGGGGCACCAGTGGGGTCAGGTAATGCATCTGTCTCCAGAGCTCCTCCTTCCACTGCGGCTCCGACTGCGCCGACGTCTGTCCCGCCGGTGTCTTCCACCGTTCGTCCAATGTCCTACGTGCCAACCGGCCCTCCGGGCTTGACAGCGCCTCCCACAGCTTCCTCGGGAGCGAGTGCCGGGTACGCTAGACCTGCCAATGCTTCCACAATGCCAGCGCCCACCTCTGGACAGGCGGCGATGACATCGGCTGTCCCTCAAAGTGTACCTTCTCCAAGACCTTCGTCTTTGAAAATGGGAGTTCCTGCAATTGCCGCTGCCTCAACCTCAAGGCCTGCATCTGGGGTCTATAATCCTCCAGCATCATCACTTGCGCCTTCCACCCATAAGAGTATGCCATCAGCAGTTCCCACAACTGCTTCTGGAGCCGTCTCATCAACTGTATCTAGCCTTGCGGCGACTCCTTTGCCGCCATCAACTCCTCGATATGGCCCGTCCAAAAACGCCACACCGACGATTCCAGCAGCAGCTATTCCTCGAGCTCCTTTACCAGCCGCTTCATCAGTGTCTGCTCCAGTCACCGGTCAGCCATCATTCTCTGCACCGGCATCGGTACCCACACCACCGACAAGTGTAGCCTCTCAAGGAGCTCAGCCACTCTCTCAGCTAGTCGGTCCAGCTCCAGCTATCTCTAGCTCTATTGGGGCTACTCCGGCTGCTTCGATTCCCTCTTCGGCGCCTGCTGCCTCGGCTCCTGTTACTTACCCAGGTCCCCAACAAGCTTCTGCTGCTGCTGCTCGGCTTCCTGTCACTTCAGCTCCTGCTGCACATACGATTGCTCAGTCGGTTGCTCAGCCGGTCGCCCGGCCGGTTACCCAATCCCCTGTCCAGTCGGTTGCACAGCATGTGACTTCCAGTCAGGCTTCCACCACGGCTGCCCATCCAGTCGCACAGTCGGTCCCTCGGCCTGTTAGTTCCAATCCTACTTCAGCTGCTCCGGTGGCGGCTGTCGGTACGGCTCAAGTTGCTTCAGTGCCTACTGTTACACAGCCAGCTCCTCACCGGGCTCTCTCATCAGTTTCTCAGTCGCTTCCTCAGTCGGTTCCTCACGCAGCTCATCAGGCAGCTCACCAGACTCCCCACTCAGCTTCTCGGCCAGTTCCTCAGTCAGTTCCCCAGTCGGTCTCCCAGGCAACTCAGGCGGTACCCCCGCCGAGCACTTCAGCTCTTACCCCAACTGCCCAACCAGGCCCAGTTTCTCCAGCTGTTTCTGGGTCTGGAGTCCCAGCTCCTTCTGCCGCTCAGTCCGTTGCTCCGGCTCCGGTCAGCTCCACTCCGGTCCCAGCTGCGACCGTAACTCCGGCTCCCACGGTAGCTGCTGCTTCAGCTCCTACTCGCGTTACAGCTGCACCTGCTGCATTGTCTGCGGCTACGAATCCCGCTCCTGTTCCCAGTCAACCTCAACACCAAATAACGGGTCAGGCGCCAGCACAGCAGCAGAGACCACCAGCACAGGCTCAGGCCCCGGCTACACCGATTATTACCTCTGCGGCACCTCCCCGGCCTCCTACTCTAGCTCCTCCACCTCCTCCACCTCCTCCGCCGCCTAGTGTAGCTCCTCCGCCTCCGCCGCCTACTGAAGATCCACCTCCACCACCTCCTCCTCCACCTCCTGCTGAAGCGCCTCCCCCACCGCCACCAACTCCTCTTATGCCGACTTCGGCAAGCAGTGCTTCTTAGCAAAGGGTCTCTAGGTAACAGAAGGATGCATGTGTTATTTCTTTTTGTTGTTTCTGGGGGGGAAGTGTAGCCAAGGACGCTAACCATGGTTTCCAAAAGATGAAGAATGAAGAATGAAGGACAATAAGGGACATGAAGGGGTTGTTGGCATCTGTCATTGTGATCATGTAGCGTTCTTTTATCATACGCATGGAACACTTGCGGGAGGCGTTATTGTGTCGCTTAGTGCATTGATACCACAGATGGAATGGAAATTGGAACGGAAATGGATTTCATCATGAAGGAGTCATTGGTACACACTTGATATTCATTACTTTTCTCATTTCCTATTGCTTGTTTCTGTGATCGGACACATGGACAAACACACACACACACACACATGTGATTGGGATTATCAAACAAATCGTGGGAAGTGACGCGTGGGATATATCGGGGAGTGATGAACTTATGCTTTGGTATGGTGAAGTATGGTGGTATTACATCGGACGCTATGGTAGACAAAACAAAACAAACGCAGAAGGGCCGGGACCACAATAACAGAGGCTATGAAAAGAGGAGAGTTAGATAAAATTTGGTACCGAGGTGTTAAGAAGTGGGGGTCACGCTTATAGATGTCTATTATTATCATTCCGTCATAACTATGAGGCGAACCACGCACGAGTTTTCATTCTTGTTACGTTGAACAAGTCAAACCAACAAGTACTGGCTTAACTTTTAGGAAATATTCAACCAGGGAAACGTATCTTAGTGTAGGATTTTGCAGTGGAACATCACAGCTAAAAGAGGAGGTTGAACGTCGAAGAAAGGGAACTATAGAAGGAAGTAAATTTGTACGTACTGCATGGTTTTAAAGGAGGTAACACTGACTACTCCCCACCGGGATATATCTACATCTCGGTCAGCCCCAATCGTAGACATCCAGATCACATCACGTCTTGAGGCATTCATTGTGGTAGTATCAACCACAAGGGTACGAACGAATTCTAGTTATTCATATTCTTCTTCGTCTTTCTCTGCTTCATCTCCTAGATATATTCAAGTCTAGACATCTGTCTTCCTTGCACACACAAAGACATGTACACATATCCTCCATTCCGTTCCACATTGCTCCGTCGCTTCCATTCGCAACAAAAAACCAAAAACCAAAATCAACACATCCAAGAATTATATAAAACAACCAAAAAAAGGTATCCCAACAGCATCAAAAAGAGCAAACCAACCCCAATATGTGCACACGCACACGTCCCTTTATCTCATATACTCACTCTCTCAAACTCCCCCAATTTTTGGTTTGCATTTTGCTTTAAAGAGCAAGCAAAGCAGCCACACCAGCGACAACAGCAGCCACACCGACACTCATCAAAGCGTTCTTGCCTGCACCAGCGGTCACGGGCGCATCCTCAGTAGCAGTAGCGAGAGGAGGCTGGGCGATAGACAGGCTATAAGGGGAAGAAGAAGAGCTGCCGGCGGGGCTGTCAGGAATGCCGGTGTTGGAAACGAGAGGAGCGGAGAAAGTGCTGTCGAGAGCGCCGTTGTTGTTGCCGGGGAGGGTAACGGTGGGGAGGGGGCCAGTGGCGACAGGAGGGATGGAGCCGTTGCCGTTACCGTTGCCAGAGCCAGTGCCAGTGCCAGTGCCAGTGCCAGAGCCAGGAGCGCTTCCGGAGGGAACAGGGACCTCGCCGGAGCCGGAGCCGGAGCCAGTGCCAGAGCCGGAGCCAGTGCTGGGAGCGCTGCCGATGGCCGCAGGGGGGACACCCTCACCATTGCCACCGCCGTTGTTAGAGCCGCCGGAAACAACAGGGACACCGTTACCGCCGCCGGGAGCGTTGGTAGGAGCGGGGTGCTGGGTGACGGGGCAGACGGTGGTGGAGATGGCAATGACGGAGGTGACGACGCGAGCAGGGCAGTTGGTCACGGTAGCAGCGCAAGAGGTGACGGTGTAGTAGCTGGTCGCGTAGACGGTGGAGGTGGTCCACTGCTGGGGAGCAGTGATGGTGCTGTTGGGGAAGAGGCCGACGCCAGAGGAAGAGTTGCCGTGGAAACCGGCAGAAGGACCACTGGGGGCAGAAGTGATCATGGGAGAACTGCCGGTTTCGGTGGCACTGCCACCGGGGGCGAAAATTCCAGAGTAATCGTCACTCTCACCCTCGTCCTCGTCATCGCAGTCGGTAGTGCCGTTAGTCCCAGTAGGGAGAGCCGCGGAAGAGGTGGCGGTGACAGAGACTACGTCGGAGCCGGAGGCAACAACGGAGGTGGAGGCAATGTTGCTGAAGATTTTGGTGCCGGAAACGACCTCGGGGCTGCGGACGGCGGAAGCGGAAGCGGAAACCACGGCAGAGCTAGAAACAACCTCGGAGCTGGAAACGGCCGAGCTGGAGACGACAGAGACGAAACTGGAGGTAACGGCAGAGCTGATGGCGGAAGAAGTGGTGCTCGAAGAGATGACAGACGAAGTGGTGGTAGGAAGGGCCTGCTGGAGCTGGTAGACGTCGATGTACTTGATCTTCCAGTAGACATCCTCGAAATCCTGGGGGTTGTTCGAGACATATGCGTCGCAAGACTTGGCCTTGGCAGCGCACCTGGGATCATTACCGAACTGCGGTCCAGCAGCATCACCGCAGAAGTTGATGTTGAGGATGAAACGGAGGTCCTTGAAACCCCTCTCAACATCGCAGGTCTTGCTGGTAACCGACATGTGCGGCTTACCCCAGGTCGCGGGGTTGGGAGTTCCGTTCTCGATGTCGGCGGGCTCGGTGGCCCAGCTCCAGACACTGAGATTTTCGTCGGTCCATTCGAAAGCATCTAAACGTGATGATATTAGCACAGTTCTTAATATCTGAAGTTAAAAAGACGAGTTTACTCACAAACACCACCCTCGGGGTTGCCCCATTGGCCTGTACTCTCCATCACACCACAGCCCTGGTTGACCCACTGGCCTAAAGCGGAGTTGTCGCAGTTGAAGGTCTGGGAAACCTCAGTGTGTGTATCAGGGGCGAGCAGGCACTCGCCAACCTTATCAGGCTTCCCGGTGTGGTAGGTAATCATGTTTCGATCGGACAGTGACCACATCTCGTAAATGTCGACTTCACCGTCCTCGGGCCAGTTGTCGCCGACCATCCAGAAAGCGGGCCAAGCACCACATACAGGCTTGGGGAAGTGGCTGAACTTGGCAATAAACAGACCGTTGTTGTATGTGGCGGTACTCTCGAGACGGACACTCTTACGTCCGGCGACACCGGAAGTCGTGCTATCGACACCAATGCGGACATCATCGCCTTCGGTCTTGAACAAACCCGAGGACACTGCGGCATCCTTGCCCAGGTATTTGACAAACCCACCGTTGGGATCCTTCACCTTCTCATCGTGGCCACCCTATATTTCAAGATATCGTCAGCAATATTCATGTCATGTAATCGTCTCATAGGTTCTGACCTCAAAGAAATTGAACTTGTCGGCAAAGTTAGCCGAGTTATAAGACTCGGACAGCTGATAGGTCTTGCCGGAGGCAGGAGAGCTAAGGGCAGAAACACCAAAGGTATAAGCCAGGGCAACAGCACCCAGCTTGAACATAGACGGAGCCATGACCGTCCAAAAGAGTGACAGTGATTACTGAAAAAATGAGTGGACTTGACGTACGATACGTCAGAGGACGAGCAAAAAGAAATGCTCAGAGAATAGAGTAGCTACTGAAGCAGCAAAGAGATAGTCTTGGCTGATGGGGCACCAAAAGAAGAGAAGAAAAAGATCATCCATCTTGGGGGGGCTTTGGGCTTTTTGTTCTGACACGCGCGGTTGTACGTTCTTACCCAACACATTGGAGGGTTGGGAGGGCACATCTAGCCGAGCGGGACCTAGGAACCGAGAGGTCCTCCCCAGGCCTGTTGAGGCTGATACGGTGGACCAACATGGGGCATCGCTAACCGGAGATTCGTGCTGAAAAGGGCAACACTGAGGTGGATGGTCCAGACTCGGGGTAGTATTGTCAGGGGTAAGCTACGGATCCGCCCACGGTACCTGGGAGCATATCGGCGGCTCATATAGGCCTGCTGAGGACAGGCGCTGCATTGTCGTCAGTTCTTTTCACAGCGAAAGCGTCGTCAGTCAGACCCCGGATGGCCCTTTTGCCCTGAATGGCTAAGCTGGTGGACAGAAGAGCACAGGCGAGCAGGCAACAGCAAGATGCCAAGAGAAGCATCATGGTCGACACGGGCCATCTTTTCAGAAGAAGAGGCCGGCTTCCCTTGACGGTCATTCATGCCTGGACGGTGGCTCGGCGGGTTCTGTCAGAGATACGATGCCGTCTCGCCCATCTTTTTTCTCTTGAGTTTCAAGACTAGGAGATCTTTTCCAGATGGATGGTCACCATGTAGTGAATGCATGTCAGACTTTCTCATGCTTTGATTGGTTAGCTGGCGTTCCTAGAAGGGAAGAGGAGGAGGGCCGGGAGTGGACAGGAAGCTAGGGAACGAGATGGTTCAACTGCAAGAACAGGGTCTCATGGAGGGGGAGGCCGAAAGGCGCAAGCAAAAGTTGCTCTTGTCCCATTGGCTGTCTGCGATAAGCTTTGATATGTGTATGTGAGTGCCAGCATCTCATCACCAACTGGCGGCGCCGAGAAAAGGGGAGAATGCAACAGTGGTGGTGAGTGAGTGCTCAGTCATGGAGAATACACTACTAGTGTGGTGCCATTTTGGGTACTGTACAATGGCCATGTGGGTATGGATCGTATGGGACCTAGGTGAACCTGGGGCATCGAGAGAAGGGAGTCCCGGATTCACAGCTCGCTCTCGGGGAGGCGCAGTCAAGATTGGAACGACGGAAGAAGTTCAGGACTTGTGAGCAAGGTCTGGCGTGAAGTCCTTAATTCGTTTGGTGGGGGTCCAGGGGCATCTCGGCGGTCCTGGTGAGTCTCGCCAACGGCGCCCACTGCAACATTAGTGTACGAGCGTAGCCCCACTAACGCCCGGTGGGCCCATCAATAATATGATTGTTAAGTGGAAGGTTCTCAAGGAGAAGTCAATGCAACGCATTAAAAGTGATGATTGAAAATGTTTGTGTGTTGATTGATGACTTCCACACTGCTCGGTGATGTCGGGGTCTTTCATGTGAATGTTGATCATTGCCTCCCAAGACCATTTACAAGAAGAGCCGCAACCGGCGTGCCAAAGCGGTTAAAGTTGTTCGCTTATCAGAGTCGATCACCAAGGCGACCGGGTAGCCATGATGAACCGAACGCTGGAGATGTTGCAGATCCGGCATCGCGTTTCATGGACTTGTCAAGAAGAGGGTGAGTGCCGGAAAGTGGGAGCTGACCTAATCCACACCTCCATGGGACCATCTGCCCGGGGACAAACAGCGGCCCGGGGGGGAAAAGAGGGTTGCAGCGGCAACAACGCCGCCTGGGCCCGGCATCAGGAGGAGGAGGCGCTCAGTGGCGTTCAGGGGTGTTCCTTACTGGGTGTTTGTTTACGCCGACCAGCTAGCCGAAATCAACGTCAGCCAGCCATCACCACCACCCTCCAAATGGTAACAAAGATCCAAAAGAAAACACATCAACCACACCTTACCTATCACGAACACGGAGGATATGGCCGATATTACCGACACTACTTATCCCCAAAGGCTCTCCACCGTGACGACTTTGGACTGATAACGACTGTAGGAAATTACTATACACTATTGGCTGACAGGTCCCTGTTATTAGCCCGTTGTGCCGGGACCGAATGTGACCCCCCTTTGCACTACAGCACCTCATGCATCCATAATTAGCTCCGGATAGATTACGTGTTGACTCTATTGGAGTTGAGTACGAAGGTGACGGCGTGGATCGGAAAGGTTCATCAAGTCCTCGACCTTGCAGTTCTTCTCGCCATAAACACTGGCAAACAATGTTTGTTTAATATCGTGGAGAACTATCACATACTTCTAACCCTCAAGCACTGACTGACTGGTTCAAGTGAACAGCCGCCAACAGACACCTTGTCGGGACCGAGGGATGCAGGTCCATACCATCGCGGAGCCGTCAGGTAGGAACGTGCCCACGGAGATGATGTATCTCTGCAGAAGGGAATTGCCCGCGTGGAAAGAGGCCATCCCGCGCGGAAGGATGCCGCCTCTGGGATAAGAAGGAACCACTTACTCCAGGGAAAGAAGCTGTCGACAAGAGTCAACCTGGAAGCCAGATGTCTGATCGGAACTCTGGTAACTACGAGAAATTCATGTTTGAACCTGGCCCTCAGCCTTTCAACTGCTTTCCTTCAACAATTCTTACGGCCTCCTCACTCTTTTTTCCCTCGATAAAACGAATTTCCTCGGGGCAGCAAAGTCATTTTACACCAAAACCAAAAGAGACCAAGCAAAGTCACGTTCACACGAAGCACTTGAACCTTGGTTCGTCTTTTCATGTTTTAGAAAGATTACCTGATTATCTGATCTAGTCATTCCCTTTCATCTTCATTCTCCGCCTCTTTCTGCCATTACAATTATCACACTCGCTACAATATCCAAAGCAGCGCGAACAACCCATTCATATCCTCCTTCACAACAAGCAGAATCAAAAAAAACAAAGCCCCGGACGTTTCTCTCCCATACCATTATTCCATCATTTGACTCGGCAGAGAAACTCAAAGAAACCAAAACACAACCCCACCGACAATGATCAATCCCGCCGTAGCAGTCTTCTTCATCTTCTGTGCACCAGCCGTCACCACGGGCGGCGGCAAGACACCAATAGGTTCAGCAGCTGACGTCTCGCTTGCCGGAGGTGTGGTGGGCACAACAACAGGCGGGCTCGGAGGCGTGGGAACAACAACAACAGGCGGGTTCGGAGGCGGAGCCGGAACCTGAGTTGTCAGAGTAGTGGGAACCGGCACCGGCACCGGCACCGGAACCTTGGTAGGCAAGGTGGTAACCGGAGCAGCAGTAGCGGTAACAGTATCAGTCTCGCAATCAGTGGAAGTCTCCCACTTGGTCTTGTGACTAGGCCAAGGCTTCTTGGTCCAGGGGCCGGGATGGGGAGCGCGGGTCGGGGAGGCGGATGCGGATGCGGATACGGAAGCGGATGCGGAAGCGGAGGCCGAAGCAGTGGTGGTCCACTCTGGCCAAGGGCCGTGGGACTTGGTCCAGTGGTGGTGGTCCCAGGTTGAAGAGGCGGAGGCGGTGGTGGAGGGTTGGCTGGTGGTGGGTGGCGGGAGGGTAGGGGCGCTGTTGGTATTGGTACCGGTGTTGGTGTTGGAGGCAGTGGTAGTACCCGTAGTAGTGGCAGTGGTAGTGGCAGTGGTGGTGGCAGTGGTGGTGGCAGTGGTGGTGGCCGTAGTAGAGGCAGTGGTAGTACCCGTATTAGTGGCAGCAGTAGTGGTCGTAGTAGAGGCAATGGTGGTGGTCCGGGGGAAGTAAGGGGTACACTCATCAGCCGCCAAGTTGAATGGGGCCGGGACAGCGTAGACGCGGCAGTTCTTTTGGCAGGCGGCATTGCCGCTGACGGCGGAAGACTCCCAGCAGGTGGCTTGACCGTCGTTGCCAGCGGGGGCTGCTCCAACCAGCATCTGTCGTTTCTCATGTTAGCTGATTGAGGTACCTAGGCACGGAGGGTGCAGGTGACACTTACAGCGTTGCAGTTCACTCTATTAAGAGCAAAGGTTCCGTCGCATTGGACGATGTAAGGGCCGGAACAGTAGGAGGCGTTGGGAATGGTGCATCTGGCTCGACCTTCGAGGTCGATATAGAGTCCCTGAGCGTTGGCGAAAGTAGCCGAGGCCACCAGTGAGGCGAGGGTAGTGAACGTCTTCATTTTGGCAGGGATCCTCACTTTTCTTTTGGGAGTTGAGGTGCTTCAGAAGAGTACAAAGTGATGTTTCGAAGGAAGACAACAAAGACAACAGCCAACAAGCGAGTGATGTTGACGAGATAGGTAGATTGGAAGCAGCGAGCTGGGTTAGACAAGCATATGACAGTAAAGGTCAAGATGATGAGGAACCTGATGTGTCGATGAAGAAGGAAGTCCAAAGTCGGAGAACAAGATCACCCTTTATAAGAGGGAACTTTTCCTTTCGAAGACCACTCTAGGCATGGGCTCCAACGAGAGAGCTCCCAGGGATGGGCGGCCATGGCTGCTATGATGACGAAGACGGCATATGGACAATCCTCGATGGTCCTCCCCGTTTCCGAACGTCCAGTCAGCCACTGGCACGACATCGAGAACAAAGCATTTTCTGATTTTCACTATCGAATATAGCAAGCAATCAGTCGGGGTTTTGCACGGCATAGTATGACACTACGTTACATACCCGAGGTAAGAGGAGCAAGTGTGTATGTATGTACGCAATAGGCAGTGCTGCTGTCTTGAAATCTCTGCAAACAAAGGCCAAGTACACTCTGACAACTACCCTACCAGCACATTGTACGTGCGTGCGGACGATTCCTAACCCGGCACTTACCTAACCTCGACGACCGAGCTGAACGATTTTTCGTCTTTCGATGCTAGAGGGTCAGGCTGGAATGCCGTTCACAACTCATTAGCGACACCATCAGCATGCCCTGAAGAAGAAGAATAGGTCGCCGTTTACGGAGGGTCCATGATTACAAAAATAGAATTAAAACTCGATTAGGCTCTATGGGTTAGAAAGGTAAGTAGTTCTAGACCATGTTTTGCTCCCGGCAGTTAAGAGCCAAGAGAGGGCGGCCATCTGGAGTGTCTCGCCTCTGGTCACTTAAATATAGTGCGTTCCTCAAGTGTTTTCTTACCAGAACCGGTGCTCGACTGTAAAAGTCATGAATGCTATATGGCTGTCTGCGGTCTTCAGGCAGAAATTGCTGAAGTTGCTGACGGTTTTCGTCACAAACCGGGTAATATTCGTGATGCTATCGTCGAGTGTCTTGCAATCTCGGGCGGTATCTTTCCGTCGTCCCCGTCCTCGAATCTTTTTTGACCGCAATCGGAGCATAACACTGCGCATTGCTACTATGTACTACTGTCATAACTCTGTGTAGCCACTATCAGCTATCCACCACGAATGGGTATGCTCATGTTAGTTGATTGGAATGTGCTTGTTACCATTGCAGGACTTAAGACCCAAAAGCAACTAAAAATACCAACGGCAGCGGCTTGGTCTTGGTTTTGGGCGGCGCGCTCGGCGCTCGGCACTCGCCGAAAACGGCCCGCGAAGCATCAACATGCCGATGACGTTGGTACGTACCTACCTACGGTCCGCAAACGGACTGACTGACTTTGGGACTTTTCGCTGGAGTTGTCCCTCTTTCGCACGCACCCGTATATTCAACAGTTGGGCTCCTTTCTACTTGACAGTTTCTTCACATGCGCAAGTAGAGACGGTTTTTCTTTGGGTTATCTGATTTCCGAATGGGGATCTTTTTCTTTTCTTCCTCAAAAAAAAAAAAAAAAAAAAAAAAAAAAAAAAAAAAAAAAAAAAAAAAAAAAAAAGAAAAAAACAATATAAAAAAATTTAAAAAAAAAATAAAATAAAATAAAATAAAATAAATTTCTCTGTGATAACTGGGTGGGATCTTGCTATGTATGGGAGGTCGCTACAATATGCCTACGGGAATGGGATCGGTGTCCAATTCTCTTGTCACCTCATATCCACACACTAAGAGGGTTTCGCTCCCTCTATGAGCGCTCGAACCATGTTTCCTAATCACCTAATGTGAAGGATATCGTAACTGTGAAATCGAGAAAAAGAAGAAGAAGAAAGAAAGATAAAAGAAATACGACGACACTTGGAAGAAAACAGATCAGACAAAATCATTTTTGAAAAGCATCATTTGAATAAAAAAAAAGAACTTCAGAGTTACCTAGATTAATATGAATAGGTCCGTGCATTTCATGCCCAAACCTCCCTCTTCCCCCTTAATCATGTCAATACATGTCGTGTTCCATTTCCTTATACATAAATATGGTTGGTACCTAGAACCGTCGAAAACCTCAAATACCCCTCCCTCCTCTATCAACGTTTCATTCATGATCATCATAATCTGATAACTGCCATCACAAGAAGAAAAAAAATGTCTTCTTAATCACCCGTGCCACCGTGTCATCGCTTGAACCAAAAGAGAGAGAGAGAGAAAAAAGATTAAGAAAAAGAAATTTGAGAGAAACAAGAAATCGTGCAAAAATATATATAAGGTATGTAAACGTTGAAAGTCACAGTCCGCCCGCCCGCCCATTTCTTCCCTTATGCTAGATTTCAAGTAGGGTTCTTGTTTTGTCATCACTTCCCCTGCACCTAGGTAAGCGCTGAACGGCTAGGAAAATGCATGGAAAGGAGCGAGCTACAAGACAACAGATCAAAAAAATGTGGTATATGTAGCCAAGTTTTGTGAAATCAAACTCCGCCCTTCGAAAACAAAACGGGAAGACATGCCCAAGAAAAAGAAAAGAAAAGAAAAAAGAAAGGAGTGTTGCCGTTTTGGATGATGAATGTTAGTACTATGTGTATGTGGGTGTGTATGGGTGTAGGTGTCTTCGTCGCGGTTTCATCAGGTCATACTTTCATTGCCGTGTTCTCTTGTTGTTTCAGTTGTTTCGTTTCGTACCGCATAACAAATTCGTATCGTAACCATGATCCTTCTTCTTTTGGTACCTTTATGATCAACATGATTCTATGACCTCTTGTCTTCTTTTTTTTCGTGGCGTTGGTGGTTCTTTTTTTGTCAGCTCTGGTGACGGCTTCATGCATTTGTGTTTCTCATGCCCAACCATTTCCAAAATCTTGAACAGAATCAGATAGGTGACCCCCTCCCTAACCTAGGCGGCGACCCCCTGACAGCAGGCGGTGACTGCCTCTGTCCCTGCTGCGGCTGAGGCTGACCCTGACTCATCGCAAAAATCTCTCTCCCTGTATCATGCTTGATCACCTCCCCCAACCCGTCCCTGACCACTCTTGGGTGACTTATCGTCTTCCGCATCTCATCCCTCTTCCTCTCCTTCCGCTTCTCGCTCATCCTCCGCACAATGTTGACCTTTTCGTTCAAGACAGGTATAATCTTTTCGCTAAGACTGCCGCGTCTTTTCATGGGCGGTGGTACGGGCGCGGCCGTAGTAGTAATGGGTGGGGATACAGAGTGGCCGGTCGCAAAAGTGGATACAGACGAGGGGGTTAGGGGTGGCGCTGCTGACATGGCAGCAGCGGGAGGAGGTGGTCGTTGGCGCTGGAAGAGAGCACCGTAGTTTCGACGGACGCGGGGCGGGTAGAAGCGTGGGTTTTCGGATGACATAGAGGGCCGAGTTGAGCTTGAGTCGGGCGAGATGGATGGTCGAGGAGGTGCTTCGGTAGAGATGGACGGTCGGGATGTATCCGATGGTGAGGAGATGGACGGTCTGGTAGGTCTTTCGGATGAGATGGATGGCCGTGCCATGGACTGTGCTATAGACTCGAGGCTTTGCCGGATCTTTGTGACCCGCAGATTACCGCTCGGCGTGCGTCGGATGGTCCGTTTGTCCCGGTCGGGCATGTCGCCGCTGTCTGTTGAGTATGTGGCGTCGTACTTTGAGCCATTGCGTAGGGGCATGATGGCGAATGCCTTCTTCATCCGCTGGCTCAAGCTCCGCTTGGGCATCAGACCAGGCCGTTGGGGACGGTTGTCGATGGGCGGGTAGTCCCAGTGCTCCTCGTCTTCACTTCCGCTGTCGGAGAAATCAGACTGGTAGGATGGTCGCCAGTCGGGATGCAGTTTGTCTGGCTCGACGGGGGCGTCATCGGCCGTGAAGGACCTCTTCAGGTGGGGTCTCTTCAACCTACCGCTGCTGCCACCATCTGACTCGTAATTTTTGGTGTACTTTGACAAGGAAAATGTGCGAGTAAGGAAACCCGGACGAGTGCCAGTTGTCTCGGAGGTTCGGCGGCGGCTCAGCTTCCGGCGGAGCATGGCGAATCCGCTCTCGGGTTTAGGCTCCTCTGACTCGGGCATGTCATCGTAGAAATTCCCAAGCTCCTTCTGTCTTTCCGTAGTAGGTGTTAGGCCAGAAGGCGTTGCCGGGATGAAGTTGATGGCCGGTGGCGGTTTGGGGGGTGCTCTCGGGTTCCTCAAGGGGGAGAAATTGTCATCTTCCCTCGAGAGGTCCTGTGGCGGTGTTAGGGGGTTTCCTTCGGCATCTGTTGCGGCAATGGCGGGGGTGGCCGTTGGAGGAGACCTCTGACGATCCAACGAAGAGGCCTTGGACGGCTTGGTCGAGTTGTCTACAAGCATCACAGACGTGTTCTGATGCTGGTGCATGACTATCGCCCTTGCTTCGGACACTTCGGCATGTGAGGCGCCCGTCTCTACAGAGGCTTGCGAGAAAGGTGTGTGTTGGACGGAATTCCTCTTGTTGTATTCGTAACTATGACGAGGACCTCCATCATCATTGTGATCAGCAGGAAAGCTACGCGGCGTTCGCGGGTCACTGTTGTCAAAGTTGCTTGACTGGATCGAAGGAGAGAACTTGATATTGATGGTTCCAGATTGGCGTCGCTCTGGCTCCAATTCATTTCCGTCAACCGTCCTGCGGTAGTGTCTGGAGGTATTTACCGGCTTCGGAGGCGGTCGCTTTTCCCTCTGTAGTCTCTCCACTGCCCGTTCAACCGTCTGCGAAGCCTTGTGTTGCTCATAAAGCGCGTCATGAGCTCGAAGGCTTTCGGCCGTGAGAGAGCCGGTCCTCGACACGTTGCGACTGGTAGGAGCGGAAAGAGATGATGACCGTCTAGGAATATACGGCGGAAGATCGGCCGTGCGCGGGTCGCCGGCTCGAGATCTGTCGGACTCAGAGATGGTCCGGCTGCGCCGCGACTGGTCCATATATATGTCTATCGTAAAGTTGCTTGCGGACGCATATGATCGTCCAACAGAGCTCAGACTCTGGCTTCGCCGCGATCTCCGACTGCTCATTGACCGGAGAGAAGGAGGTCTTCCGTTGGACTTGAGAGAGGTTCGACGCTCTGGGACAATCACCACAGGAATTGACCCAGTTTTCCACACATCCCTTCGGGCTTTTCGGCTCGAGATCGAAGTGGTGGAAAAATAGCTTTCGCGAGGGGCGGCACCCGACTTTGGTTCTGGCAGTGGTGGTCGACGTTGAAACACGTCTGATGCCGGAACCAAAGCCGGAGCCGGAGTAGAAGCAAAAGAAGTGGTTGACGGAGCAAGATCGGAAACGGAATCTCGCAGAGGCAGAATAGGTTTGCGTACGTGTCGGAGAGTGTTGCGTCGCTGAGAACCCGTGTCATCACCGACGACTATTGTGCCCATAATTGTGGATGTGCCGGACTGGTTCGAGGTCGTAGAAAAACGCCGTGTGTCCCCGCTCATGGATGGCTCCGAGAGAGGGAGGCCCCGTTGCTGTTCCTCGAGGTTCATGGCGCGTAGTGGCAGTACTCTCGTTGTCGCATTGGTTGTTGGTGTAACTGTCGTGGTGGTCGGTGGTCCCATAAACACTGAGTTGCGGTCCTTGGTTATATTCGAGCTGGGTGCAGCACGTCGCCTGCTGACAATCACATTCCTTTCCCAGTTTTCGTCCCATTCCTCTTCCACGTCTTCATCAGAATTCATGTTCCCTCCCTGCGTTTCCTCGCCGCCCCACCCGCCGTCGTACGCGTCTCGCCCAAGCTGAACTTCCCTCTCTGTTGCTGGCGTTAATCCATCTCCAACGCTTGAATTTACCCCGATATCAATGCCCAAACCTACAGTCTGCGGTTGCAACTTTGCTCCTCTGTTAGCCTGACGAATGGTGCTTCGCGACGTTCTTCTCGACGATATCCCGGGCCGCACAGTCGATTTTCCGTCATCTTCATCTCCTGGAGTGATAGGGACTTCAGGCGCTGTTCTAAAGGATTCCGATCTTGAGTCTATCGTTGTCGCATTGGACGGCATCCGACCACCGACAGCGAGCCGTGGCCGGGGCCGGGACTGGGCCAAGAACTGTGACTGGGACTCGGACTGAGTTTGGACCTGCAGCTGGGGCCTGGTAGGCCGTCTGGGTGGTTCTGCAGCGGGCGGAGGGATTCTTTCAGGAGTCAGATTCGGAGTCGGCGGAGTACGTTGGTTCGGTGGCGTGGTCGGGAGACGTGGCTCAACATGCTGGACATTATCGGTGCTTTGCAGCGGACTGCCCGAGTTTGTTGGGCTTGACTGGTCTATCGACTTCATCGACTTGGCCGACGACGAGGCACGTGAATGGGCAGGCGGCGTCGGCGGCGGTTCGGGGCCGGCTGGTCGATGTCTTGACCGCCGTAGCTGGGTAGTCCGCGAAGGCCGAGCGGGACTTGAGCTTCGCGAACCAGTCGACGACGCTGTACCCGGACGGGGCAGAACCTTGTGCCTTCTGAAGATGCGCTGTGGGCTTTCCGTTCCATCCGCATTTCGGATCATGACATAGTCGGCTTCAGAGTGAACCATATTGGGCACCACCGGCCCAGCATCAACATTCCCTCTCATGACAACTCAAAAGGAAAGTCAGGCGAGTCTTGAAGATGTAACGAGTTGAATGTAACTTTTCTTCCTTTCTGTCTGTTCTTCTTCTTCTTCTTCTTCTTCTTCTTCTTCTTCTTCTTCTTCTTCTTCTGCTTCAGTCTCAAGATCCAAGCCAGGGCGCGCGCATGTTGTGTGTGTATGTGTAACTACAGGTGTGGACTTGGTAAGGCTTCGAATAACTGGGAGACGTTTGCTTCTCGGGCCCCCTCCGGAAACGAAGACCCTTGAGGCTCAGCAGCAATGCCGAGTGGCTACCTCTATAAGTCGGCGTCGGGTACCTTGCGTTGGGTACGGGCCTTTCTGAAACACAGACAAGTGGCTCTGATGAAAACCTTCCCGGCTGGTTTGTGCTGGCAGGCTGGGCGCAGGAGAGACCGGCACGACTTGGAAGACTGGGGATGCTGGCGAGTGGTAGAAACAAGCAGTGGCCGCAGTTTCATGACCGGCCTTTTTGGTGCAAAGCCGGTGGAGGCAACGGCTCCCGTCACCAATCGCGCCGTCAACAGCGGTGGCAGTGGGAGCAGCGGCAGTAGCAGCAAGCAAGCACTCAACGGGGAGAAGACTCCACGAGACAAGCTAGACCCTCTGTGCTATCAGGTCCCGGCGCATGGTTCAAAGGGGGAGGAAAACAAATAGGCTCGATTCCAGCCTCTTGAGTGGGGCGGGTCCGTCCTATGAATGGTATACAAGATCTGGCGTCTGATTGCTCGGAACGGCAGACAGGTCGGCGATGAGTGGCAAAGTGTTGTTGTGGCTCGTCGTGGTCGAAGCAATGGATGGACTCGAAACTCGGGAGATGTGGAAAAGGGAAAGGGCAGGGCACGCTGGCTTGTTTGAATGTTTGGCACTGAATGGGCCTCGATGGTTTGAATGGCCTGGATGGATGGATGCGCTTCGCTGGGCCCAGGCTGGATGGCGATGAGGCGGCTTGATGGTCGATGATTGGCTGGGAATATGACGCAGCAGGAAATACGAATAGGGATGGGGATATGGAAATGGAAATAGCCACAGCAAACTCGATCTGGACTTGTGTTTATTTTTTTTTCGCTGGACGGGTCTGACGGGTCTTTCTGCAGGTCGCGAGATGGAGCAGCTGTCTAAAGCACGCAGTCTAAACTGGCAAGACGTTCTATGACTGGCACAGCTGGCAGAATGGATCCAGATCATGAAAATCAGACAGTAGTAATTCGATGCGAGTCGTTGACCGTACTTTGGGTTTTCTGTGATGCTGACCCTGGTTGCCTGGCTAACGCTGTTTTCTCGGGGTAGTAGACGGGAACTGAATCGTTGTTGGAGCTGTCGTCGTTACGTGGTTAGAGTTGCCAAGAGGATGGAACGATGATGAATTGGAAGACGGAAGAGAAACAAAGAGGCAAAAACAATGACTTGCACATGGGGCTTTCGTAGGGCGATCAGAGACCCTGGTCCGGGTCTTTGAGTTCCTTTACTTTACAAGCAGGGAAATGGTTCCGGAAGTCTGCCGCCCCAGATTCCAGATTCTCCGTCCATCGAGCGGCACCACTTTACCACATGCAAAGTGCCTGAACTTCCTGTGAGGTACGCATGTATACAGAAATGACAATCCAACCTCGAGAATGGAACAAGTGTTGTCAGTCAGTCAGTGGCACCCCCCTTTTGGTGCAACGGTGGATGCCCGCCCGGAGACGGATGAACAGATGGTGGACCACTGCATGTTCCATCCGTGCCATCCACACATGGGATGGGATGGGACGAATATTCTTCTTCTTTGCGGCGTCGCGTCTCAACAAAAACTGGCACCTGCGCCTCCCCTTTTTTTTCCTCCTGCTGCTTGTTTATCTATCTGTACCATTTTCTGTTGAAATTCATCATCATCCTCTTAGCTTCTCCGTTCCCCAGCCTCCTCAAACCTCGGTTTGGTGCTGGCCGTCCGGGTCATGTATTGCCGCCCTCACCGTCGTCGAGCTCGGCTCCTTGAGCTAGTACTATACTGCGGTAGCTTGCTAGGCTCTTCAGGTACCAGATGGATGAAAGTCGGGGTATGTAAAGACTACTGAAGTCTGAAACGAAACCTTTGTCGAATCAAACCACCCAGGTGGAGGTAGCCCCCACAGCCCCTCCCGTCGTCTGTGTGCAGTCTTGGAAGTACACATGTACCTGTAATGGTCGGCAGGCAACCTACAACCCGACCGCTATAAACCTCCGGTTCAAAAAAGGTAAAACACCACTGACAAAACCAAAACCAAAACCAAAACCCAGCTGCGCATCGGCCAGACCGTCGGGTTGCCTTGCAGGCTAGGTAAGCAATCAGGAGGCTCATGGCGACCGATTCGATTCGATGCCGTGAGACGCAATATGCCCGACCATGTCCCGGCCAAGGTGAACAGCCCCCCGGAACAAAGGTCCAGACCGGGGCGGAGCACCTTACGTCGATACCCGACCTGCCGGTTTTCCATCTTTTACCATGCCATGATCGCGACGACCAAGGCGACCGCGGCGACAGCGGCATCGACAACAACCATCAACGGCGCTGGAAGCCATACATACCTCCAAAGAGCCCCAGTGCTCCAGTCTAGTGAGACAATGACTGCGTCTTCAGCTGGCACAGTCCTCCCTCAGACACTTACCTGCACGCGTAGTGTAGAGATGGTGCAGATCATGAGTAACGAATGAGATATCAATTCCCATGTTCGACTCCGTTCAGATGCTGCTGCTGAGGACCTGAGGTTGGGAGCAGACGGTTCGAATGGCTCGAATGGCCTGGCAGATTTCCTGGACTGGTGTTGCAAAGGAAGAAGCTCCGAGAGGTCAACAAAAGACGAGTGACATGAAGATGGGCTGAGGTGGGGTAAAATCAAGGAAGGGCCCGAGCCCGGTGGAGGTGTTGGCAGAGTGGTGACGCCGTTTGTTCGGGTTGTCCTCCAAGTCCCAGCTACACTACAACCTAGCCAACCAACCTCCAATCCATCAGCAGCACCTCATCTCACAACCATTTCCCATTGCTCCCGCTACGAGCTCACGAGATCTCGAATGTCACCAGTTCGAAAAGAAATGGGTCCTCTCGATGGCTGGCTAGGAAACAACTGTGGCTCCGTGATTCTTCGCTTCTACCACCCAACACCCTCCTCCTTCGTTGTTCCATTCTCATGGTACACCTGCACGACATTGCACAGACACACCAACGCCAACGACACCACGACACCATCTCAGCTCTGTCAGCCCTTGGCTTGCATCTCAGCTTCCCCGGAACTTCTTGTCGCCTTCTCCCGGTGTCGTCTAGTGTCGAGAGGCACCATGACACTTGAGAGTGTGTGCTGCTACACCCGCTCTCGAGTGCTCATATCGGGCTGTGTCGTTACCGGTGTGAGACGCATGATCTGATGTTTTTGACGTCTCTGCTTTTGTTGATCGCCGTTTGACTTTTTGACATCGCCTGGAGTTTAAACAGTCATGATCCAGACGCCGTTAATAAGGCCTATTTGGCTCGCGCCACATCAAATCGGTGCAGTCCACTTGAAAGAGTCGATGGCCTCGAGATAGGGCATGGCGAGCGCCCATTGTCTCCTCGTCGGCGAATTTGGCCAGTCAAATATAGAAATCCTGCCAGTCATGATTTGTTCGTAGCAACATGAAATGCGTAGTGTAACGCGCTTTTGACAGGGAGTGCTCTCCAAAGCTTCAAACATATTGATAACATCTTTCACAAGATGCCGGCTCTGCGATTGTAGCGATCGAGGGTTCTGGCGCCGTGGTTGCGATAAGACGATGAAACACAGTACCAAGATCTCAATAAAAGTGTTAGCACCAATAACTGCCAGAGTATCAAGATTCGGCCTGTTCTGTTAGCACACTATCTCGCTCTATCCAAGTATGCCCAAAATGGACATGAAATGACATCTCCTGCAGAATGGCAAAGATCCTTCGATTCACATATCTCCAAAGATGGGCGAGGAACCATACCAACGGGTATTCGCATTTCCGGTAGATAGCTTCTCGCCCTTATCTCAACCCCGCAGTCATTAAGACGCAGCTACGATGCTAAAGCTCAGTCTACGACTGGATATCTCATCATCCATCATGCCGTTCCACGAGATTTTGACGTGAGATGTCCACGATCGGTGGCTGCTGCACCTCATCCCGAGATATCCATCAATGAATGATACCAATGAACTCGCATGTCGGCGTGGGAGTGACCTACATATGCTCATCGACGACGAGCTTGCAATTGGCCCAGTATCTCAACACGTCTGGCTCTTATCTATTGCGTATCACGTCCCTCCCACTTACGACGACTCTGTTTCCTCATCCTCGAGTTGTGTTTTACATAACAAGAACATGTGCATCCCATTGTACGCCTTGATCTCCCGCAACAAGCGCGATCGCATGAACGGACTTGGATATGTTTTCCCGTTGGACGATCGACAAACAACCCTATCAATGATGAGACGTCCACCGCGAGCCTCCCATTCGAGATAAGTGAAGCTCTGGACGGCGAATAATGCAAACACGACATAGTTCTACACCATGTCTCGCTGCTGCTGCTGCGAGGAACGGGATCTGCCATGTTGCTTGACCCAATGGATGGCGATAGAGGACTTCCATCGAGACACTGTGGAAATTTCAATAAAAGCTCATGGTGCCAACCCCCTTTCAGACCTCAAGACTGCCACTTGTCTCTCGTCCGTCGTTAGGACTCATCATCAGCAAACTCGCACAAAATGTTGCGCCCAACCTTCATCGTCTCTTGCCTTGCTGCTGTTGCGGCAGCACATGGTGACCATGATCAGAAGGTCGTCGCTGGTCCTCATCAAGGATTGTGGTACAACACGTTGCCGGGGGATGGAGGCACTCAGGTATGCTTCGCACTCGAACAAAACACAGCGATGTTAAGAAGTTGAGACTGATGCTCTCAACAGGCAGATTCCGTCTTCTCTGGCATCTCGACCTTTGGCCGTCTCCCATACCTACCATGTCTAGCCAGCAAAGATATCAACTACGACATAGCTTTTATTGGTGAGTGGCCAACCCTAGTTCTAGACCCAAGACACACTATACCATAGTAACTAACTGTCATCATAAAGGCGCCCCCTTCGACACCGGCACTTCGTATAGACCTGGCGCTCGCTTCGGTCCATCGGGAATCCGTCAAGGGTCTCGTCGACTAAACCTCTAGTACGCCCCCTTCCTACAACTAAACCACATCACCATATGCAATAGACACTAACCTTCCCTCTCCCTCCGTTCACAGCGGCGGCTACAACGTGCCCCTAGCCACCAACCCCTTTAACAGCTGGGCCACCATAATCGACTGCGGCGACATCCCCGTGACCTCATATGACAACACCTTCGCCCTCTCGCAAATCGAACAAGGCCACCACTCCATCCTTTCCCGCAAACCCACCACCGATTCTGCTTTGCCAGGTCCTTCCCTCCAGGGTAAAACCCTCCCACGCGTGATCACCTTGGGAGGCGACCACACCATCACGCTCCCCCTTTTACGGTCCATCAACCGGTCCTACGGCCCCGTTTCGGTCATCCACTTCGACAGCCACCTCGACAGCTGGCGACCCAAAGTCTTTGGAGGGTCTCCTTCGGAAGTCGCGTCGGTGAATCATGGGACTTATTTCTACCATGCGGCGCAGGAGGGCTTGTTGAGAAATGATAGTAATATCCATGCGGGGATCAGGACGACACTCAGTGGCCCGAGCGATTATGAGAATGACGGGTATTGCGGGTTTGAGATTGTGGAGGCGAGGGAGATTGATACGATTGGGACGGAGGGAATCATCAAGAAGATTAGGGAGAGGGTGGGTACGGAGAAGCCGGTTTATTTGAGCTTGGATATCGACACGTTGGATCCTGCTTGTGGGTTTTCTCTTTTTTTCTTTCTTTTTTTTCTGTCTGTTCCTCTTTACTGGTCTGGTCTGTTTGATGGTGGGAATTGAAGCTGATAAGTAAACGCTATGTGTTACAGTTGCCCCAGCTACAGGTACCCCTGAGACTGGTGGGTGGTCAACTCGAGAGCTTAGGACGATTTTGAGAGGGCTGGAGGGAATCAATATCATTGCTGCTGATATTGTTGAGGTTGCAGTAAGTTCCTCTTCCAGTTGTCTCCTGGTTTCGAAGACTCATTGACCGTTTCTTTCACTTTTAGCCTGCCTACGATACCAACGCCGAGCATACGACCATGGCGGCAGCCGATGCGTTGTATGAAATCATGAGTATCATGGTCAAGAGAGGACCGCTCAGCGTAACCGGTGCGCCGCACGATTTTTAAAGTGTTGGCAGATGATGGACAACCGAACACGAACAAATCGCCGACCAACGCATCGTGAAGTGTGGTTCTGCGCTTGGAGATGGTGAAATCAGGGGATGTGGTGAAAGTAACGTTAGGCACCGACAACCTTCCAATGTCATATAGAGAGAGCTTCTATGCATGGATCCCAGTTATTCATTCAATGCTGATATATGATGATTTTTCCAATTCCTTTTTCAAGTGTCTCCATTCGTTCCTTGTCTCGGACTTTCAGTTACTAGTTTATCCTCCACATTTTGACGGTAAACCAGAGTTCAAAAAGATTTTATTATTCCCAGAGGAGATTTTCTGAAAACGAAGTACCTCTATCAGCAAGCACGAAAAGAAAACAACCAAGTAATCCAACCCCAAACATCCGCTCCACCACCTCATACATCTCGCCTCCACCCACCTCGCCAGCACAAACACCACCACCGCGCGCAAGTCCATTACTCCAGTCAGAACTTTATGGGAGGGTGCTTCTTGACATATGAGTCAAACGGCTTTAATGGTGTATTCAAGGGTGTCCAGTTAATTGTGTCTACGCTCCACACCACACCACAACCACATACCCGGATATCTGCGCGCGGAATGCGGCTCATCAGAAGCGACCCGATACAAGGGCATCCTACTGTTACCATACCGTTGACATGTTCCACAACTTCAGGTTTGTTTGTGTATCTTGATAGGTGGCGTTGTGCACGAAATCTCACTTCGTATGAGACTGTAGATGTAGTATACGCCAAGTGACATGATTGAGGAGGATGACTGGCGTTGATGGATGTAAACTGAACTATGGGAACTGCTCCTGCGTCAACAACCGTAAATTGTTTCTTCTACTTCTTTGTTCTCTTTCTTTTTAGGAACGCCACCATGATAGCGTGGTTGGCGTCAAGACTGGCCGTCCTGGGAGGCAGGAGCGATTGTGGCAGACTGCAGTAAAAACAAGACGCTCTTGCTCAGATGACCTTTGGAAAACTTCCGTTGCAGCACTGAAGCTTTGCTGAGTAGCTTAATGTAGACACGACCTAGTCGATAAGTTTCAGAAGTTCATAAGCATGTTCAGAGTTCTGGCGATGGACGAACTTTTGGTGTTTTAGCTTCGCTTACAGTCGAGGCTACTCCAACCCCCCCTGAGCACACCACAACACCAAACCCTCAGCATCACAACAATTATTACCTGGGCAAATTCTCTGGGCCTCGCACTGATGACTGAATAGCTCATACGAATTTTGAGACCCCACAGTCGTTCGATTTCAATGACCAATCCACAAGTTCGCCGATCGAACCAAAGAAGCGAGTGGACTTTTGAAACGAAACATGGGGAGAGTTATTGCCCCGCGGTTGCGAGCCGAGGTACGAAAAAGTCTCCGCCATCCAGGTATCCCGTGACGACAAGGCGGTATAAGTCCATCATCAAAGACGGCGCAACAACAATAACAACTACGACTTAGAGATCAGTCTGGATAATACTTAGCTTCCTAACCTGGTTGATTAACGATAGACGTGTCATTCCACGACAACACTCACTCATCCTTGCTTTGAAAAATAGACTGACAGACCACACACTTACTCCGTAATCATGTCATCGTCGCCGTCAACTTCCGGTTCGCAGCAACAACCGCCCATCATCCTATACCACTACCCGTTCTCTCCCTATGCCAAACGGATAGTCTGGTATCTTCACCTACGTGGCATTCCGTACACCCAATGCGTAAGTTCTATTCCATCATCAGCGGATGTAACTTTCGAAAGTCCTAAATCTACGCACTCTTATTGCTTTGTCATAAACACTCTCACATCACACACATCCACTTACTTACTCACAATCCCACAGCTTCAACCAATGATCCTCCCCCGCCCCGACCTCTCCTCCCTCCTGGGCATCAAGTACCGCCGCATCCCCCTCCTCTCCATCGGCCGGGACGTCTACCTCGACACGCGCCTGATCCTGTCCAAGCTCGAGGATCTTGATCTTCCCTCCTTGAACCCCAAGCTCTCCGCCGCCCCCGGCACCGACGCCCTCGCCCTCCAGAGCTTACTCTCGCACTACTCCATCGACGGCGGTCTTTTCAGCCGGGCCGCGCAGCTTTTGTTTTCTCTCGATAACCCCTTGCTGCGCGACCCTCAATTTTTGGCTGATCGCGCCGAGTTCGTCGCGGGAGGGGGCAACGCGCCCCCCAATAAGTTTTCGAGGGAGGAGATGGCAGCCTTGGGTCCCGAGGCGCTCGCGGACCTCAGGGATTACTGCCAAATGCTGGAGACGACGGTGCTAGCGGACGGGCGGGATTGGATTTTGAAGAACACTGACACTGACAACAACAAGCCAGGGCTGGCGGATATCGAAGCCGTGTTTGTACTGCACTGGGTTATGAGTTTACCCGGGGCGTTGCCCAAGGAGCAGTTTAACGACGACAAGTTCCCGAGAGTGTGGAAGTGGGTTGAGAGGTTTCGGGTGGCTGTTGGGGAGACTACCCCCACACAACAGACAGCTGCTCAGAAGGGAGATGGTAACAGTAAGGTCGCAACGGTCAAGGGGGATAAGGCACGGGATTTGATCTTGGGCGCGGGGTGGAATGAGGATTCAGAAAAGAAGGAGGTGGAGGCCGGGGAGGCGATTGTACAGTTTCATGGCCTGAAGAAGGGGACGTTGGTGGAGCTGTGGCCGACGGACAGCGGGTCGGCGCCGGCTCATAGGGATGTTGGACGGTTGGTGAGTTTGGATTCCAGGGAGGTGGTGATTGAGAATGAGAAGGGCGTGAGGGTGCATGCGCCCAGGCATGGGTTCCGGGTGAAGCCTTCTTCACAGGCGGTTGCGAGCAGCTTGTGAAGTTCTTGCCCAAGTGCTTGGAGTCCACCAGAGATCTGAAGCATTTCATGAATGATGCTAGTTGTTCTGGTTGGTTAAAAAGATCAAATCGCTCTATCCTAATGGACATGGTCAGTGACGCCAATAGGTTAGGTACGTTGTGAACGATGAGCTGGGTTAGTGTTCTTGCCTTAGTACAGGTGGTGTTGCACTAGAGGTTATGTGATCAAGAAATGTCGATGATCGCAACTCATCTCTATGGCAGCGATCGAAACGTACTTAGACCTACAGAATTCATTTGTGACAACGCAAGCTACGACAGACAATGGGTAAATGGTATGCTTGACGTTGCCAAAGATAGAGATGAGTAGGTACAACACCCAGGAGCAGAGTGCTTTGAAACTCCAAGGAGTTCGGCTATGGGGCGTAACCGCTAGGGTCAACCCGTCACCACCGAGACCTGCAGGAAGATGTTCAGCCCTAATGATTACCTCTAACGACAATGGTCTTTAGTCTCGAACGGTCTTCTTTGATTGACGACGGTGGGCCTCAGCTTGTTGCCTCACATTGTCTTGGATATCGTATTCTATGTTATCTCCCAGCATCGACGAAAGAAACAACCTCGAGTTGACTGCCAGGAGCTTTCAACTTTCGGCAGGGCCACAAACGGCCCGCCGCAAGTTCGCTGGCTCCGTGCTTGTGTTACCTCAAAAAGGTCTTTGGCGCTATTTTGACCGTTATCCTTTGTTTGTGCGGCTATAGCAAGTAGTTAGTGAAGTTCAACCGTCGCTTAGACGCGAGAACGCTCGCAACGAAATCAAAGAATGATACTGCCGTCAACAATGCGATTTGGCGTCAACAAGCCAAAGAGCCTCTGCATGTCAATCGTGAGCTCGTGGTAGGCTCCCAACCTTTGTGCTGCAGTTTAGTTTTGCGCTTCTGGGGCATGAAAGAGAAGCCGAGGGAAGATGGAGAGATCGACAGCGGCCAACAGCACCTGCAGAGCACTATTGTTTGTGCGGCTGGACTTTCCCTTTTCCCCTTCCCCCGCACTCTCGGTCGGTGACTTCACCACACGGTACGGTGCCAACATCGGGGAGCCGGCCTCCGTCTCCAGCGGCGCGTCCATCCCCGCACCGGACAGAGGGCGGAGAAGATGACGAAATCGGCACCCTCTCTCTACCAAGCGCTGCAACCCTCAAGGCTGGAAGATGATGAGAAGAAGGGCTGCTCGTGTTGTGTTTGTCCGGATTCCCATAACTACCGTGACCACCCAAAAGGTCGACTTCGGAGGCTTATGCCCAAAGAAGGCATTTCTCCCACTGTTTTTTTCCCATTTCGTGTTGGCGTCTCTATTTCCTACTGTGTGGCTGTAGTTGAAGAGTTAGTTTTAGGTGCCGTCAGAGAAGGTGGTTCGAAAAGGGAAGCTGATTCGCCCGGGGACTAGTGTACACTATTCCAGAGGTTGACCATGGTGAATCTTTTGTACCGGTTCGGCGTACTTGTCGTACTGCTCTCGAAGTTGTCGACCCGTTGGTTCGTGTACACGACCCTGAACCATAATTTTCCAAGAGCTGTTGACCAATCCTTCATCGCCAGAGGGGAGCAGCGAGGAGACGCCACAGTGCGGGATCCAGATCTCTCCAATCACCAAGCAGAGGCCATGATAAATGACCAATTAATCGAGAGGAGGCTCGTTCAGTAACGGCGCGACAAAGCAAGGGTCAAGATCTGTCAAGAAATCGTGGATGGGCGTCTTGCGTGTTCATGTTCCTGGAGCGTTTGGTCTTGCGGTTGTGCGCCAGTGCTGGCCTTGCTGGACGCAGGAAACAAAGTGAAGACATGAAGCCAATGAGATGTCTTGTGGAAGCCTCTTCGCTTCAAAGTCGTGGTCGCGCGGGCCAAGTGGCGGCCCTTGGTGCGTCCATGCAGTGCAAGCGTGCATGCCCAATTTCTATACACTTCCCAAGGAGAGGTATGCAAGTGCGTCATAGGGGGCACAGGGGGTCTAACCTGACGGGTATAGTCACGGGGGTACGCGAAAGCCAGAGTATGTGGGGGAAGGAAAAAAAAAAAAGAAAAAAGAAAAAAAGGGGGTTGACTGTCAGACAGTATGGTTGCCTGAACTGAGCAGAGCACTACACCCAATTCAGTTTTATCCCCCTCAAATAATGACCCAACCGTGAACGGTATGGGAATGAATGCTATTCCACAGGGCTGGCTGCTTACGAACAGCGCAGGGCGCGAAATTTCCCGATGACCGCGCCAAAATCCGATAACAACTGCGGACCTCCCGTCTGTATGGAGCACCCGAGTCCACTTTGGTGATGATATTCATAGTATATTTTCCCAGAGCCGCGCGACGGATCTGTTCATCCGTCCAAACTTGAATTTCAGCCTGGCAAATAGGCGACGGCGAGGCGAGGAGAGACAGAACGGGAACCACGGCAACTGGCAGCTGGCCTGGGCCAGTTGTTGTTGATGTTGTTGTTGTTTCTGGCAGAAGGAGTTGGGAGTTGGAGAGTTGCAAAGCCAGCAGGCGAATGAATTCAGTGGTAAAGAATTGGGAACTTTTCAATACCGTGCGAATTCGCCAACTAAGACGGACCTCATTCAGTTTTTCCAAGACCACTCACCAACTGAATTCCATCATTAGTTTGTGTCGCCCACCGTTACGTCATTGATGCCAATGAAGTCGGACGAAACCAGCGCCACCCCTGTTCCTCTTGCTGGGAAATCTGACAATGAACGCCTACGCACTGGAATAGGGCACGGTGAAATCGACCGATCGAGCACAGAATGGAATGCTTCTGACGATCGCTAATTGAGTACATGAGACGTGCTGCAGCGTACTATCAGAGTGTATAGTTTGTGAAGCATTGGACGTTAGTTGGCTGCTTTGTCGAGGCGTCTTTGAGCGCACCGTGAATCCGAATCGTCTTGATCTGGCCTGACAAGACAACAAGCGTGGGCAAACGAAACAGGGCGTACTGGGTTGGTTTGGAAAATAAGGAGCGGCAAGAGAGAGAATGTGGGGGGCCGTAAATAAGGGATAAGATGTCAAAAATGCGAGCCCTAAAAAAACATAATAATGTTGGCAAGAAATTGCGCGCCAGTCTAGCGTCTGACGCAATGTCCCTTTCGCGTGACAAGTTTGGGGTGTCCGGGAGCAACCTACAATACCGACAGGGCCTCGTGAGGAAGAAAGCGGACGGCATAAATGTTGGTGGTTGTGAACTTTGAAGGGTGGGAATGATAGAGATGCGATGGAGGTCGATGATTGGGCAGGAGATGAAAGCAGTTTGCCACCGATGTCCCACTTTTTCAAACCTTCTCGTCCTGCTTCACTCCGCGATATACCGTGTGGTGTGGTAGCCGTCGTCCATGCAAGCCATGAGACGGGGCCCAGAGCGGTGAGGTTGTGGTTCCTGATTATCAGTGATTCGAGACCACTGGCTGTTGACACGCGAGCGGCTATATCGTGATCGTTTCTTGTTCAAAAAGGTCGAGACTACTTGCCACAATGTCCATCATTGCTGACCATGTGACGGGCTTTGTAAACCCAAAACTGCGAATTACAATTTCGTCGTCCCGGAGATATGTATACATGCTTCATACAGTGATGAGTGAAGAGGATTGTCCTCACAACGGGCACCCGTAAGTGGGTGTGGTGTTTTGTGGAAGAGGCACAAAAGTTGCTAGCAATCTGCTCCCGGCGGTCGTGTGTCGGTTGAAACCATCAAGAAGCATACGGCAACCATCCTGCCGTCGGACGAGTCAAGCACACAGGGGTCCCGCTGAAGGCTTTGGGCTGGCTCGCGCCCCGGGACAAGATTGATGACACCCGACGGAGTTCATATTTTGACCCTGTATCCGGCGAAAAGCTGGGCGGCTTTAACGCCAGAACCATGACCAGAACCGGGTGGTCATCGAGCATTGAATATATTCAAGTTCGTTGATGTGCGAGGTCTTTGGTCGAGTTTTGTCTTCTGAGTGGTGGACTCGGGTGTCATCAATTTTTGTCGTGGACGAGGTTGCGTGTTCTCCGTTCTGGTCTGCAAGCGCACGATGCAACTTGAGCGCCTGAAGCTCGTGTACGGTGGATCTCTGGTACCTCAAGGCACCGTGTCGAAAATATTGCCCATGCTCAGATCCGTGTCGCCGGTTGGGGAGCATCACCGGAGTTAGGGGGACTCGGTAAGTAGTATGTATCCAGGTCCTGACAATGTTTGTGCATCCCAAAACCCGGAACCGCGCAAAAACCACAACCCTCCAACCGCTTTCCTCGTTAGCAGACGTCTGGCTGGAATGCTCCTTTTCGCAACTAAGCCTACCACAAAGGGGCCTTTTTCTGATGATTTGCTGGATACAAGCTCGTGCTTGCAAGAATCTTTGCAGCTTGCTATGTCAAAAAGCCCAGAAAGGAACGAGAAGTCGAACGAAAGATCGGAAACTCCTTGTAGAGGCACTTCTGTGCACTAACAATCTACGAGCTCTGACCAGGCTTTTTTCGGTTTCATTTATGCCCAAATAGGAAAAAAAAGCGCCAACAACCTCAGAACACCAACCACCTAGTTAGGAGCCCTGGGCCGACATCTCTTGCGGCTTTTCTTATGATCAATGCCTGTGGTGGAACTCAAAGATGCAAAGAAAGATGCAGCGTAAACAAAGTATGAAACAGTTTCCAACAATGTGAACTTATTGACCACGAAAGACAGGACGGGCAATTGGCAAAATCACGAAACGCCTGCCATGGCAGACCTGCCGCAATTGTGTGCCCTGGCTGGCTTCCAAGGCATATCCCTGCCAACCCACGACTTAAGAGACATTTTGCCCACCTCAACGGTTTATGACATGGAACGCAAATGTCTCAATCAATATGCGCTGCCGGTTTGCGATTGCAGATGTACGTACCAGCGTCCTCTTGTTGTCGCAAAAAAACGAAGAACCAAACTCAACTGCTGTCGGGTTTTGTGAGGATTCACCACAAGAGCCAGGCTCTTGGGACTTCCTGGAAGCCTTCCATCATATACTCGTCAGACATCAATCCTCGACTGTGTGCGCAGAGGTATGCTGACCCAAGCAGTCTTCAGGCAGGCCGAATCCATTCCAAAGTCGACAAGTTACTCCATTCATGCACTGCCGTACACATTCTAAAGCCGACAGCACATGGCTAGCTTTGAGCTGAGACGACACTTCAAGAATAAATCCAAATGAAAAGGGAAAGAGACAAGATTAGGTACCCATGGAATTACCCAGTTTATCCAGCCTGTTAGGTAGGTTAATCCCGTTTGTCGAGATGGAAGAATCAATAAATAACACCGAAGTCAATACACTACATACTTCGAGGTACAGTTCAGACTTTCAGCTTGAGACTGTGCTTGCTGGTACTACCATGGAGTGTGTCCCACTCAGATCCCGGTCGGTGGTTGTTTCTTGGAGCCTCCTGTTTGGCTGTCTCGATACAAGAACCATTTTCTAAGTCTGCAGCCTCCACGGGGTTGACAGTGCGCAAAATGCCGGCCCATTTCACACCTTTCTGACGGGTATCCATCCCATCCATCCACTTTTCCCTCCCACCAACCGAGTTTTGTGCGGTTTCTTTCCTAGCCCCAAAGATAGCGTTCCGAGTGTTGAAGCCCCTTCTATTCTCGCCTTGTCGGAATTCTTTTTGGAATTCTCTTGTGGTCCCGTCAAGTTCTCTTTGCCTTGTCGCGCGCTTACCTACTTTCACCCCCCCCAAACCGAGAAGGAAAGGAAAAAAAAAAAAAAACAGACCCCTTGGCCTTTGTTTAGTAATACCTCTAACCGGCGAACAGGGGGTCGGGTATCTTCAACCCGGCGCTCAGTCCTCGGTCGTGGCCCTCTTCTGGCTGCCCTGATTGGCACCTGGCAACTAGCCACTCAGTGCTTACTCACTGGGCCTTGGACGGGGAGCGGGCCCCATCATTTTTATTTCCCTTGCGCCATCTCTTTTCCCACGTCATACCTGACGTCTGTCCCAAGTCTTGACCTTCGACTTTTCTCCTTCCACACACACACATACGAAACACCTTGTTGCGAGGAACTACGTAAGGTATTTACGATCCCCGATACTAGCAACGCAGCCGCGAGGCGGACAGGACGCTGCATTACGAACATAGCGTGCAGCCCTCTACCTACACTTTCTCTCTTGCGCCTTTGTGACCTCATAGTCGTCCGCAACTTTCCCTTCCCACCCCGTCGTGTCCCTCTGGCCTCTGGTCGCTCGCATCCGCACCCGCACCCGTTGCAGCACGAAGGCGCCGCAAGTTTTGGATTGACATCATGGGGTCGTCTACTGAAGCCGCTGGCCGAGGTGAGTCCAAATCACCCAAGCAATCCAACAAGACATCCCCACCGCGACAAGGTGAGTAGAGTCGCTTCTTCCCTGTCACGACCGTCATCACCTATTCCCGTCGTCGAGCACCCTGTCATTCCGTCTGCTATCGCGTTACGTCCCTGCAGAGGGAGAGAGATAGAGAAAGAGTCAACGGCTCGTACCGTACATCAGGAGAGACATCGTTGCCAACTCAATTTTTGCACATTTAGATGGCCACCCCGAATCGAAGCATGAACCTCCCCTGAAGCCATCCGAGTCGACGACCAATGCCGAACCAGCCAAACCACTCGCGCCTCCGCCCCGTCCCGCTGCGCAACAACAGTCCACGAACAGCCCTTCCGACTACTTCTCGCAGAACCCCATCAGCGGCTCCCTGAGCCTGGAGCCGAACCCATTTGAGCAATCCTTCGGCGGCGCCCCCGAGACTCCCGGCGGTACTAAGCTCCCGCCCGTCGCCGCCCTAGCGTCTCCATCATCCATCTTGCCTCCTGGCTCAACACCTTTCCCCTGGGGCGGTAGCAACTCGTTGCGATCCGGCCCATTGAGTCCGGCAATGCTGTCGGGCCCAACGACCTCTGATTATTTTGGCGACCACATTCGCGGAGGTTTCCCAACGCCAAACGAATCGTCGCTCAGAACAGGATTGACGCCTGGTGGTAGCGGGTCTATGTTCCCTGCCCCGAGTCCTAACTCGACTCTCTTTGCACAACTTGCCGGCCCTGCTGCCACGCCTGGAACCATCGACTTTCACCGAACCGCCATCAGTGCCGCAGCCGCCAAGGCCCAAGCTCAGGCCCAGGCCCAACAACAAGCAGCACAACAGCATCAACAACAATCGCAACCGCCATCGATTACGTCACAACCAGCCTCCGATATCCCCAATGGCATTCCGCCTCTGAAGCCTGAGACGAAGCCACCGACTGGACCCTTTGACCCGCATGATAACGACGCGGCAAATGGTCTTTTCATGTTAGCACAGGGACGAAACGCATCCCAGCCACCAAGCCAATCATATAACGTGGTGTCGGCACCTCCGCCACCTCCATCAAGTCACCCGCACACTGTGCCGGCTCCTCCTGTTCAACCAGTCAACACCTCACCACAAATGAATGGGAACGTATCTATTGCAGGAAGCTCAGCACGTGGTGTCAGTGAAGTTAGCATCGGGTCAGACGACAGTGAACTTGCCAGGCCTAATACCCGTGGCAAAGGGAAGCGCAACTCCACAGGCGCAGCGACGACGGGTTCCCGTCGCAAGGCTGAAGAATTTCCGGCCAAGACTCCGGCCAATAAAAAGACCAAGACAAACGGATCTGTTTCTTCACTCAACGGTATGGACTACTCAGGCTCGGAAGACGAGTCGAAGCCAGGCAAGGATGACGGAACGGGCTCAAAGTCCAAGATGACGGAAGAAGAAAAGCGCAAGAACTTTCTGGAGCGGAACAGGTATGTGAAATTCGTCATGTCAGCCATTGGAAAACACTTGATACTAACGGTTTGTAGGGTTGCCGCTCTGAAATGTCGGCAGCGTAAGAAACAGTGGCTCGCTAACCTCCAGCAAAAGGTGGAGATGTTCAGTTCAGAGAATGACGCCCTTACTGCAACAATAACACAGCTTCGGGAAGAAGTGGTCAATCTCAAGACACTTTTGCTCGCACACAAGGATTGTCCAGTGACGCAACAGCAAGGTCTCCATGGTGCGTTTATGCAGCAAGCCATCGAGCCATTTAGTCACCAGATGAACCCCTACGGTATGGGAGCTGGCATACCTAATCAGCCCGTCGGCATGCCGCCAAATGTCGCTCCTCGCCGATTCTCATAGCGAGGGGCTTCGGTGGTTGAGACAATATTGGATGATGAAACAGGCAACGATTCTCGACAATGAGGGTCGTCTTCTTAACTTACTTGACCTTTCGGATGTCACCCACGTTGACCATAATTACCATCCAACCTCAACTGGGTCCGACCATTCGCGGGCTGTCCTTTCTGTTAATAACATTGGGCGGCGTGCAAAACGGAGGGCGCGACATTCTTACGACGTTCGGATTCTAGAGACTGCACCATAAACAACAAAGGACAGTCACTTCCATTCTCTGCATTGTATGAGTTCTAGTCAGTAGGCATCTTGCTAGCCAAGTTCAAGGAAACCCAGGGGTGGCTAAGGGTCTCCTGAACCGGTGCAGCACCATTACCTCTGGCCTTTAGTCTGTGTATCTATGTGGTGTCTTGAGGGCATACAAAAACCGGCGTCACTGGTGTTTCGGGCTGCTTTTCTGTTAGCTTTTATTTTTAACCTTTCCTTTTATCTTTTCTTTTTTTGGTGTGGTAGGAGAGGAAGAACCTGGACACGGCTGGACAGGAAGGAGGGCGGGAGGAGGAAGGCAATTTGCTGAGGCGTTTTTCCTTCAAAGCGATTTGGTAAAGCGGTTATCATGCGGAAGACAAGGGCGTGAGTTCGGGGTCTGCTTGCTCTCTTAATTCTGGTCACGGCGAAGACCACAAGAAGCTGCAAGTTTCGTGATCCTGGATTGATGCCCCTTGTCTCAACCGGGAACCGATTATTATCCTTTGTTTATATGGCGTGTACATCATTGGCGTTTGCCGTGAGGCGCCTCTCACGATACGAGCAGGTTCATTATGACGGTGTATTTTCAGGCAACGGTTAGCTAGCAGCTGGTAGGCAACAAGGGAAACTGGCATGGAAATTTTAAGGCGCATAAACATACTGAGATGCTTGGTAATTGTGATGATGACGGATTGAATCATCTTGCGAGATACGAGACAAGAGAAATATGACAACCATACAATAATCATTTCCTGGGCTTGTGATGGGGAAAAGAAGACCGCACGAATAACTGCTTGAAGTCCGAATTTGTATGGAAGATCGTCATCGAAGTCAAAGCAATCTGCAAAGCCGTCCAACATGACAAGATGATCGATACATCCTACGGATACGGGCTGATGTTGAGGCACGTAGCACAACCCGGAAGATGAAAGGGCAGGCAAGACAGACGACAGTATTTGCTGGGTCGGTCATGCCCGAGGCACCACAGTCAGAATCATTTTTGCTGAAAGTACAGCAATGAGCGTGTTGCAATTATTCGCGGCAGCAGTTTCTGGCGTCCATCAGGAGGATAGTTCGGGGCAGTGGCGTCGGAGAGAAGCTTTCAACAAACTGATGCATTGAAGGATAATCTAAACGCGATATAATAGATGAAGTGGAACAAATGAGCATGCTAACGTCTGCTATCTCGAAGATTAAAAGTGAACCGCAAATGGAGGAAGGGTGGTCGCGAGTACTCGTCAGGGCTATAAACGCCCAGTCTGGTGTATGGACAGTTGAGCCTCGATCTGAAGATTGATCTGAGCGAGCGGAAGTCAGACGACGATAGCATCAGGCGGGCCACCAGACGTATTAACTGCCAAGAGCTGGACATTATTACCCAGCCAATGGTGTCGTCAGACGAAGCGAGAGAATGGATGAGTTGTCAAGTGCACTATTTTTCAGCCTCGCAGGATGTGGGGTAGCAGTGAAGAAAGAGCACTGGGATTGAGGATGCGGGATGTGGTCCAAGCGTTTCTTGGAACAGCCTGCCCGCGATAAACAAACCAACGAAAGGGTCGCAACTTCGGTCGCGCCCGGCGCCCAAGAAACACGTTCAGACCTGCGATCGATGCTTTGCAGCACAGCGACAAAACTGAATGCCTAGGACGGCGATACGACGATACGACCAATTGCACAATACCAGCATACCTTAGACGAATTACCCGATTTCAGTCATTTTTGGTAACGCCTGATCCTCATAGCATCCCCGCATCGCGACACACACTTGACCGACCGGTCCAACTGCTCCCCAGGTTCCAGATCCAAAGCCCGCCCGAATTGACGCGTCCGTGACCCGTGCTTCGTGGCCCGCTTGCCCACCCAGCCGCCGCCCAGGCCCCCTGGTTCCGTCAGATTGCCATTTGGCACCATTTCTTTGAGTGTCATATTCAAGTTGAGGAGGAGGAGACGCGCTCCGTTCACGTCGGTTTGGCCCGGTCGCAACCCAACATCAAACATCACCATCACGATTCATATCCACCGCCGTCCAACTTACGATAGGATCTGCGAAGCAAGCGACGACCTTCTCAAACCTCCCGGCCTTCTCTTCAGCTCCGACTCATTCGAGTTCATGTACTTTAAAACCCGCCATCCATGACGACTGTCGTACGGACCCGTCAGCCGCTACAAATCCTGAGCATGAGCAGCAACCAGAGGCGCAGCAAACGCCTTGCGGGTAAGCTGCAATCCGTCCTTCAATCCAATGCCATTATGTGATTGTTCGGCCTTCTGGAAGATTCAAACATGGAAGCTGACATCAAACCCGAAACGTGACGCAGCCGAGGCAGTATATGACGAGCAAGACGGCGATTTCCTCTTCACGCGCGGCTCAAAGAGAGCCAGAACCACACTAATAGCTCCAGCGTCCACGTTAGAGGACGCCGAGAATGAACCGGTGGTGATATCTGTGCCTGCGAAAAAGCCCGTCGGCAGACCCCCAAAGAATAGCGCAAGGAAGCGCGCATCATCCCCTGTGCAAGAGTCGCCTCCGCCGCCACCACCAGCCGCACAACAGCAGCAGATCTCCGGACCGATACCGAGGAGGACGTCGAAACGAAAATCAAATGGTGGTTCTGCTGCTGCTGCGCCTCCGCCCGCACCCGCGCCTTCAGCAGCGGTATCCGCTGTGAATGAGGAGGATGCTGCTCCTAAATCGAGGGGTCGTCGGAAAGGCCTCCCACCAAAACAACAGAAGAACGACGAGGTACCGCGACCAGAAAACGGCATGCGCGCGGTACCAGAACCGGAGGACGAGGAGGAGGAGGATGGGCCAAATCTCGTTGGGGCGACGCCAATGGACATCGACGACACAAGGGATTTGAGGACCAAGGGCCGGAAAGGAGCAGGAGGACGAGGAGGAGGGAGACGAAGCTCTTTAGAGCCACAGCAAATTGTACTACCACTCAGCGACACGCCAATCATCAACCGGAACAAAGAAATGCGGAAGAAGGGCGGTGCAAGCGGCAGTCGGCGGAGCAGTCTAGGGATGAGGGGAAGGCGAGCGAGTTCCTTGATCGAGAACGGGCATAGTGCGATACCGCATCGCGAGGTCGACCCGTCCGAATTCTACAAGCATATCGAAGCTGAGGGGCTGAGCGAGCCAAGGCGGATGAGGCAGCTTTTGACGTGGTGCGGCGAAAGGGCTCTTAGTGAGAAGCCACCGCATGGGAGTCATGGGTCTAGTGCAATTCTTGGAGGTAAGGAGCAGAACAAGGTTTCTTAAAGCTGGATGCGCGTGGGGTAATAATTGCTGACGGTGTTAACAGCGCGCGCGATACAAGACCAATTGCTCAAGGATTTTGGAGCGAGGTCAGAATTCTCGGATTGGTTTGCTAGAGAGGAAGCATCGAAGCCCCCCGTGGTGCTACAACCAAACCCGCGAAATCTCGAGCACGACGCCAAGATTGCAGAACTCGAAGCGAAGATCAAAAGGTACGAGCTTTCTTCGCTGACACCCACCTGTTGATATCTTCCTTGCTAACCAACCCGCAAACAGACTAAAAGAAGAGAAAAAAGCCTGGCAAGCCCTGGCCAAACCTCTCCCAGACCTCGAACCGCTATACCCCGACTCCGACCCAACCAAAGCACCACTACCCGAACCGTCACTTCTCGACGCCGAGGAAGCCAAAATCCTTGCCTCTCTGGTCGAGCCCGACACAGCCTTCAGCTCCTTCCGTCGTCGGACGCGATCGCGCCTGCAGAATGTGCAGTCCTCGCTCGAGTTCAAGATCGACCACCTGGCCGATAGCGTGCACAAGCTCGACATGCGGGTCTCGACGGCGGGCCGCGAGGCGGATCAGGTGCTTATGCTGAGCGCGGCCAGGTTGAAGGAGCGGGAGGAGAGGGAGAAGGGAAGAGTGGGAACGAGGGATTTGCCGACTATTGAGGTGTTAAGAAGTTTGGGGAGGATATTGCCTGCTGAAGGGGGTTGAGTCTGGGTAAAGCAGAGGAATCAAAACGGGAATTCTCTCACGTTTTGCGGATACCCTTTTTGTTTTCCTTTTCTATGTGTTGTTCTTGTTCAATGACCTCGGCGATATTTCCTTCGGGACCGGGAGTACGGGCGGCAAGGGCGGGGAGATTTGGGTTTGAAGGCATATGCGATGGCGTTCAAAGAACGCATGGGGTACCATTGGGCTTGCAGTTTTGGCATTTAGGTCGGGAGTGGGGAAGAACATTGAATTGAAAGCGCTCTTAGGGGCGTGTGGTCTGACCCAGCATTTGCCGTCCCGGTGGCGCGGTACCCAATATCATGTCTTCTCCATGTAGTACATCAACAACCACATTATGGACAGTCCAAAGTGACTGTTCGTGTTTTGCTTTCAGCGGCTCAACCTTTGGTCCAGTTCGACATCTAACGTTGTGTTAAAACGTACTGGCTTTGGTATGTTATGTTACCGGAGCCCATGAAGTGACGAAGAGAGAGCAAAGCTGAGCGAGGCTGATACCTCAAGGCCAGTCCGTTTCGCCCATGCCATGGAGATAGATATCCCGCCCTACGCCTCGTAGATAAAGCCCACATGCTTGATATACTCGCCTCGTCCTTGAATCCAGAATCTACCTGTAGTCCATCTTTTGTGGACCAATAAAGTGGTACACAACTGTACTGAAATACAATATCGTACACTCCCCTTCTTCTGCTCCTCCTCCTCATCGGTAGTCGGGCTTCAGCTTAGCTCAGCTCGCAGGCATTTGACTGGCCGTTTCGTCACGTCCACGCCCACATCCAAGAGCCTCCCACATCTCACTTTTCACCTTTCCCATATTCCACATCTTGGGTTGGGCCCATCCATCTCTTTGCCGATTTCACTTATACTCCTCCAACCTCGGCATGAACGCCATCCCCCCCTTACTGCCCATCCCCCTCTCCTTGACATGCGTCCTCAACAATTCCAAAATCTCACTGCCCTTCCACCTAGCCGGGACCGGGCGGTACGCCGGCTTGAAGGTGCCGACCGTCTGTGCCCACTCGCCCGCGCGCGGGTTAGGCGGCAACTGTTCCTTCTCTGACAACGCCTCCTCGGAGTTTTGGAGATGTTGGTTCTCCTGACCGGGCAAGGGGGGTTCTTGAGTGGCCCAGTAGTAAATGTCCCAGTCGTTTTCGTCAAGAAACAGATCGTATTGCTTGAGTTGTTCGGGCGTCATGGAGCCGAGGTGGGAGGCGGCGAAGGTGGAGAGGATCAGGTCGGATTCGAGGGTGCCGCGTTTGCGAGATTGGTCTAGAGGAGGAGGAGGAAAAGAGGAAGGGGAGTTAGTTAGTTGGGTTTACATGTAGATGATGAAGATAAGGGTAGCGGGAGAGATAACAACGTACAGAGAAGACGCGCCCGCATGGTGGCGGGGTCCTCGCCGACTCTCCGGAGCGGCTCGATCTTGAAGGTGGCGCCTTGCAGTTCGCCGACGTCGAGGTCCTTCTTTTGCTGGTTATCTGTGCTGTCGTTGCTGGCCGATCGCGAAAAGGCAATGACGTATCTGCTGGCGACGGAGGCGGGGCGCACAGCGGCAGCGCGCGCAAAGGTGGCGGCCGCGGGCCGGAGGGCGCGAAGAGAGGAAGCCATTGTTGCGACGATTTGTCTAGGTGCTTTTGGCGAACTGACTGAAGACGGAGTGTTGTAGCCGAGATAGAGCGACGGAAAAGGTAGGTGTGTAAATCGCTCGGATGGAGCGGATAGTGTGGAGAGGGTGCCGTTGCGCGAACTAGGTAACTGCTTCGGCTTATAAATGAGGATGTCGAAGTGATGGGAATTGTTGTAGGATACCGATCGGGGCCGATTACAGACGCTACAATACCCCGTCCCTTACACTAGTTCGGCGGGCTTGGCAAGTGATCATACAATGGGGGCCGAGGCCGAAAAATTGTTGCCAGTTCCGGTTCATCCCTCCGCATCTCCGTCATCAATTCATTGACGTCGCCACCGTCTCCAGTACCTCTATCGCCAATTGCTCATGTTTCGACTCATCACCACAACAACGCCCACAAGGTCTTTTGGATGCGACTTCTCTTGGTATGCACAGGGCACATTTCCGGTCTCAAATAGTCTTGAACCTCAAAAGTAGACGGCGCACTCAGCATGCAGTCAATTCTCCATTTTACTCCATAACTTTTTGGCTGAAACACATTACCGTATATAGTTACACCAGAGATCTCCCACCTATTGTATGCCATTCGCTCGCCTGCGTTGCGTGTAGTAAAGAGTTCATAAAACCTCCCGCCCGTCGTTACCATGAAGCCGTATAATAAATAAGGTAGTTTGGACAGTGGTAGTTGTGGGTCGTTATCGTAGGTTGCGCCCAGCCCATTAAATAAGATGCTTAGATCTAAGCACACTCATGTCAGTAACTGAAGCCATTTGCTCCGCTAGGTGGGAAAACGAACCTGAAGTATGCCCTGAGGTACATAATCTGCCACCCCCAAAGAGCGATGAGGAGGAAAGTGGTGGCCATGCCAAACCACTTGACACGGTTGTTGGTGCTCTCATTGGTATCACGGAGCTTCTGCTCACGAGCGCGCAGGTAATCCATCTCGCTAACAACCTCGCCGACCAGCTCCTCGATACGGCGCAGATCGGTTTCGAGTGGCTTAAGCTTCTCGGTGGCCTGGATGGCGGACCAGTCCTTGGCATCGGCACCAATGTCGATATCGAGCTCGACGTGGCGGCGGGGGTTCTCGACATACTTGGCTGATCATCGCAATCTTGTCAGTTTTCCATCCGAGCTTATACTGGCTGTTTTGCTTATTTTCGTCGTGGCCAGGGGATGTACGTACAACCAGTAAGATAGTTCTCGAAGCACACGTCGAAGGCCGCGTCGTGATGCGAGGTGAAGACGATGCGCTGCTCGCCAGCGATATCCTTGGCCTTGCCGTACTCGTTTCCGTGGCTATCGGAGATCTGTTTCGCGTCCAAAGTCAGGCTCGTCCATGTAATTGACCTCCCCATAATCCATCCCCTAGCCCCTTTAACTTGCACCCAGGAGGGAGAGAACCTACGTGCATGTTGACGTTCATGCCATCGCCCTTGTATCCGTCAAGCGTAGCCGTTACTACCACCAATGTGTCCTTGTTGACAAAGTTCCGTATGCATCGTCGCTGGTTGCTGTGGTGTGAAGAGGTAGCCTCAAGGTCGAACTTGAGAGCTTGCGCGCAACCGGCGAGCAGCAGGAAGCCGCTCAGCAGCGACTTTAGGGATGCCATGATCGCTGACTGATAGGATGATCTAGAGCGTTGGGCGGTGACCGGAAAAAAGGTTCAAAAGTGTCGTCGAGTTGGCAACGCAGTCCGGCGAAGCTATGCAGTGACCTGGTCGTGTCGTGGTAGGTGGGCTGTCTGTATTAATGGGAATAGCTCCGCGACTTGGATCTAGGGGAAATCTGGCGGCTTCTCTTTGGGCAGGCAAGGACAGCTGAGACAGGTCTGGAGCATGTCCACAACGGCTTGACAGGAGTGCCTCGTTGAGCCAATCAGCAGCCGCGAACCGATCAGGGGAGCTTTTTTGGGGAAGCCTTAGAGGATCCACTCTTGCCAAGCACCTCAAGGACCAACCTGGTCCCGCTTTGGTCATCGCGTCCCATTGTGTGTGTCCAGTGCACTTCAGCCTTGCAAACCTTCTTTTGTCTTCGTCGTTGTCGCGCGCCGTATTATTGTTGCCATTCAACTTGCGACTTTCTCCGAGGGCAGCCACAGAGACTTCGAATAATCCCGACTTGAAAGGATTCGCGATCACGATCTACCAAAATGCCAAAATGTAAGTACTGCTTGGACCGCTCATCTTCAACTCGGTGCTGACGACATCTTGTGCAGTCTTTTGCGACTACTGCGATGTGTACCTCACGCACGATTCCATGAGCGTCCGCAAGGCGCACAACAGCGGTCGTAACCATCTACGAAACGTTGTTGACTACTACCAACGTATGGCACAACCAGCCCCCAATCCACCATTGCCGACTTCACCGCATAACTAATGCGATTTTGTTTTACAGAGATTGGTCACGAAAAGGCCCAGTCCGTTATTGACTCGATTACCTCCTCGTACGCCGCCGAAGGCCAAGCCCACGCCAATCCCATGCTCCCGCAGAACCAACCCGGCGGAGTCCCTCCCGGCCTCGGCTTCCCGCCCCCGGGCGCCGGCGTTCCCCCCTTCCCGCCTTTCCCTGGCGGCATGCCTCCTCCGTTCCCAGGCATGCCCGGTGGCGCGCCGGTGCCCCCTCCCGGAGCCTTTGGTGCCCCAGGCGTGCCCGGCGGTATTCCTCCCCCGGGAGCGCCAGGAGCTCGCGGAATGCCACCAATGCCACCATTCCCTGGTATGCCTGGTGCTCCTGCTGGTATACCTGGCGTACCACCTCCGATGCCCGGTCCTGGTGGTCTGCCATTCCCGCCCCCAGGGGGTCTACCCTTCCCCCCACCTGGAGCAGGAAACTTCCCCTTCCCCCCTCCCGGCGCGCCAGGTGCGTTCCCCGGTATGCCGCCTTTTGGCGCCCCTGGTCAAGGGCCTCCGGGTGCCGACAAGAGGTGAAGTAGTTTGGTGTACGATGAGAGTAGCTTGAGAAAGGGCACGACAACATAGCAACCTGGGTCAGGCCGCCAAAACGAGCATAATATTCACGGCTTTCAGTTTCGGATTTCATTCAATTGGTGTTTGCAATTGGGTTTCATTTTCTCGGAACACGATACCAAGATTCTACGGCGGCGCTGAAGGCGTTATTCTTTTTAAAACAAAAGCGGGTCAGGTCAGTTCAGAAGGGAGGAAAATCATAGCGCAGGTCACTATAGCCTGGTTGAAGGTCATCCTTGCTCGAATATTTCAGCTATACAGCAACCGGCGAGCCACCCCGGTTTGCTTCAATCCGACACAAGGACATACGATGAGTGGACCTAAGTCGCTCTGGCCTGTCATCGATACAGGAAAGGAAAGGCTTTCGAGGGCTGCAGAGCGTGGTAGGTATGCTGCTTTTGCTCCTGATGAAGCCCGCCACGATTCTTTTTTTACCCAAGCTGTTCAGTCATGCATTCGTTTGACTGACAATCGGCTGAGCTAAACTGATGCGCAGGTGTCTGGTAAGGCGACGGAGTGGCATCCGTGCACACCAAACATGATCAAGGGATAATTCCCCGAAGTCTACCAAAGTCTACATGAAAAGCGAACATCATAGAAATAGCACATCCAGAAATACAACAAACATCTTGTAACTTGCTTTCTATGATCAATCAGTAAAGGAAGTCCGCTGTCTAGATCAAGCCTAACCTTTTATCGTCTTCAACTTTCCCATTCCCATCGTTTCAACAACATCTAAATCGGCACCCATCACCCCCTCCCCTTTCAAACCCTCCCAACAAACCCAACCTCCTCCTCCCACCACCCTTGAAAAACTCTCAGTCTCTCCGTCCGTTCTCTCATCAACTCCCTCCCCACGTCCGTCTTCGCCAAGTCCACCAACCTCACCAGCTTCTCGTCCACATGCTCCATACTCCCAGCCATGTCCCTCCCCGTCTTGGCTCCGCCGAACGTGAACATGCGTCCCAACCCGACCGCGCCGACGGCGTCCAGTCGGTCCGCGTCCTGTACCACCGCTAGCTCTGGGTGCTGCTCAATGAGCGAGTTGATGAAACCTGGGTTGGCCGGGTTCTTGGTCTCGGTGCTGTAGGAGACGTTGAGGCAGATGGTTTGGATCTTGGAGGCGAGGGGGGCTGGGCAGGAAAAAGATGTGAGGAGGGTAGCGATGAGAGTGGTGGGGTCTTCTGACTCTTTCAAGTATCTTGTACCCAATATGTTAGCAAAGTTTTGGGTAAGCATACGAATTGAGGCTGGGGGGGGTGTCCACTGAAAGGTGAGATCAAGGTTGGATATAAGGTTCAGATTGGAACGAGAAGGTAGGTGAGGTTGAGAGGAAGGAGAAGAAGAAGACAAGAAGAAACTGACTTCTTGTCGCCGACGTCATGTAAGAGGGCTGCAAGGTGAATGGTGCGAAGATCGAGTGAGTCCTTGTTGGCGGACTTGGTGTAGATGTAGTGCGATAACCCGACGACACGCTCGATGTGGCTCCAGTCGTGAGACGCGTCGTAATTGCTCATGTAGTTTTTTACGTAGGCCGTGACGGCCTGGACTAGGGAATCATCTTTGAAGGTGTCCATGTTGTACGGTGAAACTTGCGAGTGATCGGGTACGTCTGAAAATTAAAGAGTTGGGTTGGATGTAAGTCTATCACTACGGAGTTGGACAGAATTCTGAGAACATTTTATAGCCACACTGATGCTAAAGAAGTTGTTTAGGGTAATTTACAATCAGTACAGTAAACTTTCAACAAACAACAAAGAGGAACTACATTTTGAAGTCCATGGCTGCCTGCTGTTGCCTAGATGCCTTTCTGTGGTTGGTTGGGAAAAGCAACGCTGTTACCGGAACATGGAGCGGGTACATTCGGCCGGAGTACTGTAGCATACCCCGAATTAAAGCGGGGCCAATGCCGACTGAGTCTCGCTTCGTTCATGTTTTGGCCGGTCCGCATCGCCGGTGCCATCGGTATCGGGCAGCATGAAACATATCAAGAATAGTCATTAAAGCATGTTACATTCTTCTCTAAGCTACATATTCACTAGTATAATAAGCTTCTACCGACCAGCAAATGAACAAATGAGAGACCTATGTTGCTGCCATCCTGCAAGATACATGTACGGTTAAACGCTATCGAGAAACAGTACTGGTATTGAGGAATAACCCAATGCTTATAGAGGAGATAGGTAATGTTGGAAGCTCGATATAAACTAGCATTCATGAATATCAGTGCTATGGATACTATGGCCAGGTGGATTAGATCGAAATGCAATTCCTAAGGGTCCTCCGACCTCGCCTGTAGAGCTCCTCTCCCGTGGGCCGTACCGGTGCCGTTCGGGTGGGGCACCCTACTACATAGTAAGCACTCACAACGGGACCTCCCAGCCGCACCTCCTCCGCTAATAACAACGGCCGGTACATCGGTGCAACGCCACCGAGTGTCAAAGTGATCTTCTGTGTTTCAAGTGATTCATCAGTTCCAACTTTCATCAGTTGATCCCATCTTCATAATTTCTCATCTATCCATTGTTTCTATATCCCACTCAAAACCTCCCATCATCTCTCCTCAGTCACTTTTAGCTCCCTCCGTCCGTGTCTCCCAGGCCGTGGAACTCCTCCTTACCTGTCCCCAACGCCCAACATCTATCCTTGATCCGAACACACCAAACTCATACACCTCAAACCCTTACCACAGGAACAACGTCGACAATAGCAACCACCGCAACAATGTCTCAGACCGCCGCCAACTCCGGCGGCATCTCCAGCAATGGCCTGCCTCCCGTCTCCCCTATCTCCCTCAAAACCATCCCCATGGCCGGTCTCCTCGTCGACGTCTACGGCCTCGACGAGCTTCCCGCCAGCGTATCTTGCGTCTCCTGTCTATGGCTGCACCACCAGCGGACGCGGAACAAGGAACACATGCGGGAGATCGCGGCTCGGTGTGTCGGTGCTTGGAACGAAGCTACTGGAAGTGAGAAGAAGGATAGGGGGTTGATCGCCTTGGCATACGACCAGCGCAACCACGGGACGAGATTGGTGCACGATCCGGCGAACGGAGCGTGGAGGGAGGGAAACAAGACGCATGCGCAGGATATGTTAGGGGGTATTATGGGGATGGTGGGGGATCAGACGGTTTTGTTGTGAGTTTTATCGATGTGACCGGGTGTGCAAGTTGGAACTGTGACTGATCAAATTATTTTCTTTCACTAGGGATGTCGTGGAGTCGTACCTCTTCCATGATAGCGGAGAGGAAGAAGGACAGCAGAGGAAGGTGATTGACCACCACCTTGCTTTGGGCATCTCCCTCGGAGGACACAGCGTGTGGCAACTCATGTTTGCGGACCCGAGAGTGCGCGCTGGTGTGGCGGTTATTGGATGTCCTGATTTTATGAGTAAGTCTATTCTTATTCTTCTCCGTTCTGAAATACCCATAGCAACTAACCACCTGATAGACCTCATCACCGACCGTGCCCGTCTCTCCAAGCTATCAACTTACTCTGCCGACACCGGCGCCGCCACCTTTCTGGGGAGCAAAGACTTTCCTCCTTCCTTGGTCACGGCCGCTTGCAAGACAGACCCAAAGGGAATCCTGTTTGGCACCTCTCCCATTCCCTCATCCTCGTCGTCACCGGGTTCTTCCTCTCCCAGCATAACAGACGAGGATGAACGGCAAAGACGGCAAATCCTTCTTGAACGTCTGCAAGGAAAGCAGTTTCTTCTTTGCAACGGCGCAGAAGACAAGCTCGTGCCCCCTAGGTGCGGTGAGGCGTTCACAAGGTGGTTCAAGGAGGCCGCAGATAAGTATAAGGAGGCGAGGATCTCGGTGGATGAGAGGACTTATGCGGGAGTTGGGCACACCTTCAGCGTAGGCATGGTCAAGGATGCGGTCGAATGGGTGATGGAGGTGGTTAAGAACGCTGATGCGGATATAGTCGCTCAAGCGAGGAATGGAAGGTCGAAGATGTGAAGTCACTGATTAGGAGAGTGGACATCACCTGTCGAGACCAAGAGAATGGCTGCGCTGCCAGATCAGCCAACCCTGCCTTCTCACTGGACTCACAATGTGGTAAGGCAGCGATGGACATGTAGAAAATGTGTGTGCACTGGGTGTAGAAAGAGGTCGTCGTGACAATGGACAGCAAGGGGGAGATCAGGACCTCAAATGAAGGAGGGGATTCCCAAAGGATGAGCCCAGGGGTGATAGGGAGCCCGGGTGGCACGGCAGAACTTGTAAATAAACCTCGGGCCTCGGGCCCTTGTAGTGGTCTTTGCTCTCCTCATCAGAATCAACAATTCTACCAGATCTTTGAGTTCCCCACGTGCCTTATATGATTAGCTGTAGAATTACCATTCCGCGGATTTGTAGACCACACCATCGTGACGCCATCTCTCACCTCGCCCAAGGCCTTGGCTTCTCCCCATCAACCAGCACTTCGCTCCCATCTTGCAGAATCCTCGTCTCAACTCCGCTACTCCTCCTTTCCTCCTCACTGAAAAACAACCGCTGATCCACCCCCCAACAATTCCTCGCCCTCCTCTTCCCAGCCAACTCCTCCCCCACCCCATGCGGATCCTCAGCCCACTGTCCCAAAGCCAACTGCACCCCTTGCATAGCTTCCTTCTTCTCGTTCGACTCCTGATCCCTTTCAACAACTCCATCTCCACCAACCCCAGGCGGATTAATACCCACAAACCTCACCCTCTCCTCCAACTCCAACGAGGAGGAGTCCAAACCGAAAATGGCAGCGCAGTGCCCGTCCACCAGCCGGTTTCGCTTGAAGGCGTGGCTGACGATGGTGATGCGCTCCGGCCAGGCGTGCTGAGGGTGCTGAGGGTGGACGACGCGCCAGTAGTGGATGAGGGAGAAGAGGATGTTGTAGTAGGAGTCCAGGGCGCGTTCTTCCAAAAAGATACGGTTCGAAAAGGGGGCAGCGGAAGGGCCGGAAGAAGGCGAAAGGTCGAAGAAGGAGTTGGCGAGGGCTAGGTTGTAGTAACTTTGGGCTTCAGAAAGGCGCGTTTCGGGGCGGGTCGGGCCGCTTTTTTATGTGGGAGTCAGTCATGTTGCAGACGGAGGCCGAAAGTGAGGGGGGGGACGAACCCAGAGAACATCAACACTGCGCGGTCATCTTTTGCGAGTTCTTCAAGGCCTGCTCTGATGTGGGCAATAAACGTGGGCGTTTCGCCCTTTTTGTAAGGCTCAATGAGCCATTCGGATTCGTCCCAGCCGTTTTCTGGGCCGCCGAGCCAGATGGCGTGGCCGCAGACGATGATGAGGTGGTTTGGTGGTGATGACATGGTGATGGTGACGGTGAATGTGAGATTAAGGAAGAGATGGATCTACTGGCGAGATTGACCGCCTTTTTCCGATATATGACTGATCATGTGATTCTTTTTGGCTTGGGGCAGACGCAGTAGACATTTGCAAAGTGATGAAGAAAAGGATGTGAAAAAATTAGCTGATTTATTCAGGGGGTTGTAAAGAGCCCCTTTTCAATCAAAACAAACACCAGCCCGGAAATTTTGATATCCAGTTTTCTCAGCTGACCACACCTCACGCCTTTTGGTCAGATTCCGCCTCACGCATGAGACGCAGGACACTGGAGACCAGGTACAAACTTCCAGCAATAACAATCGGCTCATCTCCCGCAGCCTTGGATGCCCATTCCAGGGCAGCTCGTACATCGTCTCCCGAGTTGTGCGTATTTTGAGTATCAACGCCGTAACGGATTACCTGGTTGATCAAGTTGGCCGGGTCCTCGGCTTTAACCCACGGCATTCCATCCACTGGCCCAAACTGCACAGCCGTGACATGATCACTCGGCTGTATGATATGGGACATAATACTGTCCACATCTTTGCCTTTGGAAGCGGCCAGCACCCAAGTAATTGATCGACTTCGCGAGCGGTAGTGCTTGTTGACATACTCAGCCAAAACTTCGGCCGACTGGCTATTGTGGGCTCCGTCCAGCAGAGCCGCTTGATGCTGCCCGATGATGGGAAAGAGATCAATTTTTTGCAGACGACCGGGCCATTGCAGCTGCTTAACGATGGGAAGGAGACGACTCATCGAGTGGTCAACATCCGGACACGCTAAGCGAAAGGCCAACAACGCGCACGCCAGATTCTGAACTTGATGCGGCTCATAGCCTTCTTTGGTGAGAACCTGCAACAGGGCGGAATCTGATGAGGGATAGTGCAGCTCTGCGCCGCCAACCTCCTTCGCATGGTCTTGAATCACTTTCAGGACCGAAGACTCGTTGCTGTCATCGACGACACAGGGAACGCCGGAGCGGATAATGCCTGCTTTTTGCAGCGCGATCTCCTCAACCGTATTTCCTAGGAAAGACTGGTGATCAAGACCAATTTTTGCAATGACGGTAACGGACTTGTGCTTCATGATGTTGGTAGCGTCCAGCTTCCCGCCGAGACCAACCTCGATTACGCCATACTCAACTTTCAGACGGTGAAAGATCTCAAAGGCGGTCGCAGCAAGGAGCTCAAACTCGGTGGCCCCGATCTTCTCGTCCTGATCCCGTTGCTTGACCAAGCCCTCGACTTGACGGAATATCGTCTCGGAGACGGGCTTCTCATTGATAGTGATGCAGTCCCAGCGGTCGATGAGGTGGGGTGAGGTGAACCTCGCACACGAGACACCGCTGGCACTGAGCATAGCCGAGAGATAGGCGCATATTGAGCCCTTGCCGTTGGTGCCGGCGACGTGGATGGCCTTCCAGGTCTGCGGCGTGTGTTGAAGAAGACGCCCGATGCGGGCCAGTCCGAGATCAATCATGGCGATGGTGAACTGGTGATTAACTCACTCACATGCACAAACAATGTAGAAAAACACACAGAGTGACTGTGAAGGTGATTGGTGGCGATGCGGATCGATCTCAGTCCTGGGGTCCTTGGCCAAGTCCTGTCACCACTCTCTTCGAAGAAAGCAGAGCTCAATTGAATGCCGTGAGCAGCCAGAAGGGAAGCTGTGGATACTGCAGTGGCTCATCAGCGGCGGATGCTTATGGCGGGGCGTAGAAAGTCGATCTGCGTGGGCAAGAAGCGAGGCAAGGAGGACCCCTGATTCACATATCATATCCTAGCTGAATGGGAAAGGAAGTCGCAGTTTTCTCTATAATGCATATTTCGAAGACGAAATCTCCCTATTTGAACGGTCTAAACGCATGGACTCTCGTAAGCGCATAGTTTTCTTGCTGACATGCAGTCAGACCGAAATGTCTCAGCGCACTAAGCCCTATCGCCCTGGGGCCATGGGGCTCCAATGGGGCATGTTGCAACCTGGAGAAGATCCGCCCAGCCGCTTCATCTCTCCGTCCTGTCAAAACCGCAATCCCCTGAAGCCTGCAATCCCGTCCTCTCCCCTTCCGTTCGCGCGTTGAGGTTCCGATCAAACCAAACCAGACTCAATCATCCGCCGCCACCGCTATCCGCAAACCCCACGACCGCCAACTCGGGCAAGGATTCCACAACAGAGGCTGGGGCGCATTCTTTATCGCAACATCAAGATTCCTTAACCATTGACGAGCCCCCGCCATCACCAACCGTCACGCTCGTTGATATCTTCCCTTGCTTCCAGCGTCACTCTATCGCTAAACCCCAAGCGGACCGTCTGTCGCGACATCGCGACTCAAGTTAACACCATGGGTCTCCGGTAAGAACACCGCGTCAGGGCGTTTCGCGTCTGCGCTTATCCCCCCCTTTGCCATATGTATCCACCGCGATTTCGTCACTTCCATCTGTCGCACATGCTCGATTTGGTGCTTTCCATCAAACCGATGATGCGCCCCATCAGGGCAACCGATCCAGTCGCATTCCCCTATTCCACTCTGTAGGCTTGCGCTGACCTGCCCCGTCCTCCCAATCAGATTGTACCAAGCGCCTGTCGAGTCCGACATCCAATCGAAGTCGGCGGCGGACAAGAACTCTGCCGAAGCTCGATCCTCCATTAGACGCAGCCGCCTTCAAAATTCCGAACGAGTGCAGCAACGCCGACGTCGCCTCGCTATCACCGCTGCTATCAACAGTGGCAATGCTGCTGCTGCTGCTGGTAACAACCATGACAACCTCAGACGCCGATCCCCTCCAGCCGAACGATCAAGCGGTTCCAATAGCGATAGCAACAGCAACAATGCGCCAAATAATGCGGAATCTAGTCGCGACACCACGCGTGACGGGGCTAGTCGTATAGGTGGTATGCTCGATGACCAGGTCATTGCCTTGTTTGGCAGGCGGTTGGCTCACCTGCATTCACTGTCCCAGTACCCAGGAGCCCTTACTGACGATGAGGATCCCGAACCCAACCCTTTCCTCGCGCATATGACCGCGGAACCACCTTTTGCACACATGGCCGTTGAACCTGGCTTTCTGTCTCGTAGAGTGCCACCACCACCGCCGCCGCCCGTAGAACCTCGTACATCGTCTCAGATGAATCGGGGCCCACCTACCCCGGTATGCGCTCACCCTCTCTTTCCTACACGCCGTCTGAGCCAACCGAATGGCACCAACTAACCATTAGCAGATCCGAGAACGCGCAGCTTTGCGCCGCATCAGGGATCGGACCGCGGACCGGGCCTCGTCTCTCTACGGCACATGGGGTAATCCTTACCCTAGGCCTGACGCAATGTCTGGTCGCCGCCGAGGTGAGCAGGCACCGTCTGTTGACGCGCCGCAAGTGGATGGTTTGGGAGATCGCAACCGAAGTCTCAGTCCCGAGGGCGACCATGTCTGGGACATTTTCACGACCACCCTGACGCCAGACCCACTAACGCCCAGCTCTGGCTCTTCGTTTGCTTCCGTTTCGGCATCTGCGGTTGCCTCGCAGAATGCGGCGGCACCCTCCGTCGGGACTTCTGTCACCGTCCCGGATGTGCCCGTAGAAGTTGCAGAAGCGGAACCTCCGTGTGAGTCGGGGGGTGAAAATTCCGACACGGAAGGTGATGAGGATGACGAGCTGGACGTGAACCCGCTTACTCGTTTTCCTCTAGCTCCTAGCTTGAACAGCATTCGAAGGTCGTATGCGGATGTTACCCGCAATGACAGCAGTGATGATTCTCTGGAGATCTTGGGCGGTATGGGAGGCCTGCAGCGCATCGTGCGCAATCTTGCTACGCGCGAGGATGTCCCCGATGAGTGGTGGGCTGAAGCCGGGCTCAGCCGGATGCTTTCACGGGGTGCATCTGGAAACTGAGCACAATCATTGCAGTGTCTGTGTGCGTGTTTCGAACTCATGGCATTTGCTCTCAGGAGCAAAATTGCTCGTGCAGTTAGTGATGCACACTTGAATCCCCGGGTTTTCTCTTCTCTTCTTCTTTTTTTTTTTTTTTTTTTTCTTTTTTGCTTTGCCTTTGTCCTTTGGCGCATACGGTGAGCGGCGTCATGGTTTATATGGGTTTCCTTTTTCCTTGCCCACTCATCGTCCTTACCATCATCATGTGACTGTTCATGATTTCATCTTCTTATTCCATCAAATTGGATGAAAAAGAAGGTTTCTGATAGGAAGACTTTGATGGAACATTTTACGGCTGGGAGCGACCAGATTATTAGACAGCAGCGTTGAAGCGGCGCTATGCTGATGTACTACATGATTTCCCGGTACAAATTGAGCAGAGGGCTTCCAACGGACTGGGGAACCAAAAATAAAAAGACAAAACAGCCAGAAATGGTACTGGTCGACGAATGTTATAGAGAATTTCAAAGATGAATTCTTGTGGTTTATATCACTTGAGGAGATTGCTCGTGCAGGTTATGCCAGGCCATGTTACAGATCAAGGGCCTGTGATTACAATATCATACTTTTGGTTGGTACTACTTACAGAATGTCTGACATAGGGAAACGATCTCGACAAAACATGTACGAAATTATCCTAGAGGTTCCAAGCTGAAACACAAAGAAACACCAGTACCATGTGTGAAGCTCTTCTTAGATGTGTTGGCGGTGGATGATAAGATAGGTATCCAGCAGAGGCATGTCGGGGATGGCGATTTCCCGCTATGTATGTACGCAGTAGCTCTATACACTACATAGCTGCACCTCCGCACTAGAGCAGCTGCATGCAAGTTAGAATTGATCCCTACACTACTTCATGCAAGCTTTCTAAAGTGCACTGCGTGACTGGATAGAAGTGTCTACCGCCGAAAGCAGGTGAAGGTGAAGATGAGTGTCGTCGCATTGGCGCGGAAAACCCGAGTCGACGGGAAGAATGCGAGGATGGGATCCTGTCATTTCTCTTTTTATGATGAGCGACCTGACACTCACTCCATCGTACCGTTGAAATCGATGCCTAGGCCCAGCGCATACATACATACCTAGGTACATGCTAAACAGTGATCCACTCTTTTCATTCAGCTGTTGCCGTGTTCTCGAGGCGTCCAAGACATCCAGGGCTGCACTGCAGCGTTCGAACACTTACAACATTTCCATTACTTCAACCAGCTCTCTGCTGTGGTGGATGTGTGAATGCTTGGTTGTTTCAGCGCAAACAGTTCCAACCCGAATCATACATTCCACTTTGTCAAGTACGTTTTCCCCTCCTAGGGGTAGTAGGTAGAGGTAGCTTCTTTCCTCTGCTCTTTCTCTTTTCAAAACGTTCCGCCAACCAATACCGGATGAACTCCCACGTCAAGAAACAAGGATATCAAGGTACCTTTCGCCTAGTACTTTTACCCCGCGGTACGCCATCTCGAACGATCTGACACACAACAACAAGCGACCAGCGCCCAGCGTTCCAGAACCACAACAACAATCACATCCAGCATCTGGTGGCCAACGGCGATGTCCACTTAATCTTCCAGAGCGCCAGCAATTGCGCAAGGGAACCATCTTCGTCTTGTCCCGCTGGACCTTAGGCGCCTTCATATATCGATACCTCTGCTTTTCCGTCTAGCTTTCGAACGCTGCCAACGTCTAGTCACAGAATTTCGCATAGACAAAAAAGAACACGAACCGCCGGCCGTATCGAGCAAGCGTTCACGCTAGTCGCCAAAACCTTGGGCTGTACACTCCGAGTTATCAGCTTCCACTTCACGGATTTCTTCCCGTCGCGCTTTTCAACATTCTCTCGGCTCCATACCCCACACGGACCCGATCTTGTTTTCGCATCGACATTTCCGGCGCATGATCACATCCGTAGCAGTGCACCCAACACCGACGCCCACTTCCATTTTACTGCATCTTGGGCCGACCGGCGACCAGCCCAGGTTTCCATACTGCGAATCACAACAGAAAAGCGGACCCCTCCTCCATTTCTGGGCCTGGATTGGGAATGGGATACATCACGCTACTGCCCCGTCGATATCCACCCACCCTATATAAGGTCTCTCGGCAAGAACCCTTGAATAGCCAGCCAGCCAGCTTCGGCTCTCTCACAGAATCTCCAGGCCCCCGAGCCCCTTCGTACACATATCTGCCTACCGGCGGCAACCCCAAAATTTCGGACATATTGACCTCTGCGGAGAGAGGGTAAACAAAAGTGGGGGGAGTTTTTGACTGGATCGGTAAAGCCTCCCGGACCGGGGCCGCAGGCATGGCGCCGAACCCGCCGGGCTCCTTCTCCACCGAGCGCTCGTATCATGGCGGGAACGGCAAGGCAGCAGCAGTCGTGGCTACCAAAGTGCCGGGGACACCGCGTCGGGAGGCTGGCGGCCATGGCCGAGAAAAGGCGGTCCAAGATCCGGGTCTAAAGGACTATGTACGTCGTTCTTCCTCTGTCCCTCTTATTTTCCCCTGGTGTCTCGTTAGAGTGCTTCGCCGTTAATATTGTGTGGCATGTCGTTTGTGAAAGATTCTGAAGCTCAGTCAGGTCTCTGTTTCATCCAAGTTCTACCCTCTAGCCGGTGCGGAAGGGTCGTAACGAGGCGGCTCGTACCTTACCTACATTGTTGACATATGCACCTCTCGGCATGCTCAGTGGCTTGCATGAGTCTGAATTCTTTGTTCAGCAGCACCGGCATGGGGCCAGAGTGACCCCGACTTATCAATCAATCAATCAATCAAACCATATCACACACTCAGTTCTTATGAGACATGGCTGACCTATGACCACATACGTGGGTGTTTAGCGACTCGGTGATTGCATCGGGAAAGGAGCCTTTGGGTCGGTCTACAAGGCCTTCAACTGGGGAACCGGCGAGGCCGTGGCCGTCAAGCAAATCAAGCTCGTCGATGTACCAAAAAGCGAGCTTCGGATGATCGAGGTGAGTTGGTTTGATAATTTCCAAGATACATCCGATTGCTTCAAGCTGACATTGCGTAGGCCGAAATCGATCTCTTGAAAAATCTTCATGTAAGCGGAGACGGCAGCTCTTTGTTCAAGTTAAAAGTACTAATAACATTTAGCATGACAATATTGTCAAGTACATAGGTTTCGTAAAATCGGCGGATTGCCTGAACATCATCCTCGAGTAAGTGGGTTCCTTGAGCCGGGAAGAGACACTGAGAATACTAACACGAGTTGGACAGGTACTGCGAAAATGGCTCGCTGCATTCGATATGTAAAGCCTATGGCAAGTTCCCAGAAAATCTTGTCGGTGTGTACATGACCCAGGTCCTTCAGGGGCTGCAGTATCTGCACGACCAGGGTGTCATCCATCGAGATATCAAAGGTGCCAATATTTTGACTACCAAGGATGGCACCGTCAAGTTAGCAGACTTTGGCGTGTCAACCAGCACTCTAGCAGGCCCAGACAAGGAGGCGCAAGTAGTAGGGACTCCCTATTGGATGGCCCCTGAGATCATTCAACTGTCCGGCGCTACCTCTGCCTCGGATATCTGGAGCGTCGGATGTACGGTTATTGAGCTTTTACAAGGAAAGCCTCCATATCATCACCTGGCTGCGATGCCGGCTCTTTTTGCTATTGTTAACGATGACCACCCACCGCTTCCAGAAGGAGTCTCACCGGTTTGTCTCTCCGTGTTCTCAAGCTGCGCGGGTTTGATATGCTGACCACGAGAATAGGCTGCTCGTGACTTCTTAATGCAGTGTTTTCAGAAGGACCCTAACCTCAGAGTATCGGCGAAAAAGCTTTTGAGACATTCGTGGATTCAAGGTTGCCGGAGGAGTGATGCGCCGATATCAAAAGCACCATCAAACTTTATTCAGGCCGTTGAAGAAGTCAAGCAATGGAATAAGGCGCTCAAGTCATCGGAAGCCACCCCTAGAACATCGATTGGCTCAGATCACGGAAATCCTTCCACGCAGAATAGGAATGCTTCTGGTCAACATCGTCCAAATCTCTCTATTTCGACAAAGGTGCCCCCACAGCAAGCGAAGCCGAAGGCGAACGCAGAGGTCTTTAGGTCTCCTGCGGTAGAAGCTGGTGAGTATCAGAAAATTAGGACGTGAAAGTGTTAGCTGACAGATTGTGACAGACGATGATAACTGGGACAATGACTTTGCCACTGCAATTTCACCTAGTGCGCTCCACCTCCCTCACATCAAAGGCCAGGATAATTTTGGAGGACTACTTTCCAGCGATCGGCTCAAAGCGTTCGCATCCATTGACAGCTCGCGGGAAGATACAGAGAATTGGGACGAAGACTTTGGCGGAGAATTTGAGCAGACGATTCGTCCCTTGCCGAAACGGTCAGATAGGGTGTCCGATTCCAAGTCTTCTCAGCAAGGACATAGGCGGCAAAGGAGCAGCAAAACCACGATTTCAAGCGCCTCCCAGACTAAGTCGCCTGTGAGGACGCAGTTCGGAAACAAGTTTGAACTTCCACCCCGTCCTGAATCAATCTATCGTGAGCAGTCTACCGAGGATTACTCTGATCTCTTTGGCGATACGGACTCTGTCTTCAATAGCCGGCTTAATGTTGCTGTCAAGGTAAACCTTCCCTCTCCCTCTTTGTCGCCTGATCCCTGTCGCCAATTTGCTGACCGTCTTGCTTTTGTAGGACGCCCCGCAACTATTTCACCCTTCTGATCTCACCAGTTTACCGCGCTCTACGGCATCACCTGTCAATGGCAGCAGCGGGCGGAGACAGTCAGCTTCCGCGCGGCCACCATCAGCCCCTGAGAAGCCCGCCGTCCGAAGGACAAGGATGACAGTAGAGATCACAAAGTTTGCTGAAGACGAGGGTGACGAGGACTTTTCGGACATTTTCGGGGCCGAACCGGAAAGCTTCACAAAGCCGCCCAAGAGCGATGAGGGATCAGAAGATGGCCATCAACTCATGCTCCTTTCCAAGTTGTCCAACAATTCTTGGCTTGGGGACGACGAAGATGAAGACGACCCCTTTGCGATGATGGACCCAGGCTGGGATGAGATGGATCTCGAGGCCAATATTGCTCGTGATAGACATGCTAGGTTGGCCGAGAAGGTGGAAGAGAGAGTGAAGTCTTTGAAGCCGACGGAGAGTGAGGATATACTTGCTGATCTGGCTGAAGACTTGCTCAATCTTCTATGGGAAAACAGCGAGGTCAAGGATCTCATCATCAGTGCACATGGGTTGCTACCGATCCTGGAGATCTTGGAGCCCTGCACAGTGAAGAGTCGCCAGCACATGATCTTGCAGCTGTTGAAGATCGTCAATGCGGTAGGTGCCAATATCAGTGTTCATATGTGAAAAACTGTATGGCTGTCCGATCACTGACTGCGAGCAGATCATATTGGATGACGTCGAGCTGCAAGAGAACTTGTGTTTCGTTGGCGGTATCCCTATCATCACCAAGTTCGCTGCTCGGCAGTATTCGAACGAAATCCGCTTGGAGGCCGCAGCCTTTGTTCGGCAAATGTACCAGACTTCTACCTTGACGCTGCAAATGTTCGTCAGTGCAGGCGGTCTCAATGTCTTGGTAGAGTTTCTGGATGAAGACTATGACATGTCGCCAGACCTTGTTCTTATCGGCGTGAATGGCATTTGGAACGTCTTTGAGCTTCAGGTAAGCCTTGTTCTTCAACACATGTCTTGATGTCAAGAAATCGTGCTGATTGTCACTCTAGGGTCCGACCCCAAAGAACGACTTTTGCCGCATATTCTCGCGAAGCAAAATCTTGGACCCATTAGCTGCAGTACTGCACAAGGTCTTGGATGAAGATGATAGGGACGAGCTGTCCGAGCTGATTGAAGCTCGCATCGTCAACATCTTTTATCTCTTCTCGCAAGCTGAGAACTATGTGAAGGAAGTCGTTGCCGAGCGCTTTGTCCTCAAGAGTATGTACCCCTTATCGTTATAATGCCGGGTCAATTGCTAATAATCATAACTCAATATAGCTGTCCTAAAGGACCTCAGGCGGATGACACCTGCTCACCAAATCACTATGCTCAAGTTCATCAAAAACTTATCCATGCTGTCAACCACGTTAGAGTCATTACATTCCGCTGATGCCATTGACTACTTGATCGACGTTTTGAGCAACTCAATGAAGAGAGGGCAGCAGCATTTCCGCGAGATCTCCAATCAAGTGCTCAACACCATGTTTAACCTATGCCGACTCAGCAAGGAGCGTCAGGAATACGCTGCCAGCAATGGTATTATTCCACTGTTGCTCAAGATCATGAAGACTGATCGGCCGCCCAAGGAATTCGTCCTCCCTATTCTTTGCGACATGGCGCACTCGGGCAGCAAGGGCCGAAGATATCTGTGGCAGAACAATGGGCTGGAATTCTACGTTTCGCTCTTGGCAGATCAGTATTGGCAAGTCACCGCGCTGGATGCTATCTTTGTTTGGCTAGAAAAGGAGACGGCCAAGGTTGAACACCATTTGCTCGACGGCAACTTTACCACGGCGATCACGTCTTGCTTCAACACTAACAAGGCAAATGCTTTCGACGCCAACCTTCTCGAACCGCTTCTGAAACTTGTACGACTTAGTCCCTCTGTGGCAGCATCACTTGCCAAGGCGGAGATGTATGCTGGCATCGCCCAGAAACTGAGCCACAAGAAGGCCGTTGTACGCCTCAACTTGCTCCGTCTCGTGCGCAGTATCATGGACGGTTGCGAAGTCAACAACACACCCATGGCGACCCTGGCCACTTCGACCGCGGGCCGTGCGCTGCGTGTTCTCTTTGACGATATACAAATACTGGCAGATAAGGATCCAGCAGTATTGGTGCGTAACTTGGCATCGGAGATCGTTAGGAGCCACATCGACATCGATCTACAACACGACGTAGCAGCCTTGGGCGCACTGAACATGGGTGCTGGGCCCTCGGCCATCCCCAATCCGCTCAACAACCTGAGTTCTGGACCACGCTCGCGGTCTGGCCCCCGGCGCAATACTAGTTATACACCGCCAGGCTTACATGCCAGCATGTCCATGCCGCCCACACCCACGCACGGTCACCGAGCCTCGCATTCGTCTTCGGCTGCATATATTGAAGTAGCATCAACGCCGAAACGCTCCGGAATCTCCCTAGCCCAGGAGCGCGAAGCAATGTATCGGCCGCACAGCAGAGACGGCGGCGTCCCGCTGATCAATATCCCACGCCGCGTTAGCCAAGACACCTCAGCGGGCATTCCTTCGTTGTCCTCATCCATGGGCTCGGCCGGTGGCTTAGGGACACCCTCAAGGATGCGACTGCCCCGCATGTCCATGACGCAGTATAGTTCTCCTAGACCGAGTCTATCATCTGCCGCCACGGCGCCTGGAGCGGTCTCAGCGACGGGCATGGGGATAGGTAACTCGGGCATAGCGAGCAGTCGTGCCGAGCGTGAGCGAGAGCGGAGCGAAAGTTCGCTGAGTAACCATAACAAGGAGAACTACGGGCGGATAAGGTCCGGATCATCAGTTGCGGGTCCCGAGGCGAGGATTCTCGGAGGAAGCGGGCTGTACTCGGTCTCGCCGACAGGGAGTGCAGTGAGCTTGTCCAGCAGTTTTCAAGGTAGTGGAGGAGGAGGAAGTGAGGGGTTCTCACGCAGCTACGGAGCGAGAGAGTCATCGTTCTCCGTTATGGGTGGTAGTGCGGGCGCCGGAAACGCTAAGCGCAGAAGTCGAGCGCCTAGTTCGGACATGAGGTGGTCGTAGGACGGTCATCCTCTGTTGCCGAATAGTAAGCAGACAACTGTTATTGGTGATGGCCCTGGGTCTGGTGATAACGAAAGACAGCGTCTTGGTAGTGCTCGTAGGACTGGGAGCGAGGCGGGAGTCTCTACTTCTTCGTCTACTGCGCCGAGTACACCTGCTAGTAGCGGTGGCAGGATTGTGGGTGGGAAGAGTGAAGTTCCGCTTAGTGCTTGCGGGAAAAAGACTGCTGGTGGCAATATCGCTTCTGGCGGTAGTAGAGAGGGCGTTGTTCGTCCTAGTTCTTCTGGCGCTGGCAGTAGTGGTGGTGATGGTGGTCTTCAGCATGGTCATGTTAGACAAACCAGACGGGGGCTATTATTGTCTGGTCGAACGAATTCGTATCCTGTTCCTGCTTCGGCGGTTAGAGATGATAGAAGAAGAAGATAAAATAGTGTTATGGATAAAGGAACGAACATGACCACTCACCGAAAGAAAAGGGGGAAAGAGGAAGAGGACGGACGGAGGCGTTCCTTTGCTCATTTTTATTGGGCAGGAAATTTTTACAGGGCATGTACTTCATCCAAGATCGTTAGAAGACCTTCACAAGAACTAGAAGTATTTGTATTTGGGGATTGGTAGATATATCATCATGGGAGCTACGAAGACCTTTCGATGGATATGGTGATGGGTAAATATGATGTGCCTGTCAAGCAGAAGGGATGTCTAGGTACGTCTGTGCATGGGTACGGGTGCCTGGGTAGCATATGTACAAATGCAGGGACGTCCCCAGCGTTTAATATATCTTGCATCTTGTGCAGATATTGGAGAACGGGTGCACGAGCGCTGTCATCAGCAGATGCCCCCTCACAGTGACGGGATGGTGGTGACATCTGCTCTTATTGATGGGGAGTTTGGCTCTGTTCGATGCCAGGCGTCTTCATATCCCTTTGTCCACCCAAAACATTGATGATAGCTTGGATCATCTACACTCTTTTGTTCATAACATTGCCCCATCTATCAATCATTAATTTGGGAGCCTCTGATACCCAACCTCCCAACCCGGCACGACGACGGCGACACGTACATCCCTCGGTTCAACCAAGCTTAGCCCCTTCGGAATCGCAAGATCGCCTTTGAGCGCAGACGGTTCAAGATGATCCGACGAAGCGTATACATCACGGGACTAGCAGTTTTTCTCGCCGGTGAGTCTCGTCTCTCTCATCTCGTCTGACCCGGTCTTTCTGCCCGCCCGTGAGGAATCAAGTAGCTGACGAACCACAACCAACTCCTTACACCCACCCGCAACAACAACAGTGACGACAATGACTTTAACCTCCATCCTGCTTCCCCGGTGGATTACTTGCTCCGTTCCCTCCCCCCAGACCTCTCACAACCATGGCCACCACAAACACTACCAGATCATCCACGACTCACCACCTGTCCATGTGGCGGCCTCCGGCGGCTTCCACGATTACATCGGCCTCCACCAGCGATGTCAGACGCCTGTCGTCAACGAAGTGCAAGTGTGGTACTATAATTACTATAATCCCAGCGACAGCGCGAAACCCGTCTCCTTCGCCCCCATCAAAGACAGGCACGCCAAACACGCCAAACACACCGAACAGGAAAAATTAGAATGTATCCCCTTCCCCGATCCCCGATTCTGCTCCGGTGGTCTCCATGCCAACTCTACTGACCTTGGTCCTGGTCCTCCTTCCTCTCCTCCTCCTTCCTATCCTCCCTCTCCTCCTCCTCCCCCCAACAACCCCAACAACCCCATTCCCGACCCTGATCCCTCCAAACCCCCCGGCCCCGATGTCCCGGACCCCGGTAGCAGCCATCAACAAGAGGAGCGCAGATTCTTCTGCAACATGTGGAAGTCCACAGCCTTTTTGATGAATCTGTTCGTGGTTTTGGAAGTTGCGACGCTGGTTGGGTTCGTGGTTTTGTTGGTGTTGGGTGATGGCGGAGGGCATCAGGACGTGCGAAGAAGGAGGAGGGGAAGTAGGGGAAGTAGGGGAAGTGGGCGAGGAGGGGAGGAAAGCTTACTTGGTGGGCAACATGGTGGGCAACAAGGTGGACAAGGTGGACAAGGTGGACAAGGTGAACAAGGTGGACAAAATGGATCAAATGGACCAAATGGACCAAATGAACAAGGAAGGAGACGGAGGAGGGGTTTGAGGATCTTAAGAGAGAAAGGAGAAAGGTGGAAGGTGTTAGCTTGGATGATGGGGGCTGTGGGGGTGGGTTTGGCGATGGCGGGGGGGTTAGTGGTGAGTTCTTCCTGGCTTATCTTTTTCATTTGTTTTCTTCATTTATTTTTTTTCTTTTTTTTTCCTTGGTTTTTTTTTTTTTTTAACTCTTGGTTGGATAGATGATGGGGTGGCGGTAGTAAGGATGGTGATGAGGCTGAGGATCATGATGGAATATGTGGACAACAGGTTTTGATGGTTGCCCCGGGTAACGGCCGGGATGTTTGGATGGATGGATGGAATGGGGATGCTCGCTGCCCCTTGTCGTTTTCAGGGTACGGGGTACAGAGGCAGAAACAGAGGCTAACATTCGCTCGCTAAACTGGCGAGCTGCTTGCTTGCATAGGCCTACCTCTTCCATCACGATGATCAGTTTAACCGAATCCCGGGGTACCGGCTGGGGGCCTCTTGGTATCTTTGCATGTTTGGGGCGCTGATTTCGATGGCGTGTATGGCTGGGTTGGTAGCTTCTGCTTTTGTATTGCCATTTGAGGACGCTTTGGTGGTGCCCTTTGAGGATGAGTGTGATGAGGATTCGGAGGATGAGAATGGTGGTCAGAGTGAGAGGGAAAGAATGCCCTTGCTCGGATAAGTCAAGTCAAACTTTAGGTTGGGCTGGTACTGGGGCTGTTTTGTTGTGATAGGAAACGGGTTCATGTCCGAGCGTCACTCGAGGCTAGTAACGATGGTTCGGAGGGCGCTAACTATAGGCAATCTCAACTCTTTACGCGCTAAGGATGCCGGCTACCGTCAGACAGAGTCCATGGGACTATGTGTCCATTCATCTCAAGTCCGGAACACCGACACCTTGAAGGTCATGGTCGATCAAGGAGATCGGGTTTTGGCCGACCAAATAGGGGTATGCATAATCCACTTGCCGAAAGAAATCTAATGAATGGCTCGGAGCAAGTGAGCCACCTTTGAAAATGCCGAAAGATGGGCACTTGAGCCATGAAAGCTTGGTTAAGCCGGCAATACAACGATCCCACAGTCGTGGTCTAGCATTGCCCTCGGGTTCCGAAAATGTATGTGTATGTTCGCACTACGTGGCCCCCGTTGCCAGGGAAGCAGAAGTCCATGCTCGTTCTCGCAAAGAATCGACTGAGGAATCGAGCGACTGTGGGCATTTAACCCGAAACTGATACGCTAGCCCGAATCCACAGGATATGGAGACCCCCAGGGCGACAGCTCTGAGCTCACTGACTGGAATGTTGCGTTCAATTCCAAAGAAGATAATACTTTGGTATTTTGTCAACAAATGGACCTGACTTCAGGACTTCAATACCCCTTGCAATCGTGGTAGCTCCGTAGGCCCGATGTGAGCTGCAGTCGGGAATCCCGGTCCCGCCCATCCTCCCCAGATCACGCACTTTGTGTGTGCTGTGTGGTGCCGTGCCTCTGTGCCCCTGGATCGAAAAGCTAACATCAGTTCGTCGGGTCTCGGAAGTGGATGCCAGGGCAACAGGGGTTCTTCAGGTCCCATCTTTACGAACTCTCCGGCTTTCTTGTTCCTGGGTGGTCTTTTTCGTTGTGCTTCTGCTCACATCACCATCTCTTTCACACACACACACTTTCGTTCATCACACTCCGAGGGAGATTGTTGGTGACAGTGATACACCCTCCCAGCTTGGACTTTCCACAGCTTTCACCAGCTTTGCTTGGACATCCAGTAAGATTACTTTTCTCTCATACGTCCGATCGCCTGTACCGGGGTTCGCGCCAAGGTTGGGATGCGCGCGTTGGATCTTATACAGCTCTTAGCCTGTCTTTTCCATCTTGTTCCCCCCCGTCCCCATGTTTGATCCCCAATAGCGTTTCGTGATCGGGCAATCCAGGTTGCTGTTCTTTTTGTTGGACTTGCTTCTCACCGCCCGTGACTTTAGGCGCCGGTTTTACTTGTCCAGTCCCATCATTTTCATACAAGGACAACGCACCATCGTCGTTGGGGTGGTGCGCCAGAAATCTCCCTTTTCTCTTTTTCACAATGTCGTCGTCAAGGTACTCGCTACGGCAAACTCCACGGTATGTGTAACACAAACCCCCCTTGTGTGCTTCCCCCCCGGCTTCAATCCAATCAAAAACCACGTTGCGCGAGATGTATGTAGTAAGATCCATCATCTTCGCGTGGGAGTTCATCCCAACTTTTTCGTGGCATATGCGCCTAGAGACGCGACTGCGTCTGTGCTCGGAAGATGGCGCAGGGAGGTCAAAGGCGCGCTCCAGTTTCTCAGGGGCGCATTTGACACTGCGTGGAAGGATCTTGGAGAAACGCAGAAAAGGTTGGAGATGTTGCTGCTCCAAGGAGAAGGCCGGTGGCGGGTAGTGCAGCCTCCGGAACACACTTTCCTGCATCTTCCCACGGGCCAGACTTGGGCCACCATGTCGCTTTCTCAACAACACCACTTTCCCTGCTACCGGGGCCATGCGAGGCCGCCTCCGGAGTCAAGTGCGGATTGCTGACATTCCATGACAGCAAGAAGGAACTCTTTCAGGGCATGGTGGAGACCCCTGTACGCCGCAACACCCGTCGCAGCAAGTCCCAAGTCCCAGAGTCCTCCGACGGTGAATCGAGCGCCTCGGCCACCGAGACCGTGTCGAAACAGACATCGGCCAAGGCAAAGAGCGATACCCTCCGGAAGCGCAACCTGAAGACTACCGGCAAGTTCTTCGAGCACATCGACGAAGAAGAAAACACGATGCAGCCCACGCCGCCCTACACATCCTCGGACGAGCCCGATGTCGAGAACGCCCCCCTGCTGAGCGGAAACGCGAGCAGCAGCCGCAGCAGTCTCGACGCCAACGGCAAGCCCGGGGCAGAGAAGCTCATCGACGGCTGGAGGCCCGGCATGGACCCCAAGATCGACACCTCCGGCCACTTTGAGTTTGGCGGTTCGTTGGGCACCGGCGCCATGATGATCTTCTTTCCCATCCTCATGTGGTACATGTGGATTGGCGCGACCCAATACAACGGCGGCATCCCCAGCCGCGAGCCCGGCCAGAGCTGGGCCGACTTTGCCGCTCACCTTTTCGACCTTGTCTACACCAAAGCCTTCCCCCACGCCAAAGCGTGGCTGTGGTACTGGACCTTTCTCGTCTTCGAGGGCGCCTTCTACTGCCTCATGCCCGGCGTCACCGCCTACGGCAAGCCTCTCCCCCACGAGGGCGGCAAGATGCTCAAGTACCACTGCTCGGCCTACGTCTCCTTCTACGTCACCTTCGCCATCGCTGGCGTCCTACACTTCACCGGCATCTTCCCCTTGTACCAGATCATTGACGAGTTCGGTCCGCTGCTCTCGGTCGCCATCATCTCGGGCTTCCTCGTCAGCATCATCGCCTACTTCTCGGCCTTTGTCCGCGGCGCCACGCACCGCATGACGGGCCACCACGTCTACGACTTCTTCATGGGCGCCGAGCTGAACCCGCGCATGTTTGGCGTTCTCGACTTCAAGATGTTCTTTGAAGTGCGCCTGCCGTGGTACATCTTGCTCCTGCTCTCTCTGGGCGCCGCTGCCCGCCAGTGGGACCGGTACGGCTACGTCTCGGGCGAAGTCGGTTTCCTGGTGATGGCGCACTACCTGTACGCCAACGCTTGCTCCAAGGGTGAGGAGCTGATCGTGACGACCTGGGATATGTACTACGAGAAGTGGGGTTTCATGCTGATCTTCTGGAACCTGGCTGGCGTCCCGCTTTCGTACTGCCACTGCACCATCTTCCTGGCCAGCCACCACCCGGACGAGTACCGGTGGAACCGGTTTGCACTCGTCGGCCTCTACGTCTCTTATCTGTTCGTGTACTGGGTTTGGGATACGTGCAACAGCCAGAAGAACCGGTTCCGCGCCCAGGAGCGTGGCAAGTTGCTCTACCGCAAGACCTTCCCCCAACTGCCCTGGCAGACGGTCAAGAACCCGCAGAAGATCGAGACCGAGACAGGCGACAGCATTTTGGTCGACGGTTGGTATGGCCTCGCCCGCAAGGTGCATTATACTTGCGACGCCTACTTTGCTATCTGCTGGGGCTTGATTACCGGCTTCAGCAGCCCCTTCCCTTGGTTCTACCCCGTCTTCTTCTGCTGCATGATTGCTCATCGCGCGTGGCGTGACATTACTCGCTGCCGCGAGAAGTATGGTGATGCTTGGAAGGAGTATGAGAGGAGGGTGCCTTATCTTTTCATTCCGGTAAGTTGTTTTTTTAGTTTTATTTCCTTTGTCCCCCCTCCATCCGTCACTCTTGTTGTTGGGGATGAAGACAATATGACTGACTTTGATTCCCTCTAGTACGTCATCTAAAAACCGACTTACAATATCACCCTCGGCTCTCCCATACATATATCAGTGTGTAATAGGCTCTCGCCTAGCGGAGCCGCGGAGTCTATAGACCCTTGGAATACACTCCTTGGGGACGCTTAGATAGAGGAAGAAGAAGAAGAGGAACAAGACTTATACGAAACGATCAAAATACACTCTTATAATCAAAAGAGAAAAAGATGTTGAAGATGAACAGCTAACGCAGAGGAAAATGAAGAAAGAAGAAAGAGACGGTTTCACCTACCTACGATGTACCATAGTATTAATAGCGTGATGAGATGAGAGGCAAAAGGAAAAGGACTACGCATGGGGGGAGTACGGTTGCAATTGCAATGCATCGTCGGCGAGCGAGCAAGCGATGGGAAAGCATTCCTCTTACCTTAACCTACCTATTATCAACCTAATCGTAATAAGAATCAAAAATGTGCAAACACAATCACATCCCGTACTCGGCAGTGAACTCTTGTGGTGTGTTGATGCGGCTTCCTAGTCTACCTATGCCAGTCTATCAGGTGGAATAACAAGGACATGAACGCGACAGAAAGGTAACGCACAACCAAGCAAGCACAACTTCTTTCCCTTCACATTCATAAAAAATAGAGCATTGTAACACAACTCAACCTACAACAAAGTCTTTTACCGTTCGTCCCGCCCTTCATCCTTCCTTCATGCGTGCCTCCTTCTCTCCCTTCGTCCCTGTCTATGGCGATCAGAGTCGAAAAACAAACTCTTTACAGAAAAGCAAAAGAAAAAAAAAGCAACCAGCCGTGTAAAAGTGAGATGTAATGCTTTGCGTTTGACCACACCGTAATTGTGACAATTGTACACATGTGACATGCTTTCCATAATAAACGCAATGCCCGTTGAGAAACTCCGCGAGTGACGCCTTTCCCCTTCCGAAAGATATGCGCCAGCTCTCCTGTGTTTTCATAGTCTTCCCCTCTCTCTCTCTCTCTCTCTGTTATCGTTGTGTTTTCCTCCCGACTTCAGCTTCCAGCCCTAGGGTGCCGCCCACCATGTCATCCACCCAAACAAGAAGAAAGCCCTTATTTTGCGTGATTAGCCGGCTGAGCGACAAATGGGAAGAGCTGAAGGATGTGTGCGGCGAGGATATGAGAATCCGTTCGTGTTCTTAAATCATTCATTGTTTAGGTTCCAGGTATGGGGCTCTATGTAGTTCGTGTGCACGTGCTTGTCACACCCATACCGGTGGGGAGACCTAGACCGAGGTCTTTTGGTATTCGGGCATCTAGCATGAGGTGTTGAGCGTGGCCTTGGAGTTCATCAAAAGAGCAACGATCAAACCGTAAAGACCTAGACAGCGGGTTAGACGTCATGGGGATGGAAGGCCAGTTTCACAGAGGACTTACCCAAGACTTCGGCGAAAATAAGAATAAGAATCATGCCGACGAAGAGTCTGGGTTGTTGAGCAGTTCCACGGACACCAGCATCACCGACAATACCAATCGCGAAACCAGCAGCGAGACCAGCAAGACCGACGGCGAGACCAGCACCGAGTTGGATGAAGCCAGTGTAGAGAGCGTAGTGGTCCTGTGTAAGAGCATCGGAAATCAATACGGAGACGACGAGACCGTAGATACCGATGATACCAGCCATAATGACGGGAACAATGTCTGAAGAAGAAGCCAAGTCAGCATATTGATGTACGATACCACGCCAGAGCTCAGCTTGGCTCTTGGAAAATTCGACATACTCTTGACGATGAGGTCAGGGCGGAGGACACCCATGGCAGCGATACCAACACCAGACTTGGCAGTACCGTACGAGGCACCAAGGCAGGTGAAGACGATGGCTGCTGTGCAGCCCATGGCACCGAAGAAGGGCTATCCAAACACATCATGTTAGCTATATACGGACGTTGTCTGGGCCAGCCTGCATTGGCGATTCGGTGGCGGATGTTCAGAGGACGTTGACGCTGCCGCCAAGGTTCGTGAACAGAGCGGGGAGGGTACTAACCGCGTAAACAGGGCTATATGACAAGACATTGTTAGCTCATTTGTCTTGTATAGGTAACTAACTGTAGGCTAAATTATTGAAGCCGATGTATATATTGTGTTTGGTGATGCGAAACGGCACGCAGCCTAGGTGTGGATTGGAGCTTGGGCGAGCTCGCCGCGGGCCTCCGACTCCTCTTCCTCCTCCTCCTCCTCCATCATACACGGACCGGGGTGGGTGCGAATGACCTACCAGAGATCGGACATTGTGGATGTGTTGTCGCGCGAAGCTGTATCAATAAGTTGGATATGGAATGAATTGGAAATTGCCGTGCGGAACGTGGAGTGGTGGTGTGGGATGATGCGTGTTGTTGGGAAGAGTCGGGACTCGCGACAGTGATGGGGTTACGGTTCGATGGGGTTGAGTTGGTGACGGATCGAGTGGTGTCAACTGTGTTGCTGGCTGGCAGGCTGGGAACGAGGTGTTTCCAGGTTGGTGCTTGACTGGCACTGGGGCGAGCATCATATTCCTGCCGCCAATCAGGTAGCGCTTGCGAAGGCGGCTGCAGTTACGTAATCCGGAAGCGGACCAACCCAAGGCCGCAGAGGTCACTGCAGCCCGGGCGGGCAGCAGGCGCAGCGAGTGCAGGCCCCGAGTGCAGTGCTGAATGTTAGTGCAACTGCAGCGACAGCAGCTTCGGGGGGTGACCACGGCAGACAGTGGCTCTCAATTGTGGCTGACCTGGTTGTGGCTGGTGACGAAATTTTCCAGTCTGAAACTGATTCGGCCGCTGGGGTCAAGCAGCCGCGCGCAGTCAATTCGTTCTATCGCCGTTTTTTTTTCCCAGCGAAAAACGGTCCACCTTCAACCACTTTTTCGCCCATCTCCGAGCAGTTGAACTCCCCAGGGCGAGCACAACGCAGTGAACCCTGGTGTCTAATTTAGTTTTCCAATCAATCGTCCAAACAACAAACACTCCTATCAAGATGTCTGGTCAAAACGAATCTGCTGCCTGGCCCAAGGCCGAGGACGGTGCCCTCGTCCAGGAGCTCCTCGACTGCGTCCAGCAGGCCAGCCACTACAGACAGCTCAAGAAGGGTGCCAACGAGGCCACCAAGTCGTATGTGCACTTCCCACCTCGCCTACGACTTTCTGTCCATCGACATGCAACTAACATACACGATAGGGTCTCTCGCGGTACCAGCGAGTTGGTCATCCTCGCTGCTGATACTCAGCCTCTGAGCATCGTTCTTCACATTCCTCTGCGTACGTCTATACCCAACTTGAGACAGCCCATTGACTTGATTAGAACTCTGACTAACGAGTTTACAGTCTGCGAGGACAAGAACGTCCCTTACGTCTACGTTCCTTCCAAGACCGCTCTTGGCCGTGCCTGCGGTGTCTCCCGCTCGGTCATTGCCGTCTCTCTCACCTCCAACGAGGCTTCTGATCTTAACTCCAAGATCCGTGCCCTTCGTGACAAGGTTGAGCGTCTCGCTATGTAAGCGCAGAACTATTTGGAAAGAATATAGTGGAATAGGAGAATTTTGTGTGTTAGATTGGTAATACCCCGGGTCTCGTATCAGCTGGAAGGCAGTTACGGCGACTACAGCGGGACAAAAAAAATTGGAAAACGTTCAACTTGCACTTACGGCTTGAACGTCGATGACCTCGTTCATGTGGGACTGCAGTGGTGAGACTGCGTCTGGTGTTTGGCCACCGCGCCTGTGATATCTATGGTACTATGTAGTCAACTTTACAGCATGACCTCGAGATTCTAGGGTTTGGGTTATAGGTGGGTGTAAAACTTTTGGTCGTTCGCGACACGTCAAAGAGTCCCTTGCTGGCCAGAACCATGAAAGTGGGGGTCTGGAGTGTTAGAGCTTACTAAGCATGCACATGTGAGGCAGGCGCACCCTGTACTCTGTACCCTGTATATGTAGCCAGTGCATTATACACTTTGTGCAATACCTTAGATTCTACAGAATACATCACAGGTTACATGCCCCAATCATTAACAATAGTACCCACACAATAATCGAACATACCTCACTATTCCCTGTCGTTTCGACGGTTTAGGTAATTTATTTACTTCGTTAAAATCAAAACTACGTCTAACGCGTCTCCTACAATAAATCTAATTCAGCGCTATTAACCCTGCGATTAAGCCCGAATATCGCCAAATTTGAAATTAACCTAATTTAGGCATTATTAAAATTAATATTATCAATTTCCTCGTTCACACGTTAAAAACTATCCTCTTAAACATTATATTGTCTAATTTAATACCGATCGATCTATTTAATATCGCTGTAAATATTAAATATAATAAACTAATACTATCAATTTCCTTATTCCTCACTTCGCAAATTAACACTATTAATTTCCTCCTCTATAATATTAAAAAATTGAAATTAATATTATTAATTTCTACGCCGCCCAAATTAAAAAGTTCGTCTATTACTATAATTTAACCCCTAAAATCCTTTCCCCAAGTCTATTATTTAGACTTTTACTTACGCTAAATTTATATAAGTTGCGTTAGATACGTATAATTAATGTAAATACTCAAATCTAATAAATTAAGTCTGATTTTCCCTGAACTATACAATTGATATTATTAATTTCTATGGAGTAAATTAAAGAAACCGTTCGTTAATTCTAGAGATTTTATTGAACTAATTATTTAAATACCTAATTAATATAAGAAGAATATTTGGAAATTGCTAAATAGATTACCCCGAATCCCAATATCTATACAGGCTACTACGAAAGTATTTACCCCGTTAAGTAGACTAGGTCCCGATGTACGTTCAATAGTACGTTTAAAGCCTAAAAGAACCGCTATAAATTCATTAAGCAAGTCCAATACTCCAATTGGACTATTAAAGATTAATAATAATCTATACTTGCGGTATTAATATAAATGTAATTTCCTTTATTTTTAATTATTTATAACCTAAGTACAATTACCCGTTTATTGCGAACTCCTACTTAATCTTCCTAAGTATTTACCCTAAAACAAACCCCTTTTACCCTACAAAATCCTTAAATAAGAAGGTTTAATACTAATATAATTAATATACTAAACGCTAGTCTTCTATCTGCCCCGTCAGACTTCGGTAACCCAAGACTTCTATTTAATTCTAAGTTAACCCTCCATTTTGACTTCAACGAATCGGTCTTGGAATTAACGGTCGTTGATACAAACGTTAGGCCCGCAAGTTTTGGAAGGTACTTATTCTAATTGCAAGCTTCGGAATTAGGCTTCCCAACCTTACCTCCTAGGGCACTTATATCGGTATTATCTAGATTCAACCCCCTACTACTAACTCCCATCTATTATCCTACCTTTGGACCTATCTATTTTAATACCTCCTTATATTTTACCGCTTAACGCCCTATATTAATTCTTCCGAATATTTCCGAAGAATCTAGCCCTTTAAAAAGTATCCCTAAATTGAATAATAAAGGAAATTGGTTAAACTCGTTAATTAATAATAGTACCGCCCTAGAACTAGAGTAGGGCAAAGCCAACCCCGCGAATAAATTAAATACTTAAATTTAATAACAACCAGCCTCTTAGAATAACCGTAGCGAAATAAATTTTACTATATTATTAACCGCCAACAAAATCGCCCAATTAATTACTTAAATTGTAGCTTAAATAATAGTAACCGCTATTCTTCGTACTTTAAACTCATTAAGCTTAAAAATTAAGGAAGTTGGATATTTTAACCCGGGCTTAAAAGAGAAAGATAATAATAGTAATAGCGTTGTTTAATAGGGTAAGACGACGATTTTCGTTAATGTATATACCTTTACCGAACGTTTTAAATATTTTACTATTATACAATTTATTTAAATTATTCGAGAGGTTTAAATTATTTACCTCCAAAGTTTAGCCTTAACTTAATACTCTACGGAATTAACCGACCTAGAGCGGGCTAGCTTAATAAATAGAGATATTAAATTTATTATATTAACCCTTATTAAACGATTTAAAAGGACGGATAGTAAAGCCCTATATAGCCTCTAAATTAGGAAGTTAATTCTATTTAATATTTATATTAGCCGGAATATCTACTCCTTTATTTAATAAATAATCTAAGACGTTAAGGCCTTAAATTTACCCAATTCCCTATAATTAATGTTTACCTTCGAGGTAATAAACGGTTATATTTAATTAATCGTCGATAAGCCTAACGACTCAACTACTCTTAGGAATTTCCTTAAGTATCTTAATAAAAAATAAAATATTTTAATAATAAAGGCTAAAAAATTCTGGGGTCCATCGCCCGTAGCCGGTCTATTATTATTCAACACACCCGGACCAACATTAATAACCGCCTCGGCCAACTTCGGCAAATATTATTATTCGCGTTTAAACCCCCCCTTTTATTAATAAACTTATTAAAATTCAAGTATTAATATTCACAACTAGTATAATAATAGCCGAAATAATAATAAATACAATAGCAATCGAAGAAACGGCAATAATCAGAACTATAATAGAAACCAATACAACCAGCCGTTAGGCTCCAAATATCAATTTCAATTATAGAATTTAAATTAAATTCAAAATCAGGGTCAAAATTAGACTTAAGGATATCAAAATCAAGGCCAACAGAATTAAGGCTATCAAATTAACCGAATAATAAACAGCGGAATCAATAGGCCCAATAATTAATTCAATTAAAATAATAAATCTAATATACAATGAATATACGTAGTCGAAACTTAAAACCCTAACTAATATAGAGATTAGTAGGATTAATAATAAAAGGGCCAACCAACGGACGACTAAAATCCGGAAATATATAATAACAATAAATACAACCTAACTTTCAATCAAACCTTCAATTACTTAAATTAAAATACGAATTAGAATAATAATTATAATAATCCTTAATAGTCCGATAGACCTCCTAATTATATTGTTTAGATAGGAGTTTAATTATTGTTACTCAAGTATTAGTATTACTATTACTTTATTAATTTCCCTACATTTAATAAACTTTAGAAATATTTAAAAAAAAATTATTAAATTAAGAGATATTCTAAATAAACGGTATAGATAGCCGTAGTAAACGTCTCTCTAATTTATACTCCTCCTATTATAAAGATTGATATACCCGATTCCGAGCCTAGCGAATTTAGCGCTAATTCTTAAATTATTAAATCTACTATCTTTAAATCTATTACATCCGATCCTTACGTATTTAATTCTATTACTACTATTTTTAATTCTATTTTTATTAATTTATCTACACTTGATTTAATTGTGCCTAACTTTCCTACTAATGTATTTACCTTAGACCTATTAGATAATTTACCGGTATTAAATAGAGCAATTATCGCTATATTAAATAAACCCCTTAAATTTAATGTCGAATAAGTAATAATTATAATAGTAGAGTAGATCCTAGCGTCGAATACGCTATATAAGAACGGTCGCCTTAAGATTTCCGATTTAATTGAGTAAGAGTATAGTAAGCCTTCCCCTAAGAACGTTTATTATTAACCGACGGTCAAGGAAGTATATAAATTTAAGTCTCCTACGGCGTTAATGGGTAAAAATAGGAAGATAGATTTATTGGTAAACCTTTTACTCCCTTACTAGAAGCCGTTAAAAATCATCTACTCTAATATTAACTCTAAATTAAATATTAATACCGGATAGTATTTTAAAGCCTACTCTTATTTTAAAGCCCGTATTATAACTAACTTAGTATTCCATTACAAAGAGGAAGTCTATTTTAACATAAATTATACATACTCGTTGGTAGATAAATCGTAAATTAAATAATATTATTTAAAAGTGTAATTTCGCCGAAGGGCGTCGGCTATATTCATTCGAAACATTGGTAATAATTAATATATCTCTAATAAATATATAATCCTAAATTTTTTTTTTAATAGCAATACGCCCTAGGGGTAGGAGGTAATTGCCTATTTCTATTATAAAATTAGATTTATTAATAGTTTTAAAGTTTATTTACTATTAGGTATAAATATCCTAGGATTAGAGAAATTCGTTCTAAATCTTAATAAACCGGCCGCAATAATCGGATCCTATAATATTACTATCCCTATTTCTATCCTACTTAGAGGTAAGCGGTATAACGCTAGAATTATTACTATTCGATATATTATTGTATAACCCAAATCTTTTACGTAGATTCCGGTTAGGTATAGCGTTCTAATAATTAACGGACAAAATCTACTATTTGAACCTTTACTATTCAATAAAGTTATATCCTTTATAATATTAACCAATATAAGTATAAACTATACTATTATAATTAATCTTTTTAATAAATTAATTATTATTGCTAATAATTAAATTATCGGTCGATTTCGATTAATAAACAACGTTTCCTCCTTAATATAAGTTCTAGAAAAAATAATTATTAATATAACCCATCTAACCGTTAATTAGCCTTATAAAGAACGCTATATAATCGATAATCCCCGCTTAGTCCAAGACTGGAATATAGTATAA